CCCCCCCCCCCCCCCCCCCCCCCCCCCCCCCCCCCCCCCCCCCCCCCCCCCCCCCCCCCCCCCCCCCCCCCCCCCCCCCCCCCCCCCCCCCCCGCGGGTCCAGGGACTGTCGATGGCGGCTCGGAATTTTGAATTCGATAAGCAAGTAGATCAGGCCACAAGGCGCCAGCCACAAGTGGCCACTGCAGGAACACAGTGGCTTCTCGACAAACAACGTAAACCTTGACGGAGTTCGGTAATAACAACACCTAGCGATGGACAAATAGATAAATAAATAAAAGAGGTTACTCTTGAGATAAATAAAAAAGGTAAAATGATACAAATGAGGTGACATTGGAGAGTAGGTACCTGGCTCCTTCCTTCTCTGCTCTCGTTCTTTTCCACCGTACGTACTGCGCGCCTCCACCGCGCTCGACCAGCGGAACTTCGGCCATCTGCCAAGACTTTAAACCCAATGCCGGTCCATCAAACTGGCCGACCAAGACACCACTAACGGATTAGTGCACGTTTCAGAGCTTGTGGTAGAACCCGTGTTCTCGTCGTAGCGGCCTTGCGCGCGCGTGTGTTTGTTGCGTCATTCGTAGCTATTTTCTGGGGGTCTCAGTTCTTTTTAGGCAGTGCAGGACGATGGCAGATTTACATAGGTCCTACCTAACTGTAAACGAACTGATGGGCCAACTCGGCGCCAACGATAATAATCAGTAGGTACCCCCTGGCATGGGGACGGCCGGAGTGGGGTGTTCTGATGTTATCGTGGAGTGCCGGGGCGGCCTGCCCTCGTCGAATCTGCCTAGCGGTACTGGACTGTACAGCACACTTTGGTACGCGGCATACCGCCATGTACCCGCGCAGGGTTCCCATCACGGACAGGACCTGAGGCATCGATGACATTGGATTTGGTGGTAGTACCTTGTGCAGCGGCTTCCTCTGTGCAAATCTGCGGATACGCATCAGCACACGATCATCCTAACACTGCAGATGACGGTGGTTCTGCACCTGCCGTATGGCGGCGTCAGCACCACACTGTGATCTCCCAGGGTCTAGCCGCCCTTCTACTTCTCCCAAGAAGCACCTACACGTAAGATAATCAAGTACGCTAATCACTGCTAGACTGAACCCCTTCTCCTGCAGAGCAAAACCGTCCCCGATTTCCAGCTGCCGATCGTCAATCAACCTTGTCCACCCATTCTTTGGGATTTGCAATTGTTTTCGTCGAGTTTCACTGCCTCCCTGTATGTATGTACGTCCACATGCCTCCTCCTTGAGACTGTCCTCTGCTGCCTGGGGCTTCCGATCCCGTTGAGACTCAGCTGAAAGGAGGAAAAAAGATCAATTGCACATCCGACCTCCTCGTGCTCCCTATGGCTTCTCGCCTTTGCAGATCCGTCGATCATTCCTCAGCCACCAACAAAGGAAAAGGATAACAGAAAGGAACGGTTTCCGGGTGATCTGCCCGGCTTTGAAGCCGAGGCCGTCCTCTTTCCCCCCTTGCCTCGTTCCTCCTCTCTAGCAGCGCATGAAGCCTCGCCGTTTCAGCGTCTCGGGCCATTTTCCACCAGATCAGACACCTGTGTGCCTACCTACTGGATACTAGTACTGGTTGGACCGATTTGTTAGCTGCCGACAATGACGTAATTACCTGGGCCGCCAATGATGCAGCGTGCCGTCATTGCCGGATGGGGCCCATCTCGTTCCAGAACGGGCTAATCCAACCCGGCTGACACCTTTTCCTTGAATCGCCGTGTCAAGGCCAACACGTCTCCGGAGTGGTAGGTTAGGTTTTGTTAGGTAGCCTTGTCTTTTCTGCCCCGGCTGGCCCGAGACATACATTCCTACCTAAATTATCAAATCTCCCCGGTCATCTTTGAGTCATTTTGCGACAAATCAACCGGGATGGTCCCTTCAACATCGATCGTCCCTTCAAGACAGACAGATCTTGCTGCGGAAAAGGCCTCGCCCGAAACCCCGAGCCCCCAAAGCCCGGGCATCAACCCAAACCAAGTTGTGTGTAAAGTAAGGTATCCGTATAAAGAAATGCCCGAGCGATGCATCTGCAACCACTGGGATCCGATAACTCTAAAATTGACGCGGGAAGATCTCCTGGGGTTTGATGGGGCTCTCGGCTCAACCTCCCACGTCTCCAGGGGTAGGTCCTCATTATTTATTCTCCTTGTTGATCAGGGACTGCTGGGCCGCCTTTTTTGCCAGAATGGGATGCCGATCCTCTAATTATGCTACGCAGTAATACAGGGTATATTCCGACGACTTGTGGTTTTCGAGGCTATCAGAATTGGATGTCTCCGTCTCTTGACCCTCATCACCAATGCCCGTCCATGTGGCTTACAGCTGTCCTCAGAAGGCGGGCTCCGAGAAGCCTGCCTGCCCGCCTCCTGTGTTTCCACGGGCTTCCTTGAGAACCTCCCGTAGAAACCTTGGTCCATCAAGGGTTCCCATCCACAGTTATGGGCGTAGCGGGTTAACAGACAGGTCATTGAACTCAGCTGCAGCATGGGCCAGGGGTCTCTGTGAGGCCTAATTCCAATCCCCGATGGGCAACCGAGTTACGCCTCGCTGACATCGTACATAGGTGGGTGGTACAAATACAATTCAGGCATGCCCTGGCAGCTCCCAGCCGCTTCCAGGAAGCTCCCTCATGTATGTAGACTACAAGTCGTAAATGGAACTCTTACAGCATCGTCCCCCGCCCCCTTTAACACTCTTCTGGAGCTATGTACAGTACAGTACATACGTCCGAGCTATTCACACCTACGTCTGAGCTCGACACTCGAACTCGAAGGGCCTCAAAAGGCTTAGCCCCTTCCATTCACGACATGGTTCCCGGCCAGGCCCAGGATCGGGTTGACGTAGTTCGCCAGACAAGTGAGGCGCCCACCAGACACCCCCCCCCCCCTCTTCCCCCCCCTGACTGCCGATCGGGCCGTGGCCGGCTGCCTCCAGTGAGATCGGAGTTCCCGACAGGGTGGGATAGGCTGTTCAGCTGGGTCGGTCACCCTTTCCCTGTTGTCTCGCATCTTGCATGTTCAGCCAGCCATCTGTGACATGCAGGATGCAGTGCGCCACCAACAGGGGGAGGGACCTATTGGTGCAAGTAATCTCTTTCCCCCCCCCCTTCCCCTCTCTCTCCCCCAAGCTATTGTCGTCGATCGGTATCACAAGTTGCCGAGGATGACGTGCTGCAGGCAGAACAAAAGCAGATACCGGGCCCCTGATTTGTTGGGCTTCTGGGAAAGGTAGCGCTGATGGTTCAGCCACTGCCGGGGTGTGGGCTTCTCTGAGAGGTGGAAGAGACGCCACGCGACGATAGTCAGGTTTGGATTGGGAGGGGGTGAGGTGGTTTGAAGGTAGCCCCTTGCTATGGCCGCCTAGATGACTGGGTGATGACGGTGAGGGGGAAGTCGGTGTGCTGATGGTGATATTTTAAACCGTCGTCAGCTAGCCATTTCCCTTGTCTTGCAGCCTATTGGAATCTGTTTAAGCAAAGGCGAGGATGGTGTGGTCTGGGTGGATTTCACATCCTGAGGCGATGTACGGCCAGAAAAGGGGCAACGGCTGAGGACTATGGGGAAGAAAGGCAGACAAGAGATGGGGTTGCAGAAGGAGCCAGGAGATGCAGGAGGCTAACAGGCACATCAGGAATTGAACACAAAGTGTCATACCAAAATACTTATATCATTTCGAGTGATCGCTAGGGCTATATACTGAACACTTGGCACAGCATGGTCCACCCTGTGCGAGCCACTATTTCATGTATATCGTATGATACCTAGGCAACTAGTCAAGACAAGTGCGGACAGGTGTTCCGCTCATTCGATCTCGATCAAGCGAATGTGACGATTTTTCCCGATACAAACGACGCCACACTGCAAGCTGTGTGGCACAGGGCGCACTCTTTGTCTCCCCCTCCCCCTCCTTCTCTCTATTTATCTCTCTCTACTCGTACGTGTAGCAGAACGGCCCGTCAACGGTGCTCATCAGTTCGCGGATCGCGTAGGTCTTGTCAGCAACGACGCCGAGGTAGGTGGGGTCGTCGAGGCTCTGGGCGCGGCCGCCGCCGAACATGCTGGTGCCGCCCTCCATCTGCATCATGCGGTTGGCGTAGTCCTGCCCCTGCCAGATGGTCCAGACGCGGTCGATCATGGCGTGGTGCAGCCAGAAGGACGGCTCGTTGGGCGAGATGTAGAAGTCTCCGCCCGGGTCGCCCGACACGGTGAAGTGCCCGACCCCGTGGATGCCAGTGCCGCCCTGCATGTAGTCCTGGAAGGGCTTGATTGCCTGGTAGTTCTTGATCTGGTTCACAATGTCCGTCGTCTTGCCGTACCGCGTGCTGAGGTAGTTGGTGATGTCGCGCCGGATGCACCGCGGGTTGGCTCCGTAGCCGTTGGACTGCGGGTTCCTGGCCGGGGCCGGCCTGACCACAGCGGACATGGGCCCGAGGTAGACGGTCATGCTTTTTAGGGGCAGACATGTTAGCCAAGTCCATTCCTTCTTTTTTTCTTCTTCTTTAGTTTTGGGGAGAAGGGGGGAGGTGGCCAAGCGCATTGTTGTCAGTCTCAAGCCAGGCTCGGAGCAAACAGCTTACTTCTTGAACGGTCCGGTTGAGATGCAACCTCCACCATCACCTGCCGGCTTGCCGCCGCCGCCGCCGCCGCCTCCAGGGGACTGCGCTCCGTTGCCGCCCAAGCTGGTGTCGCTGCCGTCGAAAAGGGGAGAGGACAGCGGGTCGTCGGCCCATCTTCCGTAATCCCAATACTACGGAGGCGCATGCTCGGTCAGACTTTTGACTCGTCGTGCCATCCAGGGGTCCCAGACAGTGTACTACTCACCGGTTGTGTCCCCGTATAGCCACATTCCGTCCGCATGACGTTCTCGAAGGCCCAGGTGTAGTACCTATGCCACGACAGGAAGTTGCCCTGAAGAGATCTACATCAGACTCGATATCGGGGAGGGCGGCACAAACCCAGAAGGGGGCTCTTGCTCACCGTGCCGTGGATCGACAGCGTCTGGTTCATGTGGACGACGACGAAGTCATCGTAGCGGGACTTCGCACCGGGGAACTGCGTGGAGTCGAGCTTGGAGGGCTTCGAAAGGAGACACTGGAAGCCGTCAATCCAGGCTTTCCGCTCATCCTTAGTAATGTCACCCCTGGCAAAACAAGTAGGGTTAGCATCAGACCCCGAGCTGGCAGGCCTCGCTGATGGTGGCGGAAGTCTTCCTCATACCATTCTCTTCTCACGAGCTGCTTTTCCTTGGTGCAGCCCCCCTTGGCCGTGCTAGCCATGTATGCGTTAATCTGCGTGTTGCCGGCGTTCTGGAGGTCCGTGACGGCATCGGCGGCGACCAGCGAGGTCATGGCCGCCCACGACAGGGCAAGTTCGAGAAGCCTCATCTTGACTCTGTAAGCTCGTATAAATGCATATAAGAGTTGCGAAGGTCGATGAGAGAAGGTGGACGTCGTGCCCTTCGAGTCGCACCAGGGAGGAGGGCCATCGCGACTCTATAACACGTTTTTCTCGGTTCGTCTACAATGTCGGTAGTGATGACATGGAATAAGCTTAATTAGAAAAGTTGATTTTGCCGTTGAAGGGGCTATAGTTGAATTTGTGCGGCTAAAGTCGCCGTATCCCGTCAGATTAACCAAAGCAATATCCAGCTGCCGTATGGTCTGGGGAAGTTTCTGGGGTTCTATTCGCCGAGAGGAGGGCAATAATCGATGGTGTCAACGACGCGTGTAAGTAGCAGGCATCTTAAGCCGCGGGACAAAGAAAACACTATCAGTTATGCATAACCAGCGTTTTATTCATGTCCTAGGCTTGTTTCTATTGGAGTAAGCCCTGTATAGTAGCAGGGTGCCCGGGACGAATGGTTGAGGGCTGGAATCAAATACAGAATACCCAGATTCCAAGCTTGGGACATATAAAAACTTGGGGCCAAGCGAGCTGCAACGTGACACGGGATGATGGTGGGTGGCGGTGATAAGAAACATAAATGTTTCCAGAGAGAGAGGCCCAAGAAGAATCTGGGGCGGGAAGGGGGGTATTTAACCTATAGTGTCAATTTCTGGTTGGTTCTTCTCTCTTCCTTCCAACGAATCCGCGTTCCGGCTCTATATTGAGGGTCAGGGCCGTCACCGGGTGGAAGCATCCTTCGAATCCTCTTGGCCGAACTTGGCCGTGCACGTTGTCTGGACGCGCAGCCAAAGCAAGCACGTCAATTACTAATTACTCTACCGGCTCGGAATTTAAGTAGTCGGTAATCTAAAGTCGGCCCCGCGTGGTGATGATCCATCTCGCCGGCACGTCTTAGCGAGGCTCGCTCCCAGTCTCTTACTCAGAGATGATGTATCCATATTCACACAATACATCAAGTGAGTGCGCCATTATCGATCCCCACGAGGAACCGTTAAAGCCGGCAGATAATTATAGGGAATAAGAAGCCGCAGCGCGGGACCTGATTTTAAGGCTTGTTCTAGAACATGTTGATCAACCAAGCAACTAATTAAGCATCGTTGAAGCGGAAGCTAATGGAGACATAGGAGCACCAGGCCACCGAGAAGGCTGACACGCAAGGACAGCGAAGACAGCGTTTTGCAGAACCAACCCAGTGGAAGCGGAATGCCAACCCTAATACCAAACAATTGCGATTTCGGCTGAAGGGTCGTCCACCTAAGCGAAGCCTTTATAAATTAATAAACGGGGCGCAACGGCAGTCCATTTCACCGGGGAATCAAGTCCCCAGCTTTTCCACGGTAAAAGATAGCGAACGAAGGCGAGCGAAGACATTCTAGGTTCCAAACAAGCTTGGCCACAGCCTGCGTAAGCGCCGACCCCCGCGATCTCGGCGCCCCCTTCTCCGGGTATGTGGGGCGATGCCTGGCGGCCGGCCCGGAACCAAGCAATTTGGCAATCAAGGTGTTGCGTCGATCGTATATGGCGGAGATCAACCATGGGGGTCATGTGCGAACTGTCGCTGTGCGCTCGGCGTGGCAACCACCAGTCAAGAGCTATATTGAGCTCCCTCCTTCAACGGCCAACCCCCAAGCATTTAGACTGCGCTTGACGTCGGGAATAAACCGTTAGACGCAGACGGATCAAGCGACTATCGCTATCCTTTGGCAGACGAAAATCTTGCTCTGATCCATCGAGACTCAGGCGGTGGAAAGTATTAGGGGCTACCCTGCTTACTAGCTATCGTAAGTCACCCCTTAATCATATCAACATGTAAAATAAACATTAGTGTTAGTGGATAGGTACTTTACAGGTGTTAGTAAGCAGGGTAGCCCGTAATAAAGGTTTTATTCCCACCGCTTGACTCAGTCCAACCTGGCTGGTCCCCAGGAACGAACCTGGTAATTGCGTACCCTCCTTAGACCGTATATTGATCAGCAGAATAATATCAGAGGGGCGTTGGTTGCAGGCGAGGGCGGTATACAACCTGTTCCTACCGAAGTCGAACTTTGGCCAGACCAAATGATTGACCATCTCCAGAAGTTGCTTAACCTCTGCAGGGAAAGAAACTGGGATCTCGGACCGGAGAATCGCCCCAAAACCCACATGGTGCAGTCTTCTTCTATCGGCCTTCTCCCACGACGCAAACCGATAATTCCTGCCAAGTCGTACTCGGCAGTCTCGAAGCCGGGGATTGTTGAGAGAGGTCTCGCACCTTGACTTCGAACGTCGAGACCGAAATCAGAAGCAAGGAGAGAGCGACGCCTTTTCAGGGGCAAAATTTGGCGCGAGACTGGTTGGAGAATGGGAGACTCGGGTGACCGATAGGCGACCTTCTTGTGATCATTTGCCACACGGACATCATTGTGCCTCGTAGATAGATGAATGGCCACAATGGCCGAACAGGATGTTGCCACCTAATGGGGCGAGTTGAACTCAAGTCTCCTCGCCCGAGTCGAAGAAGTTTTGGGCAGGGGCATTTATTTGCCTCATTGGCAGCATTTGTCAAGGTGCAAGAGAGAGGAGTTGAATCGTGACGGTGTCAGTAATTTGAACTTGCTTAAGCCTGTATAACCGTTGCAGAACATGCAGTTAAGACAATAGTTGTATCGACTTGGATGCTTCGAGAAATGTGTGATTCTTGCTGTCTCATGATGAAGGAGCCCCGAAAATGAAGTGAAGTGGTGATCGGGTGGCAGCGAATATTGGGACTGTGACGAGAATAGAGCGAGGATACAAATGCTCATAATCCATCTCGTCCACTAAATTTGCCGTTCAGCTCAATCTCAAATCCATTTGATTCATCGCAAGAGACGGAACTCAACATTCGTTCAGTAATTAGTCGTTGCTTGAGGCCAATGTTCTCCTCCCTGGTCAAATAGCAGTTGACCCATTGGCAATGGCCGGGGGCGATGCGGGTTCTGCCGAGAAATACCCTTTAATCACGTGACTTACTTCTTAGCGCAAGAAACATCAGGTCATGTTTGAGCTTCATTTTCCAGCATCGTCATCCGTAAAACCCATCAGCTCCGATTCTTGCCAACCTTCCACACCCCGAGCGATCCCAGCCTCTCTCTTCAAAATGGCGATCAAACCCATCACCGGCGTAAGCTTTTCCCCGTCGCCCACGCCTTCAATGGCAGCCAATGCCACAATCCCGTTCTCCCGAGCTGTTGGGCCACGATCTAACCTCTCGGTAGATGCTTCGCCGAAACCTCATCCTTGACCTCGGAATTGGCCTTGGTGAGTGATACCGAGCCCCGAATACCTGTCGCGCGCTCTCAGAGAGCCAGTTTTCTCCTACATTGCGGACCATGGTGGCTGCACTGAGCGAACACCATGCGATGTCCAGCTCCGCAAAAGCTAACCTCGGTCATACACAGGCATCGGATTCGTCTTTGGCAACGCCTTCTGGTACGACTGACCACGCCCCTTAGATTCGACCAAGATGTGATTCCGAGCTACAGATGGTCTGACCTTTTCCCAGGTACGGCTACCACATGCCGCGCACAAATGCCCGCGACAACCACTACAAGAAGATCGAGGAGGAGCGCGCCGCGAGAATGGGTTGAGCTGGATTATCAATTGGTGGCACACATACGTACATAGACGGGGGAAGCACGAGCAAGCACGCTGGAGAAAGGGAGGGGTCGATGTTGTATTGATAGGATAGAGGTAGCTTGCAACTAAGCTACGTCCGCCTTCAAAATACTCCTTCCACTGGCCCGCAGCATTTGTGGACGCACTGGTTCCAAGGTCTGCTGAGGCCATATAACCCAATTCAAAACCGACCGTAGTACTAGATGTAGCGAACACCCCACTATATCTGATTGGTCGGGGGAGCATTTTATCGAGGAGAGCGTCATATCAGACACACCCAAGTAGACGAGGCATTCGGGATGAGAAAGATATTATTTCACGGTTCAATTCTGGGTGGTGGGTTGCCGGCATTCTGCCAACTAGGCGTCCAGTGATCAATGTGTGATTCGCCCGTTTGTGATGCGGTTCCGGTTGCTGGGTTGGTGGCGCTGCTGCTGCCGCTGCCTTCCCAAGCGGTAGTTTCGACAGTAAATTGGCCATTCTTGTCCTGACATCTACTCGCCACGAAATCAGCACCCACGTCTTCGGTCCAGAACTATAACCCACGCGAATCTGGAAAGGAATCATTGCTCACCGTCGAAACCACCTCTGAACAGGCCAGCAGCGTACCGGGCTATCCCGCACTTCCGGGCGGTCGACCGAGCAGCTGTACTGCATCAGCCCCAGCAGCTCGCAACCCTTCAGGTCGACATTGCGCCCATCGGCTGTCTTCCTCTTCCGGCCATTGACGTCGGCTTGCACCTTTTGCGGCAGCTGCGGCGCCGGGAAGCTGTGGCAGGGTGGCGTCATTTTGGGGAAAAGAGGCAATCTGCTGATGGAGGCCGCGGCTGCATCTCGCGTCGGCGCGGGGTTGCTCGGCGAGATTGAGGAGACGAGTCTGGATGAGGTACGGCACCCTGTGATCTGCCGCTACTTTTCTTCTCGGTACCTGCCCCTCTTTCGCGGGGACGTCGATGGCGCTGCAGGCCCTATATTTGGAAGACGACAAATGCTGGTCCTATCTCGCGATTTTGATTGTGACCCACGTATTCTTATCGCTGATAAGCAAATGTTAACGGCCATAACCACCTAGATTCTCGCATCTCTACGAACGAGCCTCACGACTACGACAACTACCGTCATTGGAGGGAATATCCCAAATGCAAATCCCATCCCCAACACCCCCAGGCCCAAGGAATTCCCCTTCGCGCCCCTCAATGACCTCGTCCACCGCCATATCCGGGCCACCCAGTCCGCCCCGCTGGCCGTCTCGGGCAGACACCTGCCGCTCCTCTACGCCCTGGTCGCCACCCTGATCGCCCCGCCGCACAACAAGGCCGTCTCGGTAGTCGACATGGACGGCCGCTTCGACGTGACCCGCATCCCGGAATGCGCGCCCTTTCCCTTTCCCTTTCCCTCTCCCGCCGCCCCGCTCCCCTCCACCGTCCGCATCAGGCCATCCGACCTCGACCACGTCCACGTCAGCCTGCCCGCCCGCGGCGGCCGCTCCCACGTCGCCGACGCCGTCGCGGCCGCGGAGAAGTTCATGCTGTACGGTCGGCACGGCAGCCGGTCGCGCGAGTGGTGGGGCACGCTGGTCGTCGGCGGCGGGACCGAGCCCGTCGGTGGCGGTGGCGATGTGGCCGTCACGGCCGGCTGGAGGGGCTGGCTGCGGGTCGACCGGGCGGAGGTTGGTGGGTTCGGCGGCGGCGGCGGCGTCGAGGAGGCGCTGGCTGGGAGGGACGGGCGCGCCGCTGCTGTGGATGCGGCCGGGTGGGTGGCGGGCTCGGTGTGGGGTGGGTTTGCGTTTGGGGGGGAGGCGGATGGGGAGGTGGTGGTGGACCGCGCGGAGGACCCCAGAGATACCCGCTGAAGAAGGAACCCCATGTTCGCCTCCCCTGAATTTTCCTCGCGAAACTATGCTAGAGAGTCTTGTCCACTTCGGCGAGGACCGTACACACGGTGTTCTCCGCCGGAACCTTTTGTGGGTGACTCGTGGAGTCCGCTAGAACGGGCTGAAGTCACGCTTCGCCTCCCTTTTAATAGAAACAATTCTGGGACATGGAAGTCCCCGCCGTGCCCGCGATGGAGAACATCCACTTTTCTTTGGCGAGTCGTTGCCCCTCGTACAGAGTACGGTACACAGTCGATTCCACCATGTTCGCCTCCTGCTCACTTCGCACTGTCTGGCTTCGCCAGCTTTGCTATGATGCGTTGACGAGAAAATACGCCTTGGCCGGGCCGGACTTCTGAATGGTTCGGGAACTCCTTTTCTTGCCTGCACTAGTGGGCGAGTTTTCAGCACTTTGCCTCATGGTCCACATCTGCAAGAACTTGCGAAACATTTTCCAAGATCCGAAGGGTTGACCGCCCCAAGTATCCCTGGGTGTCAGCCGGAGAGGCGAAGTCCAATTACTTAGCTTGACTGTCTTGTTTCTACGTGCAACTGCGCTGCATTGGAAGCTGCACAGAGGAACATTACTTGAAGGACTGAGGGAGTGGCAATACCAAAGAGCTGCGTTGCCTGATAGTCTCAGTAATCTAATATAAATACATTATTACCTGGAAGTGACCGCGACATGATAATGATCAACCCCATTTCTCAGTTGCGTACGTTTTCCTACATTACCAGTTAATCAGGTCCATCCACTGTGGTGGAGGATAAATAGCGTTCCTATCGAAGAGCAGACGACGCCTTAATGGAATTCCAATCCTTCAAGGCAGAGATGAAGTGTCTCTACTCGTCTGCCGTTTAATCCACATGTTGAATTTTCATTCCTCTACAAAAGGATCAACACAACGGGCAGGTTAGTGTAATTTAGAAAAGTCGGGGTCTATCGATGCGAAAGCCTCCTGCATTTAACACTCTTATATCCAAATCTACTCAACATTGTAAGCGTCAAGCAGTTTCCTCGATTAAAAACTGAGCGCCTATATCAAGATCCTGTATCAAGATCCTCGATCCTTAGTCAAGTCTGCCATGTCGTGACGGGAGAATATGAGCTGAGAGTCAGCCTAGAAGAGCCAGGCAAGAACCAATAGCTTCCTAAAACTGCACACAAACAATCGTATCAACCCCTGCCCGTAGCTGTACTCCCTCCGCGGCACTGGCTTTCCTCCAAGATAGCCTATGAGAGATTGGCCGTGTCTGAGGCCTGGGTCCAACCAGCTGCCAAACTGTGGGTGAGTCTCGGTCAAGAACAGGAAGGCTGTAATAAAGTTGACGACTTGCAAGATCACCAGAGCCAAATTCGGCAATAAAAATGGATAAGTAGTCCATATGGAGTTGGGGGGAACATCGATGGGTACGGACCAGATGGATTGGCCAAGTTACCTCCCACGACCGGTCCAATGTGGTTTCTAGCAGGGTGGTCAGCAATGGCTCCAACTTCAAGATCGATTCAAGTTTTCGCTGACCCTATTGATCTAATAGATGTAACAGAGGACAAACCGTTGGCTAGGTAGTGTCAGGGTCAGCCGAGGGCTGCTGTTGCGTACAAACGACTCAGGATGCACTACCTTGCTTCTTCGACCCCATCGAATGGTTGAATCATAAAATACACGTAGGGGAAAATGCTGTCTATGCGATCGCCTCCGTGGCTCGGAGCAATCCTGTTGTCCTGGTTGGGTCAAAAACTCTGAGTCACGAGAGAATGTGCTAATATCGATCGGCCCAGACCCACCGTAGGATGAGCAGTTGTATTCGAATTTCAGAGATGGAGTCTTTGGATGGGACAGAAAAGTCGCTGGCAGTTGACGGCAGGCAGGTCATGGTCTCGCAAGGGTGTTAGGAGTCTCGAGCAAAGCAGGGCGGTGGACGGATGAATGAGGTTGGTTGCTGACTGCTGGCAAAAGAAGCTGGAATCACCCGTGTCACCATACACATCACACATTACAACACATACATTGGGGCGTTACTGAGAGCCATGAATTCTTCATTCTTGTCCTCCCACCTATGTTGCCATGTGAACTAGAACCCTTTTCGGCACTTGACAATGGCCACCTCTCCATTCCTTCCACATAGTAAAGTTCCGTATTTATCAAACAAGAGCTACTGCAACGTTGTGTTGTTTATCCAATCTCTAGGGAGGAAGAAATGGCGCTACACCGATCCCATCTCCCAGGCGAGAACTGGTCATCCGCGATATCCAATAAAATAAACGGTATGGTCTGGACTGAGAACCATAAAACGGGGGCAGTTTCTGCCCAAAGTGCGTATTGTTAAGTCAGCCACAACGCATTTGAATATCTGATGTGTGCCCGTGTTGCCTAAGTATTTCTGAGAACAATCAAGAGCCCCTGATGTGAACCAAAGGGGTCTCCGGGGGCCCCCGACCACGCTGTTGACGTAGAACGCCAATGGTCGCGACCAAGATCCAGCCAACCTGGTACTTGGGGCCGTTCCATCAAGTCATGTCTCGTCCACGGAGATATTTGGGATAAGAATACCGCTACTGATATGGACAACATGCCGGCTCCTTTTATGCCCATAATGAGTACGAAATCGGCAATTGAGGGGCAGCAAGGCATAGGCATAGCGACAAGCTAGACATGAGGAACTACTACAGAACTTTCCCGTAGCTGAACCTGGTATGTCCCAAGTCTTACTAGTAAACACTCTCCCTTTGCCATGATCTGCCAGTTTGAATCAATGATAACCTTTTGTGCAGAAGATGAGTGGGACAATAGGACTTGCTCTACTCCATGCGATACGACCAGGGGACGGCGATTTTGTTATCTGGGTGGAACCAGCGCCAGATGTACGAGACCCAATTCCCAATCCTACTTGTTCTTTGATGGATTGAAGTGGAGCGTATTGAACTAGCTACTTCATCGAGGGCTGCTGAGAGCCAGTATAGGAATCCCTTAGACCTTGAGAATCTAAGAATCTTTCAGGTCAATAGCTGGCCAGAATTTGGGTCAGGACCTGGGCAATTGGGGTGTGGGAAGTATGATTGCAGATCACAGTGGGAGGGAAACCCCCCGCGTCTGCCGGCGCCACCTGCCTAATATGTTCACAGCTGCCATAACCACCCTTTATTTCCCCGACGCCCCAGAAAAACCTTAATCCAACGTATCCATGCGGAAGGTGCCCTGCCCTCAGTGCCCCTCATTGGACCCTTACTATAATTAATCAACTTGCTCTACGGAGTACTTTACGGATATATAGAGACAGTCTACATAATCTATCCAAATGATTATCTTCGTGATCCAGGTCATCCGGCCCGCTTGTCCAGTGCGACGGTCCTCGGCGTGAAATTCGAGATTTGATTGTCCCCGTCGTGATTATGAAATGCTGGCAGTTGATCAGCAGCTGGCATGTCCATTTTTCGAGGGAGGGAACAGGGGCAGTATTCAATTCTCCACCCCTCTTTCTCCCTCTTCCCCTCCCCCGCTCTCCACCCCCCGAACATCCAAAGCAACTAACTGGAGGTTAAGGGCTTGGCGTGATAATTGCATGCAAGGCAAAACTGATGAAAAAGAAAGAAAGAAGGAAGAGTAGGAGATGAAAGCAGGGCAGTAGCCTCGGATTGAACTGCCCGAAGCCAGAGATCACCAGAAATACCCGAAATACCGGCTGCAGGTGAGGTCATCAAAAGCAAGCCAGCTTGGCTTGAGATTCGAAAAAATCCCCCAATATCTGTCCTTAGTGATGGAAGAGTCGGAGAGATTTTGAGTGGACGGCACACTCCCTGCGGAACCGGCGGAGAACCTGCTATCTCCTGATGATCCTTTAATAACATGTACACATTGTACAGTGCTTGTCAACAAAAAGATCATTGAGCGGCCTAACCTCGGTGTTCCGATCTCCCTGGAAGCAGTAACGTTCAGAGTTCAATCCAATCTCATCACACGCCGTTGTTTCGTTGTGGGAAAGCCGCTGGTGCCCACGACATGAACTGACATGGACTCTGATGCAACCCGATCATAATTACGGTACATTCCTTGGGCGGCCCGGTCGTGAAGAAGATAGGCGCGGCGTCCTCTCGTTAGGCTCGGGACATCTCCCTGGGAAGCTAATTTTCCAGCGTACATCCTTGGAATGTTGGACGATTCCTTCGTCCCATGATGTCGCGAGTATTTGGGATCGTGTTTCTATCGAGCCCTCGTATTTCGCCCATATACTAACCAAATTTTTATCAGTCTCTCTTGTCGCGTCTTCTTACAAGGTCTACATTGCCGAGTTGGCAGCACAGTAGAGGAGAGTTGGCACTAACAAACCTGGAAATCTTACCTCTTGCAAGTACCTAGGTACCTAAGCGTGCGTCGCCTCCGTACACTGCAGGTACCACGCAGGCGCATTGCCTCGGCAAGTGACAGAAAATACCATATGGAAGGCCCACATTTGCATCGCCCAACTGGATTGTTCCATGCATGCAGAGGTTTCAAATGTTAGCAAAGATACGGCTTGGGCAGATCCACACTACTAGCTCGCTTCTGCCTTGCTAACATTTGAAACCAAGGTGGAGTTGGAGGCGAAGCATCTCCTAGAGTTTGCAGAGTATCGCCGCAGTGCCGGCTGGCATGTGCCGATCACGTGATCCAGTCATAGAGACTTCAAGTACCCAGGTACACGTAGACGACTCCGTGTGCCTCACGGTGGAATCACGGAGGCTCCGGTCTATAGAGTACAGCTGGACGTTGACTAATAAGCTTTTTCCGCGAGATCTTGCTTTCTGTTCCTGAAACAGATAGGTCGTTCGAATAGATGCCCAACTCGCTGATCGGTACGTAAAATGGCAGGCATACAAAGGTTATCTTCACATGCTGGCGCGCGCATGGTTGAGGTCCACGATTCACAATTACGACAGCCGTCTCGTCAATCATTGTCTTGATTTGGCGAAATCCCTTTCTGCACGCCCACGGATACGCGGTGACTACGGCAAGAAGGTGGTAAACAAACCGGAAACACCTGTGCCGGTTAGACGCCTGTACATGGAGGACCCTGATGAAAGGTGCAGATGTGCTTCCGTGTCTTCGGCCAACGGCCGGAGAAGAGTGGGGTCCCTTGACCTTCTCCGCCGCTAGATGGCCCATTCCATTTTTGGGCTGATTCCACAGTGACGTCACGCAGATTGGCAGTGCAGCCGTAGCGGAGACTTTGCGAAGCATTTTGTGGACCCTGGACCGTATACATGAGCGGATAGGGCCAAGTTGAAGCCTTCCATGGAAGCGTCGTTACGGCTACAGCATATCGAGCGGGTTCCTGCAACGGGATAGGGATCACTACCGTCATTGGACGCTCACCGCTGGTCCCTCACCCTTGAGTTGGCTTGTTGGAAGTTGGGTACCGACCCGATCATCACCATTCCGAGCCACAGAGAACCTCAAGTTTCTTCCAGGCTTCTCCGACTCTTTCCCCCTGTTGGATTCGCCGTCCTTAGCAACGTGTGCTAATTGTAGCTAATCGTTATACCTATCTGAGATACTTATTACCTCCCTACCTCAGGATAACGCCATCCTTTTGCTCTCCCGAGTCAGCCCGGCATTACTTCATGACCTCTCCACCACACCTTAGCTCCCCGTTTTTGCTCCACAAATCCACAAAACGGACCCTGAGTTCTACGTCGCTATTTGTCTTCCGCTATCTCTGTCAGCCTGGGTGTACAAGGTACTTGCCATGCACAGTGACATGCAAGACAAGCGGCCTATTTGCTTGGTGTGACAAGGCAGTAGCGATCCGCCCGCGCGCACGTAGGACCAGCCGGCCAATTACATATTACGTAGTACCTCTTGATCCTTCCCCTGTATCCACATTATCCACAACGTCGAAAACTCGTTCATGATAGTTTCTCCAGCTGCCTCGCCTTCGCCAGAGTTTCGGTGCAGCTAGGCGGCAGAGGCCGTCAGCGGCCATGGGTATAAATATGCCGCGACCCGGCCCCGGTCCAGGACCAGATTTCTCCAGACTTTCATTCATCAACCGTATCTCAAGACAGAGAGATCAAAGAACCTCCGTACTATCATCAGACGAAAGTATCTCAACGACGAACTTTTGTTTTCTCGAGTAGTTCCAGGAGAACCACTTGCGAGAACGTTCGAAAGAACGACACACACTCTCTTCGGCCACAACCCAACGCAACCTTCCCACACACAACCCATCATGTCGCACTCTACTCTTCAGCGACCCGCTCTTCACGGGCGTAAAGCATCCAGCAGCAGCTTCGCCGAGACTTTCGAGATTGCCCGGAGTAAGCTCCAAGACTTCGATCTCGACATCGAGTCTCCCATCGCGGACGCCTCGCCTCCCAGCCCTTCCTCCCTGGTGTCAGATTATTCACCAGCAAGTCTCGCCTCTCCCATCACACACCCCGTCACCCCTGGGCTCGACCCCGATGTCGCCGACAACTTTGCATTCGCATTCGACATCGACGGCGTGCTCGTCCGGGGCGGAGAGGTGATTCCGGAGGCAGTCGAGGCGATGAAGGTCCTCAACGGAGAGAACGAGTACGGCGTCAGAGTGTAAGTTTTGCTACTACACGTTTTGGAACTATCAGTTTTCTCTCAGCTGCTAACATTGCCTCTTCAGACCGTACATCTTCCTCACGAATGGCGGTGGCAAGTTCGAGACAGAACGCTGTATCGATCTTTCCCGCCAACTCGAGATTGACGTCTCGCCCGGCCAGTTCATCTGCGGCCACACGCCGATGAGGGAACTTGCTGACCGGTACCATGGCAGTGTCCTGGTCATCGGTGGCGAGGGCGAGAAGTGCCGGCAGGTCGCCGAGAGCTACGGTTTCCGTGACGTCATCACGCCGGGCGACATCATCAAGGCTAACTCGGCGACGGCGCCGTTCCGCAAGCTCACCGAGCAGGAGTACGCCAACTCCCGCGACCTCCTCGCCGAGGGGCTCAAGTCCCTCAGCGACGTCGTCATCGAGGCCGTCTTCGTCTTCGCCGACAGCCGCGACTGGGCAGGCGACCTGCAGATCATCCTCGACGTGGCCATGAGCAAAGGCGGCCGGCTCGAGACCCGGTCCGAGACCTTCGATGAAGGCCCGCCCATCTACTTCAGCCATAACGACGTGGTCTGGTCGGCGGCGCACGAGCACGTCCGCCTCGGCATGGGCGCGCTCCGGCGCATCGTCGAGGTCGTCTTCAGCGAGGTGACTGGCGGCAAGAAGCTCGAGACGCACGCCTTCGGCAAGCCGCAGGTGGGCACCTTCGAGTTCGCCACTCGCCTGCTCCAGCAGTGGCGGGCCGAGCAGCACGGCCTCGAGGAGAGCGCGCCGCCCGACACGGTCTACTTCGTCGGCGACACGCCCGAGAGCGACGTGCGCGGCACCAACGCCATGGATGCAAAGGCCAAGAACAACTGGTACAGCATCCTCGTCAAGACGGGCGTCTACCAGGACGGCACCGAGCCGGCCTACAAGCCGCGGAAGACGGTGCCCACCGTCCTCGAGGCCGTCCGTCACGGCATCGAGCGCGAGATGTCCCGGAGGTCTGCCGCGACCGGGAAGCTGCTCCCGCTCGACGAGGTCGCCAAGAAGGCTGTCGGGTTGTCCGGTCCAAACGGGCTGAAGGCGATGAACAATATCCCTGCTGTCCAAATCCAGGGCGAGGACGTCGAATGCCAGTAGCCAATCATGGCTTTCCACCATGTCGTTTTCTCTTCTTCCCGAAGTTACTCTAGTAGTGACCCGGTCCTGAATCTTTTCGAGTCTTTCATTTTTTTTGGTCGTTCTTTGGCGAAACTTTTTGATACCACTTTTATTTTTATGCTTTAGAGAAGGAAAACAAACCAAATGACCGCGCACTTGGAACGCGGTCTTCGGATTTGGAACAGTTCTAAAGATGAACTATGGGAGCACAATCTTGCATGACGATAAATGGGGAATGGGGCATTGGATTTTTCAAGGAGTTAGACGTCATAAACCTAGCATAGAAGCTTCTATAAACATGGAGATCTCCACATTGGAGATGGTCACAAAAAAAGAGAAGGGTCCAAGGAATATCAAGTGTCATGACAAACTGTCATGACAAACCATCTTCCATCTTCCATCTTTGCAGTGTTTGACAACGTGACGATGCTGTGTATTGCAATTATAGGTAAGGGAGGTAACTTAGATTGGACCTCCATTCACTGGTAGCTTTGCTTCAACAGGTGCGGCTTCCTGACCTCCAAGTCGATGATCATCTGTCCGAAGAGTCCGTTTGCCCATGAAAACCTGTTCGCATGTCAGTCACCAGTGTGTCGAAGATCATAAGTTCTCGATAGTCAGGACTCACCACTGCCTGGTCCAGTGAGACTGATCAAACGTATTGATACTCTCATGTATCAGCCCCAGTCCATCGGTGCTACCGACAATCTCCCTCAACTGCCCCGCGATCTCGTCGTCGTCGTCCGACGTCAGGATGCGCACGATGGCGGCCATCGGCCAGGCCATTCCCGGGCCCTGGTGCGGGCCCCCCACGGCGCCGACGACGGGGCCCCGCATGAAGTACGGGTTGCCGTTGGGCGTCGCGGCGTCGAGGATCAGCGCGCGCGTGCGCCGGTACACGGGGTCGGCGGCGTCGAGGTAGCCGAGGAAGGGAGCCGCCAGGAGCGACGGGATGTTGGCGTCGTCCATGATCAGAGAGGAGCCGAAGCCGTCCACCTCGAAGGCGTACACCGTGTCGAAGTGTCCGCCGCTGCTGTCGTCCGGGGCCCGCTTGGTCTTGCCCCCGTACCCGCCGCCGCCGCTGGCGGCCCCCTGCGGCGCCACGGGCACGATGCCGTACTTGGCGATGGACGCGCGGAGGGATGCTGCTAGGGCCTTCATCTCGTCGGCCAGGCCCGCGGGGGCGCCGGCGCCGAGGCCGGCGACGATCTCGGCGGTGGGCTCGAGGTAGCGGGCGAACATCATGTTGGCGGGGATGAAGAGCTGGAAGGTGGTGCTGTCGTCGCTGGGCCGGAAGCCGGAGCGGATCAGGCCCGTGCCGGCGGCGACGGGGCTGCCCAGGCCGTCGTTGGCGAAGGTCTCGGTCGAGCGCGTCGTCTGGCGCGTGAACTTGTAGGGGCTGTCGAGGACGGCGCCGTCGGCGCCGTACGTGGGCGTCTGCATGGCCCTCGCGACGCCTAGCACGGCCTGCACGGCGGACACCCACTGGAAGCGGCCGAAGAAGTCGAGGTCGCCCGTGCTGTTGTAGTAGTTGGCGCTGACCTCGAGGAAGGCGGCGAGGCTGTCGAGCTCGTACTTGCACTCGAACACGCTGGCGTTGCTGTACGGCGGCGTCACCGAGTCGGCGGCCGCGGCCCCGTTCTCCGCGGCCGGGATCCGGCTCTCGAGGGGAGCCTGGAAGGAGTTGCAGTACGGGCTGGTCAGGAGGTAGCGGGCCTGCAGGTTGATGACGCCGCGGTACAGGCTGGCCACGCCGTCGCGCGACGGGTCGGCCTTGAGCACGGGCAGGTACGATTGCATTTGGTTGGCGCTGTCGCGCAGCCACATGGCGTTGATGTCGCCCGTGATGACGAAGGTGAGCTCCTCGTCGCTGTTGTTCGCCGCCACGCCCCGCCACTTGATCGCCGTGTCCAGCGTGTTGGGGTACGTGTTCTGGAAGAGCCTGTACAGGTCCGGGTCCGAGATGGCCGACTCCATGCGCTCGATCACCTCCTCGACGTCCGACGAGTTGAAGGTGCGGCAGGCCGGAGCCGGGCGCTGGTATGACAGCTTGTGCTGGCCGGAGCTGAACGGTTCATGGCGTTGCTGGGCGTAGTCTGAGTAGTCGGGGCAGGACTCGGCCGCCGCGGCCAAGCTGGCGAGGAGCGACGACAGGGCGATGCTCGTTTTCATATTTGCGATGACTGGTTACCGATGACAACGCTCAAACGTGTATGGCAGGGTCCGGTTCTATTAGATACTTATCTAACTCCAGGTCCTCGAGCTACCACGGGGGAGCATCAGGTCACACAACGTTCCATGGCGGGGAGAGAGAGGGGGATAGCTCTTGCCCTCGTGTCTTCCATTCACAAGCTCTGGATCCGCAGATCGAGCTTGGTAGCCCGGAGATCATGCACGTCGGGCATGATTGAGATCGACTCCTGGACTGCTGCATGGTAAACTCTGCAGCGTCTTTCCCACCTCTCCCCGCTACTTCCCCGCAATCGTTCTGTGATGTCATGATACGGTGACCGAGTTCGGGAGCTCGAACTGAACGAGGTTCCTAACTAGGTTTCCTTTTGGTCGGGATATGTAGCTGCCAAATCTGGCCGACGGTGGGCTGACGAGGAAAGTTCTTCATGATCAGAAACTAGGTCCGAATCGGTGTGATCAAGAGCCAATGGCACGCTGGGATTTTAGGAGCTTCCCGGCGAACTCAAGAGGTGGTGTTGATGAAAAGAGAAGGTGTGAAGGTGCGGAGATGCGATCGACACGAGCCTCCGCTGCCAATGAAAACATGGCCTGTATCTGCGTGACTACCTGCAGGAAGCAACAATCGCCGGCCGGTCGCCGCAGGCTCGCTGTCGACTTCTCCGTCGCCGCTTTCTTAATTCGAGGCCGGCATCCAATGTTATTAGGGCTTTCTTTTCCCTGAGCATGTTCGGTCAATGTCGGATCTCCAGAGACACGGCGGGATGCAACCCAAATTCTAGAGCCTTCCACAGTTCTCCATCCCCGAGATGCATGATACGGCCTGAAATAGGCGTTCGACGACAGCAAGTAATCTTCATGTGGCATCTCATTACTGAACCTTACGGCGGGCAGTCTTGCGTAGTGTCGTCGAGGATTTGGTCCCCGAACAAGTCCGCCTGCATCCTCGCCCGTAATGGGCATGACAGTCAGTAGCCACCACCCATGTCTCCGACTCAAGAAATAGCATTTTTGACAAAGCTACAAAGCAAATCTTGAATGGCGCAGGAAGGGTCCCGATACGCAAGCGGCCAAAGGTTCAAAATACCAGGGACCCGGGGGCCTCGCCGAAGTCCGCTAGAGACAAGATTAATATCATTTGATCAGATTCTCCTCTTGTCATGGCATCGTACGTAGATGCAGCCCGGAGTTAACAATGGGGTGCCCAGACACCTATCTGTGGTGGTCCCAGGGGGAAGTCCTGGAGGTGCATTTAAGTCATTGTTGAGATCCCGGGCAAACAGCTCTGGTCAACTCTGGTCCCCTTCAGATGGCTCTGGCTCTTGCACAACATTTCATCGCTGATTTAATCCATCCCATTTTGATTCCAGCCATTCCCTTCCCCCCCCCCCCACAAACCTTCCTGCCAAGAGTGGGAGTGAGAAAAGAGAATATGTGCTGGATGCAAACTGTGCTGGAGTGATCCTGACGCGACTCTGATAGTGGCGAGGGGAGCCACATTCCCCAGAGCAAACCAGTGTGTCAGTCAGGAACCCATGTCTCTGCCAGATCGTGCCGGTTGTTTCGGAAGGGATCGAGATCGGGCAGTGGAAATAAAGCCAAGGACGGATGGAGGAATGAAGCTGCCGGCCGGCTACAAAATGCCACCGAGACTTGCATCACCGTGGGACGTAACTTGGCAACTTTCGAGTCTCGATGGACAGACGCGATGAGCCCTATGGCCATCGCGAACACTGGACTTGGGGGGTTTCACCATCTTCTGGCGAGCCACTGTGTATGTTATGATCTTGCCGAGACCGTACCATGATGCCCTAATAAGGACTGATCGAAATCGCGGAACAGAGCTCCAGATCCACATGGAGGAAAGACTCGGCCAGCGCCGGCACTTGCATGATAGAAAAGTCGGGCAGGTGATATCGGCCGGTGATGTCGGTCCTGTTCTCTGTTTCCCCTCTGCGCCGGAATGTATTAGACCTTGCTAGACGTAGCGCGCTGGCATGCTAACATCTCTCGTGACGCGATGGTTGGGTTATTTAGTGGAGTGTGCTTCGAAGTGGTGCTGCGGGTGGGGGATCTACAGATTACTGGTGCAGAAGAGTTCCAGGGCGCGTCTGGAAACCGCGGGGGTGCCCTTGCATCTTTAGGGCAAAGCCAGGGGTGACTAAAATTAGTCCAGGAGCCGGCGGGGGCCTCCGAGTTCCCGGGAATGAGTTCGCGTCTTCCAGGTTCCCACCAAACCCCTGGTCTAGGGGTACCTATGTACCGCAGCTGCCCCTCAAGTGATAACAAAGACCAGGAAGCCAACGCCCAACACGCGTTCAGGAGAATCATAGTCAGGCCACGAGTTGGGCGACGAGAAGGGGAGAAAAGAACGGAGTCAGCCAACTGGCAGCTTCTTCTAGCTACATGGGAAGCAACGGCGGGACAATGCATTCGTGTACGGATAAATTTTTCTAGGGCTGCTTCTTCGACCCCTGGTATTCTCATCTTCCCTGGTTGGTCGCTCGCCCCTGCATGCTCCCAATTTGGCGCCTGAAATGTAACACACTAAAGGTAGTGGCTTAGACTGCCAGCCCTGACGGCGATCTCCCAACATACCCGTTGTCTGGGAAAAAAAGGAGCTCACTCGTCCGAATCGTCCCAACCTTAGAGAGGCCTTGATGTGCCGAAGTCCGGAGTAGGTAGGCGGCTCCCAAACTCCGGGTTCGAAAGGTTGAGGCAGGCGTGCATGCATCAGCATCAGCATCAGAACCAGACCGCCATTATTAACGACAGCGATCGGCATGATATGATGGGTGATGGGTGATGCGATGATGGGATGATGTAGTGTGGGATGCTGATGGGCGCCACCCACCATCACTCAGCCGCCCACCCAAAGGCAGCGTTCCTAGATCTACACAATAACGTTCCTGACTGCCGTCTCGTCTCCTTGCAGATCGAGTGTGACTGTGAGGGTGCGACCCGCCGGCCACCTACCCCTGCTTGGCACGCAGGGAGGGGGCCACAAAATGAACTTCCTTGGTCATTCTGTGGCTGTAGCATTCCATCCTTGCAACCCTCGTTTCTTCCCCCTTCAATTATGGAACGACAAGGATCCCTCTAATCAGAGATGTGAAGCTGCGTACCGTACCCGTAATCGATCCGTGGATCCCTCCGATCCCTCCTAGTCAGTCATGCGGTCGCCTTCCTCTTCTGTCTGAGCTTTCTTCTCTTCACCTCGTCGTTCTTGTCCTCGTCGACTCGGTGCCTACTATTCCGTCTTCTCTCACTAGAGTCACTCTTTCTCTCTATCCCTTTTCTGTCCGGCTTCCTTTCCTTCTCCCCACTCTCGTCGTTCTCTACCACAATATCACCTTCACTTGTCCCGAGGCAGTGCTCCTCCACTTTCCCTAAACCACACTTTCCTTCGCTCCGTGTCTGTCCATATCCCGTCCGTTGCGGTTGTTGGTTGTTGTAACACCTCAACGGCGGCATTATAACCGACCCCTCCCTCTTTCCGCAAGCAGGACCAACAATTTCATTGTCATCCCGAGAGAAAACTACCAGGGGACAATGACCTGCGTTGTGCCGCAGTGAGGAAGTTGAATTTGGTCCTACGCTCGTTCTCTACCCCCACATCTTGGGTCAAGTTGCCGAACAGGCAAACTTATATATTCTACACTTTGGCCACGGAGCCGAGGAAACTTCACTTATATCTTGGGACCTCTTTTTGTTCTTCCTGAACATTCCGTCGTCGTGGTTCTAGCTTGTGGTCCTCAAGCTTGTTCGCCTACCTGCCTCGGTCCACGAAGACCCGACAACACACAATGCTTCTTCTTCAACACTCTCCAGTCTCGCTTCTGGCACTGCTTCTGGCAGTGTCGCAGATAGCGGCTGGCGAAGACCTTTCCTCCCTGCCAGATTGCGGAGTAAGTCTGCTCGATCTGCCATATCTAAACCGACCCGTGATCTTACTGACGCCCAACTTCTTCCCGCAGCAAACTTGCGTCAGCGATGTGATGGGAGATCCCACTCTCCTGGGCTGCGGATCAGGGGCCACAGCTTGCATGTGCGCCAACCCTGCGTTCCAATTCGGCATCCACGACTGTGTCGTGGCACGATGCCCGCCCGACGCCATCGCCACCGTGACAAACTTCGCGATAGCGTTGTGCGCAAGTAAGCCCTCCCTCCCTTCTTCCCCCGAAGCCAGCTAGCAATTAGACTCGGTCAGTTCGCTAACAACACCGCAACAGCCGCCGTCTCAACACCACCACCGGCCAGTACACCCCTGGTCTCCGACGCGGCAGCAGTACCAGCGACGAGCGCGCCCGTAGCCTCGCCAAGCACCCCCTCAACCCCCCTCCCCATCAGCACATCAGTGGCACCGGCCACACCCACCGCGGCGGCCAGCACCCCGTCCTCCGACCCGGCCCCTGCATCGTCAACCGCCCCCACCGAGCAGCCCATCACCACCACTGCCGCGGCCGCCACCACGGAAAGCACAGCCGCGGCCGCGACCACGACTTCCGAGGCGTCTCCCACCACCGCGACCGCCACCCCCAGCAGCACCGCGGCGGCCTCGGCTCCCCTGTCTACGGGGACTAAGATCGGCGTGGGCGTCGGCGCGGCGGCGGCTGCGGCGGGCATCATCGCGGCGGCGGTGTTTGTGCTGGTGCGGCGGCGGCGGCGGCAGGCGGACCAGTCGGACGGGTACCTTCGGCAGATCCAGATCTCGCAGCCGATGGCCGGGTCGGGGCGCAGCTTCGCGGGGGGCAGTGGGGATGGTGGTGAGAGCTTTGATGGGGGTAGCCACCACGGGGTGGCGATGTCGAGGTATGAGACTGGGTTGAGTGAGTTGGAGGCGAGGAGTAGGAGGTATGAGGATATGCCGCCGAGGGAGAAGCCGAGGTATATTGTGTGAGTTGGGGGGGGGAGATGCTGGGTGAGGGGGAGAGGTGGTGTGCGTGTGGATGTGGGTGTGGATGTGGGTGTGGTCGTGGAAGGGGAAGGATAAGTGGAAGTTCAAGTGAAGTGCGCAGACTGAATGGAGCACGGGATGCTGCGATTTATCTGTCTATATCTATTTTGGCAGATACTAGAACGCGTTGATCATGAAATTTCTGTTTTTGTCACGCACTCGTTACTTATTTTGTTCTCGGGCGAAAGACTAGGACAAGAACAGGAACGGCCAAAGTCAGGTTGCTATTGCCCTAGGTAGTGATGAATATATCAATCTTGGAACGGCATATTTTTCTTCATTTTTTCTTGCGGGCAGTAAGGAAATAGGGGCAGAGTGGTTGCCCCGCGAATCAATTCCCAGAATGCAGATTCTAGGAACGAATGCTAGGTTCCGCAGTATATTTGTGTATCATGGATTTTTTACAGGCATGGGAGGCTCGACAGACAGAAAAAAAGGGTGCTTGATACATGTGCCTGTCTATTTGTCCAGACTTAATCGTACAACGGACAACTCTGAGTTCGCGTCCTCGATAGATAGCTGCGTTGTTGAGGGTCCATAGCCATCCATCATGTTGCCTGATGAAGACACCTAACCCAATCCAAGCAATTGACCATCTTCGAAAACACGCCGTTTACCACGAGTAGTACTGCCTCTGCGCCGTGACGGGCCGGTCGGGAAGATGGACCCACGGGCCCTGTCGGTACTTCTTGGCCTCGCGCTCCTGGTGCTCCCGAATGCGAGTCTTCTCTTCCTTGAGCACGACCGAGATGCCTGCAAGCAAAGAGGGTTAGTTCGACCATCTTCCCAGGTGACGAAAGCAAGGGAACTCACTTGTAGAGGGCCTCTTCATGATGTTCATCCTCCCCCTGGCACGGTAGTCCTTCTTGAAACCCCTCCAGGGCCCGCGCCCAACCCACGCCTCAGCGACGTACATCCTCGTCGGGTCGTCGATCGTCACCCACTGGCCGTCCTTTGTTTGGACCTTGGCCACCTCGTCGGGCGCCTCCGTCGCCCCGCCGACACGCCCGAGCCCCATACCCCTCTCGGCGATGGCGCGGTCGCGGGCGACCTCGAGCTCGGCGCGCACCTCGCGGGCCATCTTCTTCTTGCTGTAGCGCATCTGCTCGAGGGCGTCGGCGACCGTCTTGCCCTGGATCTGGTGGGCCAGGTGCACGAGCTTCTTGACGCTGGTCGGCAGCACCAGGCTCTTGTACAGCATGCGGCGCTCGGTGCGGGCCAGGCGCGCCGCTCGCGGCTCCCGGCTGAACGGGTCCGTCGCCGACGTGGCGTGCCGCAGCACCATCTTGCGCTGCCAGCGCACGCGGCTGCGCGGGTCCGGGTCCGTCGCCCGCGAGAGGTGGTCCCGCAGCAGAGAGGCGCCCGCGGCGCCCTTGGGCTCGCTGCTCTTCGCACCTAGGTTGACGCTGGGCTCGACCTCCTTGGGCGTTGCGTTGAGCTCGTCTGCGAAGATGGACGCGTTGCCTTGTTCGGGGTACGTGAGGTGCTTGATCAGGCGCTCCCGGACCCAGCCCTGCGTCAGCTGCTTGGGGTTCGGAATGTTCTGCTCGGCAGCTGCCTTCTTGGATTTGCGGCCGCCGAACCAGGCATGGCGACGCTGGGGTCTGTTGAGAGAAAGAGAGAGCGCGCTCGAGGGCGATGGGCCCAGGTTGAGGGATTGAAGTGCCGGGATGAGGCTGCTCGCGGCGGATGAGCTGGGACAGAGCGTCGTCGAGGCTGGTTGACCAAGGGGTTCATGTTAGCTGGCAGGTCCGGATGGGACAGCGGGGTCTCAATGGGATGTCAATGAGCAAGGGGCAATCGTACCGGCTCTTACCACCCGCCTTGACGGCAGGTTGAGACTCATTGTGGCGGGTTAAGCTGCATTAAGATGCTCGTTCGATGAGTCTAGGTGGACGTCGAGAAAAATCTCAGGTTCGATTGAAGCTCGCGATGAGATGTGCGCTAAGCCGCATTTGGTAAGCCTCGCCTCCATATCTCAGGGGTCCATGCTTCTGAACTTCGGACTCCCATCAAAAAGTGCCTCTGTTGAAGATACTATCTGATTAAATCTATGGATGTATTGATAAGTAAGCTAGACAGGTACTGGTAATTCTTTAGAATAGTGACCAGCTCTAGTACTCGTGGACGAATTTCCATTGTCAGGATGCAAACTAGAGTCGTGGGAGGAAGTCCCATGACGTTGTTATCTACATGTTCCGCGCAATAATTTGGACATATCCGTCTCCCAAGGCCTTCCACAGACGGACTTCCTGGGCAAGCGTCAAGTTCCCAAGTTTCAAGCACGGGGACGCCTCCGCAGGATAATCTAGGGGAACAAAGGGTTCATCCGAAATGGTGGCACGTAGGGGGTATACAAAGCTACCACATAAGCGATTCCCCAGTACCAGTTTGATTAGTTGAAGCTGTGTGACCCTCGTTCCGGGCATCTCGGTCATCTCGACCACACATATACCTGCGTCTCCGGCTCGCAGGCTGCGGGGGCCCGAGACTGATTGCGAGACAAGGACGAGAAATTCATCGATCACCGTCTCCTCCCATATCCTACGTGTGCCTATCCGACCTCTCAGGCTCGACTTGCTCACGAACACATCAAGTGAGAATCATTTCTAAATTGTTCTATCCTGTCGAGTAGAATGCGTATCCTGGCTAGGGAATACGAGGCACGGCTGGTTGAGGCAAGCTTTGCCAAAAATCAGCTACCTAATTTGGAGTGCTTGTCTCCACGTTGTTGACACAACAGACAAGCCTAAACGGCCCATTATCCTCAAGACGGCCTGGCCTGGCTTGACCGTAACCTCTCGCAACCCCACAAACACAACCTCTCCTTCCGCCCGTCTCCCTCAGCCCGCCCTCCCCGCGGCCCCAGCCCCAGCCCCAGCAGCCGCGTCCCTGCCCTCCTGGGCGAGCGTGAAGATGCGCTGCCACGCCTCGAGCCAGCGCCCGTGCTGCGCCGTCTGCAGCCTGCCGGGGGTCTTGAAGCTGCGGCCGAGCAGCTCCCACAGGCGGGACCGCAGCGCCTTGAGCACGAGCGCCGTCTTCCAGTCCGGCATCGTGAAGCGCACGCGGTTGCCGTCCAGGACGAGCACCCCCGCGTACATGTCCACCCGCACGTCGCCGCAGAGCAGCGCGATGGCGAAGGGGTCGACGCCCGTCGTCTCGTGCGCGTTGTAGTACCTGCGAGTGTTAGGGGTGGGATGCTTGGAGGGGAGGATGGGGAGGATGGGAGGAGGGGAGAAGTCAGCTTACGTCTTGGAATGCATGATATGGTAGTAGCTCAGCCATCGCAGTTCGTTGTGCCCCTTGTTGACGCTCGAGGGATGCAGGCTGATGGTCTGGTTGTTGCCCACGTTTCGAAGCCCCTTCCCGCCGGGGACATCCCGCACCAGTAACTTGGGGTAGAAACTCCAGGCGATCACGGACTGCGACACCACGTCGTTGTCGCTGTTCACGTTGACCCTCTGTGGGACGTCGAAGAACGCCTGGTTCCTCCTCCTGCCGCCCGACGAGTACCGAAGCCGGTTAAGGCCTCGCCGCTCGTCGTCGGTGAGGGGCAGGAAGCCCGAGTCGACGAGAGACACAATCAGCTGCCCCTTCAGGTCCTCGATGTTGGCCAGCGTCTGCGGAGAGAGGAAGTTCTTCCTGCAGAATTGGAACTCCACGCCGTGACCCGTCGACGACTGGCAGACACGCTTCCAGGCTAGATAGGCATTGTAGACGGTCAGGAGGTCCGAGTCGCCGCGCCGGAACGCCAGCTTGACCGTGTCCGCCTGGTTGCGCTGGCCGAATGGGGCGACAAAGGGCGACTTGGACGACAGGATGGCCGCCACCGTTATGGCCATGTCGAGGCACTTGAAGATGGTGCCGAGCAGGATGAGCTTGCCAAGGAAGACATCCAGGGGAAGGCGGGCGAGCTGGTTGCCAAGAGGCGTCAACTCCTCCGCCTGTGTGAGAGCGCGGACATCGACCAGAGCATCGATGGCCCGATGGATGTTCTTGGCCGACGGCGCGTCGAGAGCCTCGCTGAGCGTCTCTTCGATGCCCCCGAGCTTGCATATCTTGACGCGGATGGCGAGGTCCTGGAGGGACAGTCGGAGCATCTCGGGCGTCTGCTGGTCGCTCATGATCTTGTCATGGCGATACTTGGTAAACAGGTGGAAACAGAGGCCTTCCTGCACACGGCCAGCACGACCACGACGCTGCTTCGCGTTGGCCCGCGAGATGAACGAGTCGATCAGCTTGGACAGCTGCCGCCGTTCGTCGAACCTCATTTCCCGGTGCTTGCCCGTGTCGATGACGCAGGTGACATCCGGAATCGTGATACCCGTCTCCGCAATGTTGGTCGCGAGAACGATCTTCCTCTTCCCGGGGGGTGGGACCAGGAATGCAGCCTCCTGCTCCTCCGTGGCGATTGAGGAGTGCAAGGGGTAGATAAGCCACTCGTTCGAGAAGTGCTTGTCGCCGAGGAGGAGGTCGTTGAGTGTGCGAATGTCAGCAATTCCCGGCAGGAACACGAGGATGGCCTTGCTGAACGGTATGTAGGTAGGGTCCGTCGCAATTCGGGATATGAGCTGGACGACGAGGTCAAAGTCGATCCGATATTCATCCAGCTGAGCGAGCGTGTTTCGAGTCCGTGTCGAATACTGCTTGAGCTCCTTGAGGAGCTCGGGTTTTGACGACCCCTCGGCCTCGATCTCGGCAACGTCGTCATCAAGCGAAACGACCTGGGGGTTCTTCTGGTCAACCGAATACCCGGTGAGCTCGACGGCGTCTTCGAGATACTTGACCTGGACGGGAAAGGTGCGACCGGGAACGTTGAGCACGGGGGCTCCTCCGAGGTATTTCGAGAAGCGTTCCGCATCAACCGTTGCAGACATGAGCACCACCTTCAAGTCCTTCCGCTTAATCAGAAGCCTCTTCAGGACTATGAGAAGGAAATCGCTGTCTATGGACCGTTCATGGACCTCGTCGAGGATGAGATGGGTGATCTCCTTCAGCTCATTGGAACCCTCGAGCATGCGCATGACAATACCGGTAGTGGCGTAGACGAGCCGCGTCTCTCTCGAAGTGTTTGATTCGAGGCGAATCGAGAATCCCACCAAGGACCTCGACGTCCCCAAATCTCCCTTTCCTTCGCCGAGTTCATCGCTGACGCGGCGTGCCAGAGAGATGGCAGATATCCGACGAGGTTCTGTGCAGTATATCTTGCACGGCCTGCCTTGGGATAACTGGTGTTCGAGGAGAAACGATGGCACCTGTGTGCTCTTTCCGCACCCCGTCTCGCCGCAGACGATCACTACTTGCTCCCGTTCAATAGTATCGACCACTTCCTGCCGGAAATCCCACATTGGAAGCTGCATTCGGGATCGCAGCATGGTCTGGAACTTTGGAGTGCTGCTCTTTTGCTGCCATATATGCTGATAGTATTCGGGGCCTCCTGAAAGGCGTCTCGTCCTGTCACGGGTCGAGTCATCCGCGCCGTTCGCACCTCGGGCTTGGCCTCGTCCTTTGAAAGCGCCATGCAGGAGCACGCCGTCCTCGAGCTCCTGCTCCTGTTTCTTCCGCACAAGATCCCGTAGCTCCTTGACGGCGGCCCGATCTTCCGCATCAGCCTTGGCCTTTTTCTTCTCGGCATACTCCGACCACAGGTCTTTCCATGCCGGGGGCAGCCTCAGGAACACCTTTTCTTCCTTCGAGGATGAGCTGAAGATAGAAAACATTGCGGTAGTCGCTATGAACGCTTCCGACTGTTTCGCGTCAGGAGTGGCGACTGATATCATCTTGAAAACAAACAAGCTCGGAGATGTGAAGGCATCGACTTCGGGGATGTCGGCCGGAGGCGGCAGCTCTTGCGGCTTGGACCAGGCGATGTGGACCAGATGGCGATTTGCAAATGCCACGTCGGAGATTAGTCGGTAAGTGATCCGTACAGACGAGTCCCTCGACCGGCAGGCTTCCTCGAGAGCCCGCATGGGGCTTACACCCGACCATTTCGCGAAATCTCGGAGCGTGACTTTCGTCCCGTTGGCGCCGTTCACAACCGTGCTTGTCTTCCCGGTCGTGGGGTCCACTTCACTAACTGGGAGACTTGCGAAGAGGTCTGCAAGAGCCTGGTCGTCGTCATCGTCGTCATCGTCGTTCTGTGCGAGGATCTCCGTCGCGATCCGCTCTGCCTCCTGGCCGACACCATCTTCGCCATTTTCGTCGGAGCGGTCTTCTAGAGCTTTCTTGCTGTCCTCCTCTTCGGCCTTTCTCTTTTTCTCAGCCGCATATTCCTTTTCAAGGACGATCTTCTTCGGTCTCCATTCCTCGTCAGCCACGAATTTGTCGAAAAGCACATCTTTCTCTATGCGATCGAGCTTGGCCAATAGATATGCCTCTTCCGCGTCTTTTGTTGATCCGATCTGTCTTGATTGCGACTGTTTACTCTTGACAGTATCCTGCTTCGACCGCTGCAACGCAAACAGCTTCTCTTTCGTCTCGAGGTAGGCAGGGAGCAACTCCTCCGGCTCTATGTCCTCGTCGAAGATGACTGCCGGCTTCCGGGGGGAGGATGCGCGAGGCGAGCGAGAATACAGGGCTCCATTCTTCAGCTTCGACCCCAGGCCGGCTTCGACGTCCAGAAGCCGAGGGGTGTTGGCGCCAGAAGGTAGGGGGCTGTCGAGCGGCGTATCGGCTTGAGACTTTGGCGGCAATTTTCCACGGCCGTCATAACTCGGAAGCTCTTCTTGAGTACATTCTCTGGCCAGCCAGTCTAGAGCCTCGTCAAGTCCCCAGATGGAGTCTCTGTTGCTGGTGGACACATTAGCCGCCATGTCCAGAACGAACTGCAAAACCGGCCGGATCTTCTCCTCGGGGAATCCGGCCCCCGTGAGGGTCTGCTGTAGCGTCCAGAGCTTCATGGTGGCGTCTTCCTCCTGCAGCACTTTGCCTGTGGTGCCGCCTTCGGTGACTACGCTCGAGGCAGCAAAGCGACCTTCGGCCTGGACAAGATCGAGAAGATGGTCCATGAGCTCTTGGGGGAGCCATTTCTTGGTGTTGATAGGTTCGGCCTGGCTGCGGAGGAGGCGGCGATCGGTCTCTAAGCGGTTCTTCTGGCGTTGGGCATCTCTCTTCACCTTTTGGGCGTATTTCTCGACGAGAAGCTGTAGCTCGGATTCCTCAAGCTGCCTTTCGAATTCTTCGGGACTCAGGGGGTTCTCGGGCTTGGTGCCTTTGGCAGCATCGCCCGGCTGCCCGGCTGTGGATGGCGGGGCATCTTTGCTCGATGGAGGGGCATTGCCGTTTCCCTTGGTGGCGGCATCAGCGATGTCATCAATTCCGTCGGCCGTGTCGGCTCTCGGTTTGGAGGCAATCGAGGTGGTCGCGAAACCCCGTGCTGGGTTGGCCGCAGGCTTTTTGGCCTTCTTCTTGCCAGCCATCGCGGAATATGGGCGATGTCGGGGTGCGAAGTTTAGGGGAGAAGGTGGGAAGGTGAAGTTGGTGTCACGTTAGAGGCGGGCCTCTTTCGAAACCTTTCAGTGGAGCAGCAGGACAAGCAAGCATTGGAATTTTTTTAATGGAGGGCCTAGCTTGCAGCTTGTCTTTCCCCAGCCAGTGAGTAATTAGGTACTACTTCTTCTTGAGACAGGCAGGTAAATGCTTAGCACATTTGTCCGCCCGCCTACAGATCTACGCAGGATGATATGCTGGCTCCCATCGGCGGAGCCAGAAATGGGCGTTTGACTCCAAAATTCTGGGCAAAATCTGTCACCGCCTGCTCTTTCTGGATGCAACCCCGCCAATTACGTAAGGTGCCTGGCAGCAAGCCCCACTATTTTGTGAGTCTTCGGCTTCGCTGAAATTCGAGTGCACAATTGTCAATTGTGGAGAAGGAAAGTTGAGCTGGCAACAACTGGCAACGATCCTTGAAGAACGAACTTGAGCCTCACACCCCAAGGCCTGGTTAATTTACTGCCTGGCTCTCTTCCGGTGCCTCCCCTCGAACCTCTCGAACCACGTACTCCATGCCAATGTCGGCTCTAATACAAATTCCCCGACAATATGACTGAAGCGGCTGTAAATGGAATCGTCGCTGGCGACCTGGACATGAAAGCAGCGAAGCTCGCTTTGTCCTCGTCTTCGACTGCCACCAGGATTGCCCAATTGCGAACTCTCGAGGAGAAGTTGTCCCAAAATGGTATTGTTGTGCCCAGAAACCTCAAGACCCCCGCCCCCCGACTGATCCTGCCATCGACTAACAAGTGTGTCTTCCCATAGCTCTCGACCGTTCCTCAACCGTCGGCCTGCTCAAGGTCCTCTTCTGGACTCACTCCTTTTACTATGACCGCCCCTCCCGTCGAGCTGTCCAGAAGTGTCTGGTTGCCATTGCGAATACCGGGGACCCAGACATCTTGAGCCCCGTCGTGGCGGCAATCCGCCAGGAGGCTCAGAAGAATGCGATCGCAACAAGCAATGCCTTCGGCCTGGTCGAGTGGTGCAGCCTTCTCATGCAACATTTGTCCGGTACGCCATTATGGGACAAATTTGGGAGGGATATTCTTCTGGCCGACGCCGACGCTCTCGAGAAATGCTTGCAAGAACAGTCAAAAAGTGCCATTGCGGACTCGGCCCTCGTCATAACGAGGAGGGGATTCCGAAAACTCGTATCTGGGGAAGAAGGCAGGGAAACGGTCATCAGCGGCGCAGTCGAGGTACTTAGCGCCAAAGGAAGCCAGCCAACGGCGAAGAATGCCGTCCTGCTTGGTGTTGTTGCTGGTGTTTGTTCTAGGAACTCAGCCGCTAAGCCCATCTTGGCGAAGCTTAAGGCCTCCTACCTCTCCTTTTATATCCGGGAGATCGTTGGCTCTAGAACGCCCCTACCCAAACATCTGGCTGGCGGGCTCGGCGATTTCTTCTCCGCCTTCGTTTCTTACGAGGACTTGGAAACGGACGTCTTCCCGGCATTGGAAAAGGGGCTTCTGCGAGCCCCTGAAGTCGTGCTCAACGACCTCATCACGCCCCTCGTGGGTGCTCTACCAACATCCTTTGATCTCTCCGAGGCATTGAGGGGGCGGCTGTTGAAGCCATTGCTTTCGAATATCAAATCCTCCAGCCCTACCATCCGCACTGGCGCCGTGTCCGCTTTCAAACAGCTAGTTGCCGCTTCCAAAGACTTTACCGTCCTCGCACAGGTTGCTGACGAGATCCTGGCGCCCCTGAAGACTGGAAAACTTGCGTCTGCAGACCACAAAGTATTGCACTCGGACATGTTGGAAACATTACCCATGACCGCCGACATTGCCTCCAAGATCGGAACCGCGCTTCCTGCCGTGCTAGGCAAGGAAGGCAATGAAGCTGCACTGGCGGCCGAAACCTCGGCCCTCAAGACTGCGACGGTTTTCTTACTTTCAGGTGATGGCGAGGTGCCGAAAGCCCTCGTTGACGCTTACCTGAAAGGCTTGGCCGAGAAGAAGCTACCGATTCGAAGGATATGGATTCTTCGCACAGGAGAGGTTCTTTACTTCTACACCAGTCGTGAGGGTAGTCTCTCTCCAAATGCCGTCAAATTCGCCGAGGCCGTTTTCCCACTGTTGATGGAGACGTTCAACGAAGTTATTGCGAACCCACTAGCAGCGTCCCAGAACGGCCTTGTGACTGGCGCCCTGGTCGTCTGCAGTGTGGCCTCTCTGCTCCAGCAGTGCTCCAACTTGGCCCCAATGGCAAAGAAATACCAAGTGCTGAAACATGCTCTCGCCTATGAACCGAAACCCTCCTTTCTTCTCAGCCCTCGTGTCTACAGTAAACTGACTTCGGAGGACGATTTCAGGTGGCTTTACCGGGGACTCTCAGCTGTCGCCCCTGGGGTCACCTCTGCTGAACAGTCGGCCGTCAAGTCGGCGTGGTCTCAGGCGTTCATATATTTGATTTGCTCACCACAAGTCGCCGTCACCACACCCAAAGAGGTAGGTGGCACCACTCTACGCAGAGAGATATGTGACGCCCTCACGGGCCTCTATGCCCGCTCCGGAGGCACTGTCGCAGAGATGATCATTGATGGCATCTGGGATTGGGTGCAAGCCCTGGAAACGGGCGATAAGGAGAGCGCGGCAGCACTATCGAGGGCGGAGACCTCCACTCTGTATCTGGTTCTCAAGGCGATCTGTCTTCCTCCAAAGGAGTACTCGGAGTTGGAAGGGGAGGATCTACCAAAGGAGAGGCTGGAGTCCCAAATGTGCTCCCTTCTCGTGCTGGCGCGCCCTGAACTTCTTCCGCGCGTGAGATGGATCGAACTCTGCCTGAGGGTGGAGCTAGACCCTGGAGACCTAGCTCGTAAATACGAACGGGCACTGCTAGATCAAGTGGTGCAAAGGACCAGTTTCGATCAAAAGGTGAAGATACTATCTGTCTCCTAGTCTCTGCCATTTCCCATTGCTAACCTCCATCTCAGTCGCCCAGGATTAAGGATGCCGCCTTCAAGGCAACCGCCGAGCTTGCCTTCGTCGCCCCAGAGACCATGACTCCTCGAATCCTCGAACTCATCGAGCGGGATTTGGCTGTCTCCGGCGTCCAGGCCATTGGTCCGTTGGAAGCAGCAATATTCCGGACCCCTGAAGGAACTGCCTTTGTCGATGTCCTCGCCAAGAAACAGAACGTCGTGCCGAACAAGAACACAAAGGACTACGACACACTAAAGTGGGAAGAAGAGCTCAGGGCCCAGTTAGCGCAGAAAAAGGGGACGACGCAGAAGAAGCTCACGGCAGACGAGTCGGCGAAAGTCAATGCTCAGCTGAAGAAGGAATCCCAGATTCGCGAGAATGTACGCGGCATCGCGGCTAGACTGGAGAGAGGATTTGGAGTCGCCAGAAGCCTCGCCACGGGCCCTCCCACAGAGACGGTCCGGTGGATTGGTCCCGTTGTGAAGTCTATTCTGGATGTCATGGACGCCGGTGCCTGCCTCGTCACCGGGGACGTGGGGCCAATGGCTTATATCTCCTGCTCTGACTCCGTCACGCATAGACTGGGCTCTATCCGGTCGTTCATCGGAGTCGCTACTCTGAGAGCTCACGATGTGAGCTCTCTGCCGGCAAATCTCCAGGAGGAGCCGCTTGGGGATCTTGTTACGAGAGTTCTGTATCGGCTACGATTCGCAGGCGAACAGCGGCCCTTCGACTCGGTCTCCTTGATCTACATCTTGCCATTGCTGCTCCTGATCCTTCAGAATGGCGGGTGTGGCGACGCAGCGGATGATCGAGACGCCCAGCTAGTCCTGGCCGTCGAGATTCTGTCATTCCACACGGACGTGTGTGCCGATGAGGCAATACAGCGCGGCGAGATAATATCAACGCTCATCTACGCCATGCAACAGTACAGCCAGCACTACAAGATCATCAAGGACTGCTTTGCAGACATAGTCCGCTGCATTGCCCCCAATATCAGCCCGGAAGAGATCGACGTCCTGTCTCGCGGCTCAATTGTGCCGGAGACTGCGGTCAGGACAACTGTGCTGCAGTCTATCAGCGCTGAGATCGATATGAGTGAAGCTGACTTCTCGGAGGAGATCTGGCTCGCTTGCCACGATGACCTAGAGGATAACGTGGACCTCGGCCGCGAGATCTGGGAGGAGAGCGAGTTCGCAGTGTCGGAAGAAACCCCCGCCCAGATGCTGCCTTACCTTGATAGCAAGGACTCGCAGCTCCGGCGAGCTGCTGCCAGGTCCCTGGCTGAGGCTACCACTGTCCACTCGTCGACTCTGGATACAACTCTGGAGCGACTGAGGGATTCATATATCGAGCTGGCCAAGCCCCGCACCGCACAACTGGACGAATTCGGCATGCCAAAGAAGGTTGACCTGTCGGACCTCTGGGAATCGAGGCATGGCATCGCGTATGCCTTCAAGGAACTTGCTCCGCATCTCGGTAAGGACCAGCTCGAGCCATTCTTCGACTTCCTTATCGAGGGTGGTCCCCTCGGAGACCAAAATGCCACGGTTAGGAGTGAGATGCTCGAGGCTGCGAACGCCGCCATCGAGATACACGGAAAGAGCATCGTCGAGAAGCTTATGAAGACGTTTGAGAAGACATTGGAGGTCCCAGACAAGAACTCGGAAGCTGCTGATAGGGTTAACGAGGCGGTCATCATCATGTATGGAGCGCTGGCACGACATCTCGAGCCAGGGGATTCCAAAACCCCCATCGTCATCCAGCGGCTACTTGCTACTCTGAGCACCCCTTCCGAGACTGTCCAATATGCAGTCGCCGAGTGCCTGCCCCCGCTCATCCGTACCTGCGGAGACAAGTCGTCCACATATTTTGACCAGATTCTCAATACGCTTCTCACTTCGAAGAAGTACGCCGCCCAGCGAGGCGCTGCTTACGGGCTTGCCGGGCTCGTTCGCGGCCGAGGAATCTGTGTTCTCAGGGAATCTCGCATCTTGGTTACGCTAAAGGGGGCAATGGAAAACAAGAAGGAGGCCCACCAGAGGGAGTCAGCATTGCTTGCATACGAACTTCTCTCCACCATCCTCGGCCGGCTCTTCGAACCATACGTCATCCAGATAGTCCCACAGTTGCTCGCCGGCTTCGGCGACGCCAATGCAAACGTGCGCGACGCGTCGCTCGCGGCAGCCAAGGCGTGCTTCGGAAAGCTGAGCTCCTTTGGCGTGAAACACATCCTCCCGACCCTGCTTGAGGGCCTCGACGACCAACAATGGCGGAGCAAGAAGGGGGCGTGCGACCTTCTCGGCGCCATGGCCTACTTGGATCCTCAGCAACTCTCACAGAGCTTGCCAGACATCATCCCGCCCCTTACCGCGGTTCTGAATGACAGCCACAAGGAGGTCCGGATGGCTGCCAACAAGAGCTTGAAGAGATTCGGCGAAGTCATCAACAATCCAGAGATCAAGGGCCTGGTCGACATCCTCCTCAAAGCCCTCAGCGACCCGACCAAGTACACCGACGAGGCGCTGGAATCTCTCATCAAGGTCCAATTCGTGCACTATCTCGACGCACCGTCGCTCGCCCTCGTCAGCCGCATTCTCCAGCGCGGTCTCGGAGGTCGCTCCAGCACCAAGCGGAAGGCTGCCCAGGTCATCGGCAGTCTGGCCCATCTCACTGAACGGAGGGACCTCGTGGCCCATTTACCTGTCCTGGTCTCAGGGTTGAAGACGGCGATCGTGGATCCGGTTCCGACGACACGAGCCACGGCATCACGAGCACTGGGGTCTCTCGTCGAGAAGCTGGGCGAGGATGCCCTCCCAGACCTCATCCCGGAACTGATGCAGACCCTCAAGTCGGACACCGGAGCGGGGGATCGCCTGGGATCTGCCCAGGCCCTCAGCGAAGTCCTCGCAGGATTGGGTACGACAAGGCTGGAGGAGACTCTGCCCACTATTCTTCAGAACGTCGAGTCTTCCAAGGCGGCCGTGCGCGAGGGCTTCATGTCTCTCTTCATCTTCTTGCCCGTCTGCTTCGGCAACAGCTTCGCCAACTATCTCGGCAAGATCATTCCGCCCATTCTCTCTGGGCTCGCCGATGATATCGAGTCCATCCGGGAGACGGCTCTTCGGGCCGGGCGCCTGTTGGTCAAGAACTTCGCCGTGAGAGCCGTGGACCTCCTGCTTCCCGAGCTCGAGCGTGGCCTCGCGGACGACAGCTATCGAATCCGGCTCAGCTCCGTCGAGCTCGTTGGTGCCCTGCTGTTCAATCTTACGGGCATCAGTGGTACTGCCGAGCCCGGCGAGGAGGACGAGGAGGCGGTCAAGGAAGCCGGCACTTCTCTGAGAGAGGTGCTTGGCGAAGAGAAGCGCAACAAAATCCTATCCGCGCTCTACATATGCCGCTGCGACACGGCCGGGGCGGTGAGGAGCGCCGCGGTTGGCGTCTGGAAGGCTCTGGTCTCGACCCCCAGAACCCTGAAGGAGCTTGTTCCTACCCTCACACAGCTCATCATTCGACGACTCGGCAGTTCGAACATGGAGCACAAGGTCATTGCCAGCAACGCCCTCGGAGAACTGATCCGCAGAGCTGGCGACGGTGTCCTCTCCAGCTTATTGCCAACCCTAGAAGAGGGACTTCAAACATCGACCGACAGGGATGCCAAGCAGGGAATCTGTCTCGCTCTGAAGGAGCTCATCTCATCGGCATCCCCCGAGGCGCTGGAGGACCACGAGAAGACGCTCATCTCGGTCGTCCGGACCGCCCTCACGGATTCCGACGAGGAGGTCAGAGAGGCCGCTGCCGAGGCGTTCGACTCGCTGCAGCAGATCCTTGGCAAGCGTGCCGTTGACCAAGTCCTGCCGTTCCTGCTCAACCTGCTCCGTTCCGAGGAGGATGCCGACAACGCCCTTGCCGCCCTGCTGACTCTCTTGACCGAGACCACGCGCTCGAACATCATCCTACCAAACCTCATCCCTACCCTGATTGCTCCCCCGATCTCTGCCTTCAGTGCCAAGGCACTCGCATCGCTATCGAAGGTCGCCGGCCCGGCTATGAACCGTCGCCTGCCGAACATCATCAATTCGCTCATGGACAACATTATCAACTGCACAGACGACGAGCTGCGCGTGGATCTCGACGAGTCCTTCGACATCGTCATCCTGTCCATCGACGAGTACGACGGGATGAACGCAGTCATGAACGTCATGCTCCAGTTGACCAAACACGAGGACCACCGCAAGAGGGAGGCTACGGCTCGGCATCTCGCCAAGTTCTTTGCATCTGCTGATGTCGACTACTCTCGATACAACCAAGATATCATCCGGGCTCTCTTGATCTCGTTTGACGATAGGGACGCCGGCGTAATCAAGGCGGCGTGGGCCGCGCTGAGCGAGTTTACCAAGAAGCTCAAGAGGGAAGAGATGGAGGCCTTGGTCCCGTCAACCAGGCAGACCCTCCTTCAGGTCGGCGTTGCCGGGCACAACCTGGCCGGATTCGAACTGCCAAAGGGTGTCAATGCCATCCTCCCCATCTTCTTGCAGGGTCTCATGAACGGCACTCCAGACCAGCGGGTGCAGGCTGCCCTGGCGATATCCGACGTCGTCGATCGAACCAGCGAGGCGTCGCTCAAGCCCTTCGTCACCCAGATCACGGGTCCGCTCATCCGTGTCGTCTCGGAGCGGTCGACAGATGTCAAATCGGCAATCTTGCTCACCCTCAACAATCTTCTCGAGAAGATGCCCACCGCTCTGAAGCCGTTCTTGCCCCAGCTCCAGCGCACCTTTGCCAAGTCGCTTGCGGATACTTCTAGTGATCTTCTCCGCAGCCGCGCTGCGAAGGCGCTTGGTACGCTGATCAAGTTCACTCCCCGCGTCGACCCGCTCATCGCCGAGTTGGTCACCGGCTCTAGGACAACCGATCCCGGTGTCAAGACGGCCATGCTGAAGGCACTCTACGAAGTCATCAGCAAGGCCGGCGCCAACATGGGCGAGGCGTCGCGCTCCGCAGTTCTAGGCCTTATTGACGTCGAGACGGACGAGCACGACGACAACATGACAATCACGAACGCGAAGTTGTTTGGCGCCCTGCTCAAGAACGTGTCGGGAGAAGTGGCCGTCGGTCTGCTGAAGAACCGGGTGATGGCGAGAGACTTTAGCCACTCGAGCGTCTTGGCCCTCAACGCGGTGCTACTGGAGAGCCCGAAGGCATTACTGGACTCCCCCCTGGTCGATGACCTGCCTGAGCTGCTTTGCCAAGGCATGACCAGCAATCATGTGAGCCCCATCCCATATGCCCGCTTCCAAGCTCTACCCTTCCCCCTTGGCGAGAAATATTTACTGACAGCGTGATGTTCGCCAAATAGCCATTCATCGCCGACAACTTTGTTCTTGCCACTGGCAAGTATCTCCTCAGCGACACACCCAAAGCATTTGACGCTACAAAGCCCATCTTCACGACACTGGCCACGATAATTCCGCCAGGAGGCCCGACCGACACTCGGCGTCTCGCACTGGTCCTCGTGCGGACCCTCTCTCGCGCCCACGCAGACATGGTGCGGCCACATCTCGGCCTCCTGGCCCCGGCCGTCTTCGCGTCCGTCCGCGACACCGTCATCCCCGTCAAGCTGGCGGCCGAGGCGGCGTTTGTGGAGCTCTTCTCGGTCGCCGACGAGGGCGGCAAGGTGTTCGACAAGTGGATCGCGGCGGCCGGCGCGGACCTGCCGCCGAACACGAAGCGCAGCATTCAAGACTACTTCAAGAGGGTCGGCCTGCGGCTGGGGGCCCAGGTCATGGAGAGGAGGGAGGCCGAGGGGGGCGCTGGCGGGCTGGGTCTGGCCAATGATGAGGTCGAGGATGAGAAGGAGATCTGGAGTGTGGGGAAGGTGGATGTTGGAGCTGATGTGTTTGGGAAGGAGTAGTAGTAGCCTGAGCCTGAAGCCTGAATCTCTTATCTGGGTGACAGCGCGGTGACTGGCATGAGCTGGGTTCCTTCTATGGGAAGGCACATGCCCCATGTGCCCTAGTTGAGGGCGAAACAAGTGTTGATTCATGTGCATCAGATATGTGCTAATGATTAAAAAGTCTGTGGCTTACGATGCGCATTATTCCGACCATTTTCTATTGAGATTTTTATCGTACATACTGGAACCTAGCATGCAAGTTAATTCGTGCCTTGTGTCGTTGATGAAGCCTTTCCCCGACCTGACCCGCGTCGCCGATCTGTTGTCGCTGGCGGCTGCACGTGATCTGGCAGCTGATATGAGTCAGCGATTGTGCCCTCGCTAACTCTGAGCCAATTATGTGGTAGTTGCGGCCCCACCTCCAACCCACAAACTCCTCACAAGCTACGTTATTGAAATTTCGAGAGTTCCGAACTTCCCCTCAGCGGAAATTTCAAACCCTTTCGATCGAGCGACAACGACCATCCAAGGAACGACAATTCAAGATGTGAGTACTAGAGAATCCATCCCACGAGAGCTCGCAATGGATTGAGCCACGGTTTATTCGCCATTCTCGACCGTTGCGAGCCGGAAGAGTCGTGCCAATACCTGCACCGTTGGATGGCCTTCCACCGAGAGCATCATTGCCCAGCGGCCACATCTGCGAGGTATCATCACGAACGCTTTGCTGACGCTTTCCGCCAACCACAGGGTCAACCTAACAACCCAGAAGCGCCTGGCCGCGGCGGTGCTCGGCTGCGGCGAGCGCAAGATCTGGCTCGACCCCAACGAGGTCAGCGAGATCAGCAACGCCAACTCCCGCCAGACGATCCGCAAGCTCGTCACCGATGGCCTCATCATCCGAAAGCCCGTCACCATGCACTCGCGCTCGCGCGCCCGCGAGCTCAACCTTGCTCGACGGATCGGCCGACACAGGGGCTTCGGTAAGCGGAAGGGTACCGCTGACGCCCGTATGCCTGCGTATGTTCTACCCCCCCGTCTTCGCTGGCACCCTCACCCCATAATCGACAGAAACAAGAGTTGTTGGAGGAGGGGAGGAAGAATACAAGGCGAAAATTACGGATTTCGTCTGAATTGGATGTGTTTTGGCTGACATGGTTGGATTCACAGCCAGGTTTTGTGGATGCGCCGTCAACGAGTCCTCCGCCGTCTGTTGGTCAAGTACCGTGCCAGCGGAAAGATCGACAAGCACCTCTACCACGAACTGTACCACCTCGCCAAGGGTAACACCTTCAAGCACAAGAGAGCGCTGGTTGAGCACGTATGTTTTCATCCCACACTCAGATTCCCTCTAGTCTACTTTTCTTTCTTTCCCCATTCCATATACCATACCACCGGACGCTAACACCCAACCCAACACAGATCCACCGTGCCAAGGCAGAGAAGGCCCGCGAGAGGCAGATCAAGGAGGAGATGGATGCCAAGCGTGCCAGGACCAAGGCCGCCCGGGAGCGCAAGCTGGAGAGACAGACGGCGAAGCGAACTGCCATGCTGGGCGAGGACGAGGAGGAGGAGAAATAGAGTCGATCCCGATCTCGGTGGCGAGACGTGAATGGAAGACGGACTGGCGGCTTGCATTCGGAGTAATCGGTTGGGCTCTTTTCCTCCTAACATCCCACATATCGCAAATGGAACCCCTTCCAACTGGTATTTGTTGCTTGCTTGATGCTTGGTCAGACGGTAGGGTTCTTGCATGTACGGCATCGAAAATGGAATCAATCAATGACTGGACGAGCCCATGTTTCTCTCTGTGGTTGCCTATGGTGCAGTGTGACAACCTGATCTTCATATGCATGCCTACTCTGGCACACTGGGCAAAGCAGGATCTATCTATCTTTTTACTCAATTACTACGGTTTGAATCGAATACAGGAGTAGTTTTCAAGACCTATCACCATCCCACAGGAGAGGCATAGAAGAAGCTGCAATACATGCAACCCATCAACAGTACGACTAACGACGTCCTTCCACACAAAGAGAGCTCTCTCCAAACCTAGCCCCAGATCCCTTGGTCATATAAAACATATTTCGATGGCCATGTCAACGAGCACGTGCGGACGGGAGCAAGCCACTTGGCAGAGGAGAAATTGCTTGTCGTCCCGGTTAGCCCTATGGGCTAGGCACAAGCTAACAGCGAAGAGGGTCCAAAAAGAATGATTGAAGGAGCATCAACTAGCTTGGGTCAGATTGCTTCATATTGTCCCGAAAAAGGTGGTGAAGGTGTGCCGAGACATGTCAGCATGTTCCCAACCAAAGGCGGAAGACGTTATGGTCTCGCGAAGCGGTCTCGTCACTCCCAGTTTAGTTGACTGAAGAAGAAAAAAGGGAAAAAAAAACAGAAAAGGAGAGGGGCAATCGGAGGGTAAAATATAGGTGGCTTAGGTAAGAGAGGGCACCCCCAGCTGCCACTTGCCAGCCACTCTCACCGGCCTGTGCGTCAAAGGCGGGGGTAGGCACGGTAGCTGCGGACGGATGACATCGGCTCACTTTGGAAATGACCGAACCCGCACTTCTCACCCGGCCAGTCCCTTTGCCAAATCACTTCACCGTTGTGCCCCGACTGGAGGCTTGCAGAATGGGATTGTAGGTTGGCAATTGGTAAGTCGAGCTTTGTATCCTGACAGTCTGGCGATTGTCCGGTTCGGTTCTGTTCTGTTGTCCCACCCGTGCTGACGGCTACAGGAGTGCAAAGCTGCAAATCATGTCGATTCCCATCTTCCGAGGCACGACTCGTGCCCTTCGGACAGCACCGAAATGTTTCGCGAGGAATGGCCTGAGGAGGTCGGTTTCGTCGATCTCGCCCGAGGGCCAGCAGAGAGTAAGGACTCGGATGGCCAATTGGGGTCTTTTGGTCCCTTTGTTGGGAATGTCTGTTCCGGCTGACCTCGAGCTTGTAGTTGCTTGCTGCCCATCTACAGGAGGCTGATCCAACGATGTTTGAGATAATTGAGAAGGTGAGGCGCTGTCCTGTCTGGCTGGGACCTTCTTCCCCCTTCAGCTGCTTATACCTATCCAATCCCGAGCTCGTCGCCTTGTGCTAATGCATGCTTAACAATGTAGGAGAAAGTGAGACAGAAACAGTTCATCAACCTCATCCCTTCTGAGAACTTCACCTCCCAAGCGGTGCTCGATGCCTTGGGAAGCCCAATGCAAAGTATGTCCAGCGAGATACAATCCCATGGATAACATGTGCTTGTAGGCTGACAGGGAGTCACAGACAAATACTCGGAGGGCTATCCTGGAGCGAGATACTACGGCGGGAATGAGTTCATTGATGCTTCGGAGAGGCTCTGCCAGCGGAGGGCATTGGAGACGTTTGGTCTCGACGAGAAGCAATGGGGCGTAAACGTTCAAGGCAAGTGGTCTTTGGCCTCCATCCTTCATTCCACCTCTGTTGCAGAGACTCGTTTCAACTGACCCCGTCTCGGCTCTGTCCCACAGCTCTCTCCGGGGCCCCGGCCAACTTCTACGTTTACTCGGCCCTAATGGAACCCCATGACCGTCTGATGGGCCTAGATCTTCCTCACGGTGGGCACCTGTCCCACGGCTACCAGACTCCCACCAAGAAGATATCGTACGTCTCCAAATACTTTGAGACGCTCCCGTACCGCCTCGACGAATCGACGGGGTATATCGACTACGAGAAGATGGAGGAGCTGGCGATGCTGTATCGGCCCAAGATCATCATCGCGGGGACGAGCGCTTACAGCCGCTTCATCGACTATGCCCGCATGCGGGCCATCTGTGACAAGGCGAACGCCTACCTCATGGCCGACATGGCGCACATCTCGGGCATGGTGGCCGCGCAGGTGATGCCGGGCCCGTTCCCCTACGCCGACATCGTCACGACCACGTCGCACAAGTCGCTCCGCGGGCCTCGCGGCGCCCTCATCTTCTTCCGGCGGGGCGTCCGGCGCACCAACCCCAAGACGAAGCAGGACGAGCTGTACAACCTCGAGGGCCCCATCAACGCGTCCGTGTTCCCGGGCCACCAGGGCGGGCCGCACAACCACACCATCGCGGCGCTGGCCGTGGCGCTCAAGCAGGCCCAGGCGCCCGAGTTCCGCGCCTACCAGGAGCGCGTGCTCGCCAACGCGCGGGCGCTGGCGCGGCGGCTGGGCGAGCCCAAGGGCAAGGGCGGGCTGGGCTACTCGCTCGTGTCGGGCGGCACGGACAACCACCTCGTGCTGGCGGACCTCAAGCCGCAGGGCATCGACGGCGGGCGGGTGGAGCGGGTGCTCGAGCTCGTCGGCGTGGCGGCCAACAAGAACACGGTCCCCGGCGACCGGTCGGCCCTGACGCCCGGCGGCTTGCGCATGGGCACCCCGGCCATGACGACGCGGGGGTTCGGCGAGGACGACTTTGGCCGCGTCGCCGACATCGTCGACCGCGCCGTCGCCATCGCGGTGCGCGCCGACAAGGCCGCGAGGAAGGCCGCCGAGGAGAAGGGCGAGAAGTCCCCCGGCAGGCTGAAGCACTTCCTCGACCACCTCGGCGACGGCGAGACGGACCCCGAGATCGTCCAGCTGCGGAGCGAGGTTTCGGATTGGGTTAGCACTTATCCGCTGCCGTGGGATACGAAATAGTCGGGTCGGGGTCTTGGAGTGGAGATGTTGGGAAATGAACAGGATGGGTATATGGTAAGCGTTGCTTGAGGTTGGGGCAGGGCAAGGGTTTGCTAGGCTGCGCTCGCTGGGGGGTGTGTCATGGTCGCCTTGGGTGGCGAGCTGAGCAAACAAACGATTTGAGCCTTGGAGTCTATATCGTCCTCCCACTCGAGGAGATTATCATCACCGTGCTTGGGGGGTAACGGGACACACACAAGGGTTGGGTTTGTCGTGCTTATCCTGAAGCTGCAATCGTTCCTGCTCAGGGGGATTCATCACTCATGCTATCCTCACATTCAACTGGGAGAGATTATGTGCAAAATATCAGGCTGTCGGTTCATTTAGATTGTGCCCATCTAACAAGTAAACCCATCTACGGGTCTTATAGTTCCGTTTTTGCCCTTCATCCCCTTTTTTTTGTTTTGTTTTTCCAGTTATGCAAGCACCTTGTATACCAAATCATATCCCCGTACAATGAAGCTCCAGGTTCATCTATCCAAGACCATGTTGTTATCCAAGCTTCCTGTCTAACATCCCTCTTTTGCACCAGCACCGCCAGGAGGTAGGATCCGGTCCTCGATATACACACGCTCGACAAAATCACTTCGTCAACGCCCCATCATCACCATCACCACCTCCCCCCTCCTCGCCAAATACCTCGATAACAGCCCTGCTCCCCCTCATCAACCTATAATACGCAGCCAAGTCCTCATACCCATCCAAGAACCCCTCGCCGCACACGCGCGCCACGTCCCGCAGGACAGGCCACACAGCATAGTCGGCGATGGACGCCCGCTCCCCGCCCGCCATGTACGCCGCCCGCCCCGCCGCCGCGGCGACCTCTCTCGCCTCCCTGGCGTAGGCGTCCCAGGCCGCCAGGGAGGCCCGCAGCGCAGATGGTGGTGCCGCGCCCCGACCGCTCGGCGCTGCGGCGCGCCACTGCTCCAGGAGCGCCGACGCCTGCTGGAAGCGGGTCAGGCGCCTGGCGAGCTCGGACCGCGGGGTGGGAGGGGGAGGAGGAGGAGGCGGGGCGCCGCGGGGCGAGCTGCCGTGGACGGCGTCGAGGTACAGCATGATGGCCTGGTGGCCCTCTACGACGACGGCGTCATCGTCGACGAGGCGGACTGCGTCGGGCGCGGGGCCGGAGCCCGTGCCACTGCTGTCGCTGTCAGTGCCCTTGACGCACGAAACGCCCAGGCCCGCGAGGGTGAGGGCGACGCGCGCGTTGGCGACGTCGTCTGCGCCGGGGAACCAGCGCGGCTGCTGTGGCTGTGGCTGCGGCGGGGCTGTGACGCCGACGTGCAGGACGTCGAAGCCGGCGCCGTAGTGGCGGGGCCAGTCGAACTCGGAGCTGTGGTTCTCGGCGCCGAAGGCGCGCAGCATGCGGGTGGCCTCGTCGGTCTGGCCATTGGCGACGGCGCGGGCCCCGGCGCGGTCCTTGGCCGCGGCGCCCTGGCCCCAGATCAGCGACTGGGACGCGTCCAGGAAGGTGCCGATGTGCCGGAAGGTCAGGCTGATGCGGGCGCCGCCGAAGGCCAGCTCCGAGGGGTCCTTGTCACGGCCTGCGCGCTTGTCCTGGCGGATCGAGTGCAGCCAGCGCATGTTGGTCACTAGGCCCATGCGGCAGAGCGAGTTGTGCGGGAGGCGGGCTCGCTGGACCTGTCGCTTGGGAGGGTCGTTTTCTGCCGTCGGGCTCGGTGCCGTCGCCGGTAAGACACCGGGTTCTGCGGCATCACCCTTGGCGGTGGTGTCCGGGCCGGCCGGGGAGGAGTCGGTGCGGGCGCCGGCCTTGCCATGCTTCCTTGAGGGGTCCTTATCCAGCCTCTTGGTTCGGAAGATCATGGTCCTCTCGGCGCCCAGACTCACGTTGGCGATGAAGCTGCCGTGGACGATATCCAGCGTCTTGTCGCTATGCTCGCTTATGTAGTCGTTGCCGTCGCGGTAGAACTGGATCAACACGTGGTTCAGGGGGTGTCCCAGGTGCTTCTCGACCTCGGCCTTGATCTCCAGAACCGTTGGCGAGAATGGGAGCAGAGGTGGCGATTCGTCAGCCGGGTGTCTGTATACTGGCATGTTGCCTTCGCTGTCAACTGCACCTTGCACGGCGACAAGACGTGGGACCTCCCCGCCTTGGTGTGACATGCGTGCCCACTTGACCTCGGCCTCTAGCCGCTCAAAGGCTGTCGACGCCAGGTCGGGAAGCAGGACATTTTGGATGATGGTGGTATCTCCCTCGCAGAGCGGCTCGGAGGTGACAGCGCCGTGGAAGGTGGTTTGCTCTTCCATTGTTGACAAGAATGATGTGCTCTCTCCTGAAGGATGTCGCCTTGTGGTGTGACTTGTGGGCTTGGCTTGGATCGGGCTTATCTTACGCGGGATAGATCCCCCGGACAATTTGGAATCAACAGCAGGATGAGACGGCGTCGATGGTTTCCTCGCATCTGTCCTCCGCGTTGGATTCCGGATGCCAGGCGGCCCTTTTAAGCCACTGCTTCTAAAGTTACTTAGTGAACTTCGACCACCATCCATTGGCTTCCGTGAGTCATCCCCAACCCCACCATCATCGGGCAATGATGGACCTATCGGATCGGGATCGACTTCCAAGGGGCTGTTGTCGACAGGCAAAAGACTGCGGCGCAATTTGGTTGACGCGGTGTCTTTTACCAGGGGCTGAAGCGGCTGTGCGCGCGTAGCGGTTTTTGCTTCTGGCTTGGGCGGCGGTGTAGATGGAGCTGGATGAGACGCACCACTTAGTGTCAAGTCGCGCAAGGACAAGTGCAGGTCTGACGAGTCGTCTTCTGCTGGAGCGAGTGGACGTACGGGTGACTTCCTGTTACCGCTTCCGCTCTCTCCGCCACCGCTCCTGCTACCTGTCTTGCCGCGTCTGTCGTGTCTCTGGCCGTCCCCTCCCTCTTTGATGTCTGGCTCCGCAGGCTTCATCTTGGAGATGACGTCGGCCGCTTCCATTACATCGCAGCCGGTAAGGTCCATCAGCTGGCGCAGGGCGTTGCCATGTCGCATGTCGCTCCGGTAGCCGCAGCAGTCCTCCACTATCGTCATGTCGTACCCATGCTGGCCTGCGTCCAGCGCAGTTGCATAGATGCTGACGTTCGTCAGCGCTCCGCAGACGTATAATTCTGTCACGAACCGGCCCCGCAACAGCTGCAGCAGCTGATGCCCGGTCGCGAATGCGCTGTAGTGCGTCTTGGTAAGAGTGAAATCCCGGGCGGCGTCTATGACTTCCTCAACCTCGGCGACAAGCCGCGAACCTTCAGTGTCCGGCTTTACGCAAGCTGGCTTCTCACTCCCAGGAGGGACAGTCAGGAAGGCTTCCTCGTCGGCCTCCATAGCAGCCTGGTCGTGGCGTCCGGATGCGGGCTGCCTGCCCCTCATCATAGCAGTGGTGCGCCTGGCCAGCTGCGGGGAGTCTGAGGTTGCGATCTGGTCGCTCTCCGACGACAATGGCCTGTGCCGATCGAACTCGCTGCGCACCCATATAACATCTCCAACGCCTGAGGCGCGAAACGCCTTGGCGACCTTGAGAGTCCGAGAAACTAAGCCCTTGGGGTCCTTCACGGGGAGCGCCCCGTCGGCCGAGACAAAGTCGTTCTGTAGGTCAAGGACCAGGAGGGCCTTCCGTATGGGCAACGAGGGGAGGACGGACGGGTTGATGGGAAACATGATGGCGGGGCCGGCGCCGCAGGGCGGGCAAGTTGAGCAAGAAGTTGGTCGGGAGGAAGCTCGATACAGGATATTTAACGCTATATACAGAGCCAATGGTAAGCATGACGCTGTTCAACAAGGACTGCAGAGGCCCGACAAACCCGGAGTCGGGGACTTACAGTTGTAGAAGCCAGTCTGAGAGGCACAAGCGTGGAAACCATGGCTAAAAGACCACTTGGAAGTCTCATGTGTAGAGAAGAAATAGACAATGGAGGAGTTATATTGTAGACCCTCGAGCAGGGTGGATAAGCAACGAGGTAGGTGGGCAATATCACTTTCTGGTGCAACGGTGCCACTACATGACGGGTTCGGGCCTCGTCCGTGGGGCAGTAGGTTCCGAGGGACGGGGGGTTGGAAGTTGGTCCGTCTAACCGGTGATGACGATCAACAGCACTGGGAGGACAGGAAGCAGAGCACAGAAGAAGTGGTCACAGGGCTGGCCGAGTGCTAGCGGGTGGTAGGCTGGGTAGCCTGCTTTTACTTATTTGTGGGTGAATTAAGTGTATGAATGCCCTTGCTTAGTGGATGCGAGGGGCAGGGGAGGGAAGCAATGCAGCTGCAGGCGGCCAAGTGCAGACTCATGCCGGCCGGAGCTCGGAGCGAGAGTCGAGGATCAAGTTTCTGTTTCCCAGTGCCGTCGGCATTTGGGAAAGAAAGTGTGTTTCTTGGTGGGGTAAAAGAAAAGAGGACCGACCAAATGTCAAGGAAAGGGACAGCTTGGCGAGAAGCGAGCTCATCCCACTGTCACGTGGCGCTCGATACTAACTTATGCATAGTACATATACCTAAACAGAGATCCCATGGCGATCCTAAGATCGACCGGCCAAATTATAACGGCCCTATTTGATAGGTGGAACTCTTGTTAGTGACGAGTTTACTGGTGAGGATCAGGAAAACGGTCTAGACTCTTGTGATTTCCCCCCCTTTGCTCAACCTCATAGTCACAAATCACAATCCCCCATGTCCACGCTCCAGTCACAATTAATAAGGTTTAGTTAGGTGGGATAGCTGATAGATCAGCGCTAAATAATTAAGCTTGGACGGCCAAAAAAACAAAACCCTTCGAGTACACGACGAGCCAAATATATTACTACTCGTATGTACGGATTAGGCATAGGCACGTAGTTATTTTCGGTCCCCTGCTGGCAGTAACATCCGCCCCGTTTCATCGAGCAGCACCTCCACATATGGTGGAAGAGATCAAAGCCCTCAACCATATCATCAGTGAAACTACCTGTGATGCAACGGCACGAACCCTCTTCTCTCTGATCCGCCAAGCCTCGCCTCATTCCATAGGCCGGCTAATTGAATGACCCGCTCCCCCCTTTGCCTGGCAGGTGCAGTACCTGCGTAGGTACTTTTCGAAGGGTGCGTGCGCATACATCTACGAACTTGGAAGTCCTCCGCCCACGCCAAGATCTGAGATGTCAAGCACCAAGCACCCAACACGAGCAATCCCCGCCAGTTGGCCGCAAAAAGTGCCTGTGATATGTGAGAGAAGTGTGCAGCTGAAGGATTCACCTTCGTCCTGCAGAACCTCATCTTGGCGCTGCACGAAGCTTTTCTCGCTGACTGTCACACATTACTCAGATGTGGTGGTGAGTGCACAGGCGATCGAATCAGAACTCGCCATGCAAGGGTGAGTGAGCCACCCAACGGCGCCAACACCCGTCCACGGCGCAGAAAACGGTTTTGATTCGGACATAATGCTCTTTGCGTGATATCCTTGACCATCATCCGACACTGCCCTCTTCTGTCGCCGCGGTTGGTCAGCGTGTGAGTCTCATCACCTCATTGACGTTGCGTGACAACTTCTTGGAGGTTGCAATCTCAAGGCTGCTTCCCATCAAATTTGCTCCTTTCCTCCTCCTCCCTTTTGGATCTCATGGTGTTCCGGCAAGCACATCCACTCCACACCGAACTGCGGCCGCTCGACCGGTCAGTCCATGGTGGTCGAGATGCTTTAGGAGAGATGCAGACACAGGCACTCCTTCCGAATCTGCCTCTCTATCTCCGCCCTCGCAACATGGCAGCAACGGAAAAGCCTTGCTTGGCAGTGCATGCGCGGGTGTGCTCCCATGTTTGAAGAAACTTTGCGAACACACGAATCCCAGTACGCAATTCCCCCTCCGAGGAAAATTCCTTCGCCGAAGCGGTTACATTTCCAAGGAGTGCCGGGCAATCCTTCCAGAAACATTTACGGACCTCAGGGAACCCCCCAATGGCAAGCGCCGAGCCTGACCCTCACGCAAGACGGATAGGCGCGGCCCAACGCGGCGTGTGGGGGTGAGCTGCGTTGGGAACCATCCCGTCACTGTTGGTCCGGCCGTCGACGTTGGTCAATGGCAAGGATGACTGTTGATGTGGCATGGGACGTTGGTCGCGTTTTCATGCGATCCTTCTCTGAGGACGGGTGGCCAAATCATCGGCTGGTGGGCGTTCCTTCACTTCTCCAGACATCGAGTCCGTAGAATCTTTAGTCTGCCGGCTTACCTGATCGTTGGCGTTTGGGGGTTGCATGGAAGACGAGCCTTGCCACCAATGGCAGCATAGAGAAGTCAGTTGGGCGAGGTCGAGAAGCTAAGGCCCGCCTTCGGATCATCAGCGTTGGACCAGGAAAAGCCCAATTTCTTGCAACGGGGGAGTTCCTTGGCCATGTTCCGCCGGTCGCTGGCTACCGGAACTGCACTTCTGAAGCGTCACTTCCATGGAAAACTCTCTCTCTCGGGGTCATCAAAGGCTAGACAGTAGTCACTCCTGAACCTTTCTGGCCGTGCTATTGTGATTTATACTAACGCACGAGGGAATGAGGTGGGCCGAGAGTTTGAGGGCGTGAGGAGAGGGTAGTCCTGGAATTTGGGGGCACGAATGCCATGGCAAACCTACCTACCTATTGCCAGAAACATATAGGTCCCTCTCGTGAGAAATGTCACCCAGCCATTCCTCAGTGCTTTGAGCCTACCTAGTGACGGTGCAATCTCCCGAAAAGACGATTGATAGCCTCTCAAAATAGTACTGAAGACTTTGATGCTATATTATATTTACGAATTGGATAGGTACCAAATACCTATCCCTCAACAATACCTGCCTGTGGCATTGTTCCAATTGAGGCTCTTCTGAATAATAGCACTAAAACTTTAGCGCGGCGTACCGTTTATTTGGGTGGCCCCTGCGCTCGTTCGTTGGACCTCGCTCGTCATGCTCGAGATCCAAGCCGAAAGCCGAAGCAGAGGAGTCAAATATTGTCAGCTTTGCCAACTTCCACGCGCTCATAACCCTGCCGCAGACCATGCGCCTTTCCTAAATCTCTCTAAACCTCCGCCCAAACCACTTCACCTCATCATCACCGCTTCACCTCATCATCTCCTGCCCGCGCGAACGATACAATGACTTCGACCACGCTATTGGCAAGGAAGCGAGCCCTCTCCTATCAACATGATATGCCCGAGAGCAAGCGGCGGAGGAGGTCATTTGCAGACCTGGCTCAAACCTCCGAGATATCCACGCGGTCCCACGAGCCTTCATCGACCCTAACCGCCGATGAGGTGGCCAAGAAAGGTCTCCGTCGCAGTATCGCCCTAGTCCTCGACAGAGTAGGCTTCGACTCCGCCTCAGAGGAAGCGATGGAGAGCTTTACGACTATGGTGGAAACATGTATGTCTACCTGTATTTTGGCTTCGCATCTGTTCAAACTTGCCTGCTAACCTTGTCGGCGCCCAGATATGTCGAGTCTTGCTCGAGACGTGCAAAGCTTCGCCAACGCTTCACGCCGCACATTTCCAATTCCGACCGACTTCGAAACGAGCCTCGGGAGGTTTAACCTCACCCCATCGTCTCTCAAGCCACACCTCAAGCCGCCCGTTCCTCGGGCGAAGCGAGAGCCGACATGGGTAGCCCTCGTCGCCAAGGAGGATGCATTCGTCTCGCTACCCGTCCTGGGTGACGACCTGAGCGGCACACCAGAGAAGGAGGCTAAGCAGTACATCCCGAAGGCGTTTCCCTCCTTCCCCAGCACCCACACCTACAAGTACACCCCCGAGAATGCCGAAGTTGTCACAGTCTCCACCGACTCGACCACCGTCGAGCCGGAGCCCCCATCACAGGCTCTCATCCCCGGCACCTCCCAGACCCAGTCCCGGCCCCAGGGCCGGCCGCTGGCGCCGCACGAGATCCCGCGGGGCGACCCCAAGAAGATACGGGAGGCGGCGGCCAAGGAGGCCAAGGCCGGCGAGGAGGCGCTGCGGCGGCTGATGCGGGCCAGCAAGATCGCCAAGCAGAAGGAGGTGTGGACGACGGCGCAGCGGGAGCCGGCCCGTCGCGAGCGCTACGACCTCTGGGAGTCGGCCATGCGGGAGCTGATCGAGGACGACGCGCGGGCCAAGGGCAGGACCTTCGCGCCGGGCGCCACGCACGGGGCTACGGGCCGCTTCGAGATCGCCGACCACAGCATGATTGTCAACGCCGAGGGGAAGTACCATCGCAAGGAGGTGCCGCGGTCGGGGGGGAGGAAGGCCAGTGCTGGCGAGATGGGAAAGGGGAAGGCATGAAGAAGGACGTCACTCGAGACGCCTTACTAGGTTCGTTGGAGCGTGAGGATACCAATAGAGTTGCCTGAGACGACTCGGATGCCTCAAACAGTGAGCATTACTGGCGGGATGCATGGCTTTGGTCAGGGAAGGCGCTTTTAGCTACGATTTCGGCCTGGAGAGGAAGGCTGCTTTTGCTCTCAGCAACGGTTTGTTTCGGAAGATACCCCAGCATAAAGCGTACAGTCAGTTATAAATGGGAACCTATCTCTAAATATTGATCTCTCTGTGAACAAATGCAACTGGCCACACGCGTGTTTGAGGCCGGCCACAAACACCTGAATCCCAATCCCCAGCCGGGACCCAGCCGGGGCCTGCTAGGCACACAAGGCACGTGCTAGAGGTAGGTGTCAAGGAGCGGGCCTGCAGCTGGCTAAAAGTAAACGTTTGTCCTGCCGGGCCGCCAGAAAGTTACTTCGTGCTTGCCCAAAATCCTGCTCGCTAATTGGTCCCGACCCCACGTATTTGACCGACCCTAGGTATTTTCCGCCGCACAAAGAATTTTCGGAAATTTGCTTCGGCTGCTGGTGAGCCTCTAATATTCATTCCTTCGTTGTCAGAGGCACCTCAGAGAACTTGCCCAACTTCGTCCATTGATCCTCTCGACCGCCTCGAAAGGGACTTTACAACATGGCTGAGCAGCTGATCCTCAAGGGCACTCTGGAAGGCCACGTAAGTCACACCTTCCTCTGATCTCGCCGTTGCTGGCGAAGAGCTTTTCCCATCACCGCCGCCGGTGCTGCGAAATCCCATCGAGATGTGAACTGACGCAGACATTTTTCTACAGAATGGCTGGGTCACCAGCTTGGCCACCTCCATGGAGAAGTACGACCTCTGCCGATACTGATCCTGCGAACATGTTACTCACGATGCAATAGCCCCAACATGCTCCTGTCCGCCAGCCGTGACAAGACCTTGATCATCTGGAACCTGACCCGCGATGAGTCGCAATACGGTTACCCCAAGCGGTCGCTCCACGGCCACTCGCACATCGTCTCTGACTGCGTACGTTCCCCGAACGGCAATATGTGTGCTAGGAAAGATGACGGGAAGACAGACAGTGCTGATACGCTTTGCAGGTTATCTCCTCGGATGGTGCCTATGCCCTTTCCGCCTCTTGGGACAAGACCCTCCGCCTGTGGGAGCTCGCCACTGGCACCACCACCCGGCGCTTCGTTGGCCACACCAACGATGTCCTCTCCGTTTCCTTCTCCGCCGACAACCGCCAAATTGTCTCGGGCTCGCGCGACCGAACAATCAAGCTCTGGAACACCCTCGGTGACTGCAAGTACACAATCACCGACAAGGGCCACACCGAGTGGGTTTCCTGCGTCCGGTTCTCGCCCAACCCCCAGAACCCCGTGATTGTCTCCTCCGGCTGGGACAAGCTGGTCAAGGTACGTTTCTCAAACCCAGTAAAATCTCGCCTTTTCCCCAAGACTTTGGAATGATGCACGCACTTTTCTCAAAAGTATTTGCTACTTCAGAGCTTGTTTCGCGACAAGCAATGAGACCAACACACACGCACTGACCTTACCCTTATCACCCGTCTTTCTCCATCCACTTCAAATAAGGCCCAACACGGGATGCTGACTTTCGACGGAACAGGTCTGGGAACTCTCCACCTGCAAGCTCCAGACTGACCACATCGGTCACACCGGCTACATCAACACCGTCACCATCTCCCCTGACGGCTCCCTGTGCGCGTCCGGTGGCAAGGACGGCACCACGATGCTGTGGGACCTGAACGAGAGCAAGCACTTGTACTCGCTCAGCGCCAACGACGAGATCCACGCCCTCGTCTTCTCTCCCAACCGGTACTGGCTGTGCGCTGCCACCGCCAGCAGCATCATCATCTTCGATCTGGAGAAGAAGAGCAAGGTTGACGAGCTCAAGCCCGACTTCCAGGCCGTTGGCAAGAAGAGCCGCGAGCCCGAGTGTGTCAGCTTGGCATGGAGCGCCGACGGCCAGACCCTCTTCGCTGGCTACACCGACAACTTGATCCGGGCGTGGGGTGTCATGTCGAGGCAATAGAGCGGTCGCGCTTGCGGATGGGCGGAGCTACGCCGAGATGAGGCCTACTGGCATGGAGGAGGCTGCGGTCAGGTCAGGGGGAAATGGCACTGTCGACGGATTCCATGGTGGGGGCGTACTTCGGAATGCTTGTCTCGCTTTTGGTATCTTTCATGGTTGAAAGGAAAGGGGGAGGGAACAAAAAAGAGAGTCATCTTGTCCTGGAAGCTTGCGCAGTCTTTTCTTGCGTCGCTAGATGGCTGAATGATACAACATAGCCCCCCGATGAAACCAAAATCCGAAAATAATTTGGCAATCCCCTCCGTCTGTGTTCGCTCTGGGATGGTACCCTGGCCCGTCGTGTCTAGTAGAACCGAGGTGTCAGTTGTCCACTCTGAACGTTTGGCTAGTATACCAGGTAAGTTTATCCTTTTGTGATGTACATGTATGTACCCTTGAACGACTGGAGGTCGACATCTCGGGATTTGAATTTTGCCTTTCAACGCACGATGCCCCTCAAGGAAGCAGCATCCACCGCTCCCAAAGTAGTGTGTGCCTTACCTCCCAGCCTCAGGTCATACCGTTGGCTCCCGGAACCGGGAGCCTGCCTCTTCCCATTGAGTAAGCGCGGCAAATATCTAAGCAGAAACTCCAGTAAGTAAAGGGCGTCGTGTTCCGTCGAGTCTCGGGCTCCCAACGGGGAACAACTGGCGGCACCAGGCATCAGGATTCTTTCTCCTCTCCGTTGCCCCGTATCGACCATGCCATGTCATTCCCCTACCATATTCCCTGGTCGAACACCCCCGAGCGATCCTCGTGCGGTTTCGATCGACTCCCTTTTGAGCCCATCACACCCTTCCTGCCCATCCATAGGTGAGCATCGCCCTGGTCTACCACGATGATCGTGGCTAATTTCTTGCTGTACGGTGCAACGGTGACGATTTCGGAACGGCATTTGGCTGCCTTGGCCCCGCGATGAAAAGAAAGTCTGAAGGATGAAAGCCGACCTATACTGGATACAATATTCCACAGTGCCTGCCATTTCAGCCTCCCGCCAAACTCCCACGCGATGGGCAGCTCGTAGACTACATACACACACCTTGCCTCAGCCGGAAATAATCGAGTCGAGTGTCTTCGCTGGGTTTATGGATACCAATCATGTTGGATGTGTCCAAGGCTGTCGGGAATTTCGTGGCCTGCAAGGGCTGAAAGAAGAATGCATGCTATCGTTGCGTCCCCCGCCCCTGACGGAGCCCGTGTATTAATTTTTGGAGGATGGTACCCCGTATGAGAAGAGAGACCCGGACGGCCACTCCGTCGGCGGGGCCCGGATGCCTTTGTTGTCGTGTCATCAGCGATATCGACGGGTCTCGGAAGCGTTCCAACCGGTTAAAGATAGATAGTTAGCATCTGCATACGTACGGTGGTTCGAGCGACCTCGTCTACTAAATCCATGGCCGATCCTGATCGTTAAAGATGAGATGCTATGTCTTCGGTTGCGAGGTCATACGTGACTATGCCCAATGAATAAAGGCAGACCACTGGGCAACAAGCCTCGCGGATAAGCAATTCTTGGCCATTACAGAAGGACTTCGTTGGATCTGACGCTACCAAGTGGACACTCAGAAGTGTTTATAATCAGGCAGCCGGGCGATGCTTGAAGATCTACAAAATATGCACCGCCAGTGGCGTGGGTGCCAAGATCCTCTCGATCCTCAAGTCCTGAACCCTTCAAAGGTTACCCAACCCTTTCTCCGGACTGATCGATATTTCCAAGTCAGCTGGCCAAGGTACGTGAAGACAACAGGGAAATTTGATCCCCGAAAAGGCACTTTCCCCTTCGCCCTTGCTCCCTCATATGTTTATAAAATAAAACGCTCGTCCGGTGCTTTCACCACCCCACGGGTGCCCACCGGAGAACCAACAGGCAATCAAGGGGGCAGACAGTTTCCGGGGACCCGAAAACCCGTCCAGCCACCTCCGTACTCCGCTCCGGCCTCCTTCGATGGCCAATTGCACATGCGCCCATTACTCGGGGAGTCCCTGCCCGAAGCTGGGTGCTGAAATATCCTATCACATCGACTTAGTTAGCACTGCTTCCCCCTTTTGCATCGATCGATCGATCCATGTCGGATGTGTGTGACTTGACGTTTAAAACCGGGAGGTCCAATCGGATGCTCATAGGACCGAGAGGACGGACGGAGTCCCGGGGTTCTACATCGGACAGGCAAGGAGGTATGGTTGGCTAGCCGGCCGGCTACTCCGGATATTCTATTTGTTCTGGTATTAACTTACTTGCTGTTTTACCGCTCTATTCCCCAAATGGGGGTCTATAACCAGTGAGCATCGGGCAGTCGTGAACAATATTTATGGGGTCATGCGAAAGGGACCAGGGCGAACACGGAAGACAGGCAGAGAAGTTGAGTGTCGTAAAAAAGGTCATATTGACTGACATTTTACCAGCCCAGCCGCCACTAACCAAGGGCAGGCAGGCAGCCAGACGCAAAACAAAACAAAACAAAGCTTCGCCAGGAAACGTCCCCATCAGCGCCATTCTGTCAATATCAAGGAACAACGAGAGAGCCCGGTAGACCCCTCCAGTGATAAAAATACAAGAAATCCCCCCTCTCTTCCTCCACCGCCCCACGCCAACGCCGCAAGGTGTAAAAAAAAACACACACAAGCTTCCTTCCCGCAACACGTCACACCCATCGAACAAAAAGAGGCGGGCGTCTTCACTCCCCATCTTCTCCTTCCCCATCCGGTCGTTACTCGCAGAGATTCCGCCTGCCTCAACCCCGACCACGGGCAGTCCTGATCCAAGACAAGTAGGCAGATACAGAAGAGACGGACAGAAAGGCAGACACGCAGACACGCAGACACGCAGACACGCAGACACGCAGACACGCAGACACGCAGACACGCAGACACGCAGACACGCATACACGTGGGATAGGGTACGCGTTTGGTTTGTACGTGTGATGTCTCAAAAGAGCATGAGCGTGTGTATTTTGTATTAGAGGGAGGGGGGCAGCTGCCGCCAGCAGCACCCATGCAAGGAAGCCAAAAGCCAACCGACCCAGCCAGCCAAAGACACCGTCTCTCGGAATCACCTCGTGGAAATAAGATCGTTGACAGCATGTGGCGGCGCGTAAGGAGGTGATGACATGGGAACATTGTCTGATGAACCAGGACCAAAAAAACAACACAAAAAAAGAGAAAACCACACGCGAGGGGTGATCGATCGAGTGGGAAACAGACAAGCAACAGGCCCTCGAGTACTGCCAAAACCCCACCAAACCGATTTGCATAAACCCAACACAAAGCAGAAAAAGAAAAAGAATAACATAGGTGCCAAAAGGTCGAGAAGAGGCAACAAGTTAGGACACAATAATCCAACTCTGCAAGCCATCGGAAGGGGTAGTAGAAGCCTAAGCTGAGACGACTCGTTTTTTAGCAAGTTGTACTCTGAAGACCTTCTCAGTTTGTATGCAGAGCAGGGACATCCCCCCAACCGTCCTTTTTTTCCTTCTTTTTTCTTCTTTTCCCAAGCCGTGCTTGTCGTCCATGGGAACAAAAAGCAAGATGAGGCGAGGCGTGTAACGAGATTGGTAAAAACGAAATAAAAACAAAAACAAAAACAGCCAGCGAACCCTGAAGGCTCCCAGAACGCCCTGAAGAATGCTCTCTCGAAGGATGAGTTGCCGACATCGAGGTACTAGTCCACTTGAAAAATCGACGGGGTGGTATCGTCGACGGAGCCCTACTCCGCCGGGATTTCGCCGAAAGTGTGAGTGAAGTCAAATGTGTTGTTGTCGTCGCCACTGGTATCACGTAGGAACGAGTCGAAATCGAAGTCATTGAGCACGTCAGTCGAGTTGAGGGGGTTGGCAAATTCCATGTTGCCAATGCCAAAGTCCTAATGAGCTGTCAGTCGCTGGGGATCAAAAAGGGGGAAAATTAATGCAGGGTGATGGGATGAGAGAAACTCACGATTGCCGTGTCACCAATGCCACCAAAGCCTGCCGACGCGTCTGTGTGCGACTGAGCAGGAACAGGGGCTGCAGCAGGAGGCTGCGCCGGTGCCGCTGGTTGGCCGTTCGGTACCATCGGGGCAGCGCCGGCGTTCTGACCGGCCTTGTTGAAGCCGGCGGGGGGTACAGGGGTGATGGGCGTCGCCGGCGCCGCCGGCTCTGCTTCCGGAGCAGGTTCCGCAGCAGGGGTTGCCCCGGAGTTGTTAAGGTTCGCGTTCGACTTCTTTTGGGCAGCGGCCTTAGCCTTGGCGCTCTTCTTGTCCTGCTTCTTCGGCGCCGGCTTCGTCGCTTGCGATGGCGTTGGCGGGGCAGCATTGCTGACCTGAGGCGACGACGTTGCGTTCCTCGAGTTGGGATTATTCGCTGGCGGTGCCGAGGGTGGGGGCATAGCAGCGGATCGCTGTTGCGGCGTGCCCTGGACTTGCTGTGGCTGCGGGCCCTGTGGAGGCATCTGGTTGCCATTCGGCCCGCCTTGCCATTGCATAGGGGGCCCTCCTTGGCCGGCCTGCTGCTGCTGCTGCTGCTGCTGTTGCTGCTGCTGTTGCTGCTGTTGCTGCTGGCGGGCTTGCATCATCTGAGGAGTCATCTGGTTCCCGTTGAATGGTTGGCCAGGGTGGGAACCGGGAGGGCGCATGCCACCATTCATCTGGGCGGCCGCAACCATATTCCCGTCCATGCCGTTCATGCCGTTGAAGAAGTGAGGAGCCTTCAAGGGGTCCATCTGGTTACCCATGAAGTTGATGGGGTTCGGGGAGTCGCGCGATTGGGCGCCTTCGGGAGCAGGGGAGCCCATGTTGGCAGCGTTATTGAGCTGCTGGTTGCCCCGCTTCATCTGGTCGCCGGGGTTTGGTGAAGTTCCGCTCCGGGCACCTTGCGGTGATGTGCCCTGGAACGGCTGGGCATTCGGACCACCTGGCCCTCCGGGCCCCGGAGGACCGTCAGCCCTGGGCATACCGGTGCCGCCGCCGGGGATGTCTTGCTCTTGACGAGCCATCATCAGTCTCTTCTTGTTCTGCTGCTCCAGGAGCATTAACTGCATCTGGTAGTCTTGCAGCGCGTGGTTGTTTCCACCAGCAGCAGGTCCTCCGGGAGGTCCGGGTCGCATCCCCGGGGGTCCAGGCATATCTGGTGCGTTGTAGTAGGCGGTCAGGCTACCGTCAGCGCCTGGCGGAATCATGGGAGAGCCTTGAGGTTGGGGGCCAGCGGCGTTTGGGATTGGCTTGTTGGGCATTTGTGCTCCGTGGTGCTGCTGAAGATTAGCAGCGTACGTGGCAATGGTTTTGGCCTGTACGTTTGGGGTCTGAGTGGAGAAAGCGTGTAGTTGGACGGGGTTCAGCGACTGGGGGTTAATTCCATGCTGAAGAAGCAGTTGCTGTGCTGAACTAGGGCCATGTCCTACCTGCTGGCCGGGCATTCCTTGACCCGCGGGTCTACCATTTGGCATCATGACAGCTTGATTGGGGTTGAACGGGCCGCCTTCCAAGCGGGGCCTCTTGGAGGGGGAAGGCGCATTCTCGGTCGATCCAGGGGAGGCAGGCCTTGCACGGTTTCCATCCATATCTGAAGGGTCGCGTTGCATCTGGCCAGGCTTTTGCTGGAGCATATGCATTTGAGGACTGTGACCGGGTCGTGTAAGTTACAAGGGCCACACGAAAGATATAGAAAAGCCACGGAAACCCACTAGGCCAATGTGTCGGGGAAAGGGGGGGAGACAATACTGACTTATTCTGGCTGTTGGCCATCGCCGTCCTAGGCAGCTGATTGCCGCCAGGCTTCATGGCCATGTTCATATTCATACCGCCGTTCTGCATGTTCCTCATCAGGTGGAAGTTCTGTTGTGATAACTCAGGTCGCATCTGGCGGAGCAGCTGCTGTTGATGTTCCTGGCGCAAGCGTGATTGTTGCTGCAACAAATATGTGTTAGAGCCGGCAAGAGCATTTGGGGGAGGGATCTGGACAAGCCATGGATGGGGTGTGTGCCTTACCTGTGTATGGTTCACAAATTGGTTGACCTGGGTGCTAGAACCTTTGCCTTTCTGGGCACTGAGCATATCCCAGAACAGGCGAAACCAATCTAAGAGGAAGCTGCTGTCGGGGAGCGGCATGGGTACTTGAGGGTCAGGGAGATCGTCCGGGCGTTTCTGGTCCATGTCATCCTTCGAATCTGTATCCATGGGATCGTCGCCGAGGCCATTTCCAACCAGATTGCCATTCTCGTCCCGGCGAGCCGAGGGACTGTCCTTCTGGACCTTCACATGCGGGTCGCAGTTGAGGATGGCGCGCGCAGGTTCCCACATTTTGTGGCGGACGAAATACTCGTAGATATATGTGTTCAGTAAAGTGCGGCTATTATTATCGGCTTGAAGTTGCTGTTGCTGCTGCTGCTGTTGCTGTTGCTGCTGCTGCTGCTGCTGCTGCTGCTGCTGCTGCTGTTGCTGTTGTTGTTGTTGCCTCGGAGCACCTTGAGGGGGAACTCCTGCGGCGGCAGCCATCATGGGCATCGGAGCACCGACAGGGCCACCCATGGGGCCGATGTTGGCCATGTTTACGTTGACGTTGTTCATGGTTCAGGATTGGTGTCGTCGAGTAGACCCTGCCCGGACAGGAGAAGTCGGCGTCGCAATGCGTCTGGGGTTCGAAAGACTGGAATGCCTGTCTCTCGCTCTCTCTATTGCTATCTCCGAAAATGTAAAAGAGAGGTTTGGGGGCGGCCACACACGAAGTGCGGTACGCGGCAGCACTCTATGGCTGCTCTGTTGGGCGTGCCGGCAGGGGGCCCCAGGGTTGCTAGAGCTGGACGGTTTCGGACGTGGGGATAACTTCAGGGTTGGGGACCGGCAAAAAAGCGCGAGCTAGACAGGGACTCGGCGTGCCGGGCAATGCCGACAACAGATGATGATGGCGGGATGTGCAGGCGAAGCGGAAGGAGAGATGGATCGATATGCAGTGACGTTGACGGTAGCCTCGACGGGGGCTGGGTCGTTGGGAGTGCGTGGGATGATGACTTTAGGAGGTGGTGGGAAGACAGTGGCAGCAGCGGTGGTGGCACTTTCCGCCACTCCTCCAGCTGTTGGTCTGGCGCGCTCTGCTGTCGCTGTCGGGCGATGTCGCAATTGCCACTGTCGTCCACTCCCTCTGCTCTTCTGCTGGGCCTGTCCGGCGAATTCGGTGATGGACGGGTGGGCGACGATTGAAACATCAAAATGGCACGGCTCGGATGGGGACAGTAATGGTACAGAGGGCCTAGGAAGGAAAGCGGAAGGAAAGAGAGGGAAGGATGGGGTTGGGAATTTTCTGAATTTTCCGAGCACCAGAGAGCGAAGCGTCTGGGGGGGATGGGGGGACGCCTGTCAGACCCTCTAGGTGTGGGAAAGAAGCTTATGAGAACACCACTGCGCAGTTCTTGGAACGAGCACAGGCGGGGATGCCGGCGTATATCTGAGACTGCTGCCTCAAAAACGGGGTATTCCAGGCACCCATGCATCAAACTTAGGCAAAAGTGTCATATGAGGAGGCTTGGCATCCCGATAATGGCATAATTGCCCTACCTTACATCCTTTGCATCTTTTTAACAGCTGGTTATTGAACTTTGAATATCATTGCCGTCGCCACACCGAAGACTCGGGGTCACGGGGGGCTTTAGAAACCTTAATGAATGTTTTCTCTTACGATGGCTGCATATGCCTATGCCGAGCGGGGCATGGGATGAACGCAAATCCCAGAGGCAGCCATAGGACCTCGCTAACGGCCACAGTAAATACAGTCCCAATATCCGACTACACAAACCCATCATAGGCACTTAACTGCTCGAGTTAAAGACCACATGGATATCAGGTACGGGTATGCATGTATCTTCCATATGATGTAGTCAGCACAATGCCCTCCGTGCGTGCGTTCTCTATCATTCTGCGATGCTGCCTCGCGCGTGTGGTGGTTGTCCCCTGTCTCCCTCACTCAGACCCGATGCCGTCGAGATGGGGCTTCGTTGATGATCAATGATGGCATTGTGGTGCCACGTCGGGCGCCAGATCATGGGACCACGAGTTTGCCAATCTTCGACTCATATTTTGGTTGGTCATACTCAGAAGACTGGCCCCGAGAAGGTTCGCTATTGCAAGTAATAGGGCAACCAGTCGCTGGCTTGAGTCATCGAGAGTGACGCAAAACAGCTCAAAGGCTGCGGGGGAAAGGTAAAAGGGTAGGGAGAGCAAGGAAGAAATAACCTTAACCTACTGATTTTTGCCACACAAAGGTTGATATTGAAAGTTCCCATGGCTGCCTGATTCGAGTTCCATATCAAACGACCCAGCTTTGTCTTGTAATCTGGAGTTGCGCCAAAAATGATCGACTTGAATCCCAGCACCCGCCGCAAGAGCTCCCGATGGTGGCTGTAGCGTGCCTTGCATTAGCCACAGGCCCCTGCCCTGCATTCCACCCCCCATAAGTTATTCGTAGCTTGGGAATTTTTTCATTGTTTAGAATAGGTATCTGTGGGTAGTATGTATTTGATGTTCAAAATTCCTGTGTGATTCTCTGATTTCTTCTTTCCGCAGGGTGCAATACCAAGCGAGACATTAGTTCCTGGCTCTCCTTCAGGGGATCAAATCAAGCTCGAATATCAAACAACGTGGTCGTTATGAGGAGGTGAATGCAGGGTTGTGGCGTCCTCCACATTCGCTGAACCTGGAGACTCACCATGCTTACCTGGGATTTGCAGTACTACGACTAGGGGGGTTTGGGGCGGGAATGGCGGGGCTTCCCTTGAATCCCTCCACTGCGGCTCTTCGTTATGTAACGCCTCACCACACTCTAAAATCACGTTATCGACCGTTGCCCCAGCGCCAAGCGGGTCCAGCGTGTTCGCCAAACCGAGACTGATCGACGCCGAGACAACGGCTGACTTTCACGACGGCCCATTTACCTCTTGGCAGACGAGAAGAAATAACCTATATTGTAGACGGCCGTATGAGATTAGCACATGTCCATTCCTCTGTCAATTCCTTGCAATGCTAGGCACTGCTTGATGGTGACTAGAGTTATGCAGAGCAGTAGTTATGCAGAGCATTCAGTATCTGTGCCTGCGCAGTAATATCCTAGCCAGTGTAGCATCCAGCATCGCCAACTCTGGAGGGCACATTGTAAAGTCTGCTTTTCGAAGCGGCGCCCTCAGGCTGTCGAACTAGTGCCATTCTCTGGGGAGTGTCGACCAGGTTGTGGGAGGTGTTTTTCATTCCACATATCATATAGGCTCTGATCATATATGATTTGCATCCTCTAAAATCGACATCTCCATGTGCGTGCCAATGCTAGGCATTTCGCCGTCTCAGGCCACAGTTGCATTTCCACCACATTGGCAGAGCCGTGGGCTTTGATTTCTACTTTCCGTGGGTTGGAGAGAAAGTCCGCAAAGCGCCGACAGTCCGCAGGTACTCGGTGCAAAGCGGAGTGGGAACGAAGGTTCCGCCAGGTCTTGGAAGATCATGCATTCATGTCTCGTTCAGTTAGATATCTGATAACCTGATTGACTGGCCAGATGAATACAAACATAGTTGCTGCTTTCCACTTCGAGAGCAGGGACCATGTCCGAAACAGCCGCCATTTGGAGACTGTCCAGCATGGTCCTGAGGTACGTCCGTCTCGTCTGAAGCCCAACTCCGGTAATTCGAACTCTAGTGTCGAATCTAGGTACCGGGAAGCTGGTGCATCTTTCTTTAGAAACGCCTTCGGAGGAGCCTTTTACGGGTTAAGACAGCTAGTCCCCCTGCTCTTACAAGCGGTATTCATAAGCCCATGTCAAGCAAATCCATGATAGCGTCTATCCGACCGTACCCCCGCCCCGAGCTCAATCCTCATCCCGGAGCTCAATCGTCCTCCGGCGGTAACTCGTCGTCAATGTACCGTAGCAGTGTTATGCGCATCTCGGTCGTGTCGTTGCCCCGCAGCACGTCGCTGATGAAGTGGGCCTCCACCTGCATCTGCACCATCTCCAGCGCGCCCCTCAGCACCCCGCAGAAGATGTTGCAGTACCACAGCTCGTCCTGCGCCCGCCCGTCGTCCGGCAGCTCCACAAAGTCGGCGAGGGGGTTCTCGTCGAATACAAGGGAGAACTGCTTGCTGTCGCTTGTCCAGTTGGTGATCGTGGGTGTAATGTTGAGGAAGATCTTGAAGCCGACCTGTTGCACGCGGTGTCGGCTAAAGGACAGGCACAGGCAGGCGGGCGGCGGGTATTAAACATGGTGGGCTTGCTTACCTTGGCTATCATCTCGGCCGTCTCTCGAAAGGTCGAGCACCGCCGCATGGTATTCGACTTTGCGAGGTAGTCTTCGATCAGGCGCAGGCCAATGTTGTAGCCCATCTTGTCCAGTTGCTTGTTCACTTCCACATAGTCGGCATCGTAGTCCTTGCAAAGCTGGGCGACGATGGTGCCGTAGGTCAGGGTGACGAGTTCGGCATTGACTTTATCGACCCGCGTCCTTCGGAAGCGTCAGTCACGAGCTTTGGGCCAATTGTGGCATTTGTCTTACTTCCAGATCCTGCGTGCTCAAGAGTCAGCTTCGATCTATGAGGGGACAGGACAGGAGGTCAATCGTACTCTTCTCCGAGTCGTGATGCCTTGCTGGCCGCCATGGTGGCTATCTAATCTGTCAAGAAGCCAGCTGAAGCTTCAGGGCGACGGGATTCCTTATCTTCTCACGTAACTAACCATTTGAGCATCTAGATGTAGTAGGTTAGAGGATGCCGGTTTCAGCGATCTGAATCTCGATAGGATCCATATTTGGTTGGAGATACAGCACGTGATGTCTGATTGAAGTAATTAAGCGCGAGCGCTTACACCCTAGAGGTAGGTCCAGTCGTCAGTGCGGTTCAGGCGCCGGGGAATTAAAATTTCCGGACAACTTTATTTTCTTTGCTCATCACAGTACTTGCAAATTCGAGAAGCATACAGCAGCGGTCCTCCAACTCCTACAGCTCCATCCTTGAACTCCCACCGTCACCCACGATACTCCTACAATGTCGGCCGAGAAGAGACCCGCGTCGGACGAGCCCAATGGCGGCCAACTGGTCGTCAAGAGGCAGAACTTGGGCACTAGTCGCGCCCTGACAAGGTCGAGTGCGGCGGGAGGGAGCGGCGCGCTCGTTCAAGCGGTATGCTATCTGCTTTTCTTAACATAAGGTTCCAAGAAAGCGAGCTGACAGTGTTGTAGGCGCCCAGGACAAGCAGCCTCCAAGCACCAGTCATGGAACTCTCTGGTCATACTGGGGAGATATTTTCGGCCAGATTTGACCCTTCCGGAAACCTGATCGCGTCTGGATCGATGGATAGAACAATAATGCTATGGAGGACCTACGGCGACTGCGAGAACTATGGCGTGTTAAGTGGCCACCGAGGTGCAGTGCTCGATCTGCAATGGTCCCGCGACTCGGAGATCCTCTTCTCCGCCTCGGCAGACACGCATCTTGCGAGCTGGGATCTTACATCAGGGGCGCGCATACGTCGATATGTGGGGCACGAGGAAATTATCAATGCGATGGATATCAACAAGCGCGGAGAGGAGCTCCTCATTAGCGGCAGTGACGATGGGACGATTGGCATATGGGATCCGCGGACAAAGAACGCTGTCGACCATATGGAGACCGAATTCCCAATCACGGCCGTAGCGATATCCGAAGCTGGGAACGAGATATACTCGGGCGGTATTGACAACGATATCAAGGTCTGGGATGTTCGGAAGAAGGCTGTTGTTTACTCGATGCTGGGACACCAGGACACAATCACCAGTCTCCGAGTATCTCCCGATGGCCAGCAACTGCTGTCCTATTGCATGGATTCTACTGCGAGAACATGGGATATCAGACCGTTCGCGCCAGCAGAGAGACATATCAAGACCTTTGACGGTGCTCCCATGGGTCTGGAGAAGAACCTGATACGAGCAAGTTGGGACACGGCTGGGAAGAAGATTGGTGTTGGCGCTGGAGATGGCACTGCCGTCGTTTGGTCGAACGATACTGGCAAGCTCATGTACAAGCTGCCGGGCCATAAGGGAACCGTCAACTGCGCCGAATTCGCCCCCGGCCCTGACCCGATCAGTAAGTGTCCAATCGAAGACGACCCGACCCTTTTCAGCACTTGTAACCCAGCTAACCCGTGCTGCTGCAGTCCTTTCCGCTTCTTCCGACCGAACAATGCTGTTGGGTGAGTTGAAGTGATGGTCTCTAAACAGGGGTTGAGACTTGAGCTTTGAATCTTGAGCCTCGAGACTTGTGCCTTGATAAGCGACTCCTCGCGGACATACGAGGGTTGAGGTCGAGGCCGAGAGCCTGAATGTGCCGCGGCTGCATCGCGGGAGTTTTATTTCAGACTTGCCAAGAGGATGCGAGAGCGCGGCTGGTTGCCAGTGGCCATGACCTGGTAGGGCAGCAGGTGTTTATTCCACAGGATCCGACCCAAGATGCGTTGGCCATCTAAAACTCCGACGCTGATCGACGGTGCCATCCCGAGAAACCAACCGCTCGGAGCGATCATGTAATATTTTGGAGCAAGGCGAGATACCCAGAGCTCATGTAAGAAAATATGAATCAAACAGTCAGGAGTCTTAGACTCGGATTTCTCGCAGGCTGCGAAGCCAACTATCAACGGTTTCGACAGTTTTTGGTGTTTGGCAGTCATGACTGAAGCGGGGGAGGAGAGAAAGATGCCTTGTCGTCTCTGATGGGGCAGCGCAACTGTACTGAAACCTTGGCGGCTGGGGCAATTCATGAGGCATCTCGAACCAGGCCGCACGACAATTGCCAACGATTTCACAGACAACCCCTCCCCTTGAATCAAGTTACTGGTAAACATTGCGCGTGGGGGAATGATTGAAGGTGCGTTTTGTCCAGCCAGCTGCTTGAGATGCATGTCATCGAGAAGCAGGGAAAACACCCATCCATCCTCGGATACCTACTCAACATCGAGCATCTTGGCTCGTTGTCGCTAGGTGAATTCCCCCCTCGCATATATTGATCTTGGGGAGCGTGCGTCTGTTAGTGTATTTCCATAGTGCCACAAGCAATTCTGAAACGCCGACGAACCCTGCAGACCCCTGTCACATCCTCCCCCTTCAATCATGCATTGCTCCAACCTTGTCGCAGAACAAACAGCAAAATTTGGTCGTGGCCAATCAGAGCAGCCATTGAGCCCCCAAGACCTTGCGGAGTTGCCGTCAAGGGCGTCTGTGGACGAATGGATGGGTTTCGCTTCGACAAGATACGACCTCCAAGACCTGTCCCTCTGTTGCTCTGGGATCGCAGCCAGTTCCGGAGTGGGAGACGGCCTGTCTAGCGGGTGGTCAGGGACACAACCGAGCTGCAGTCTACTTACCCTTCTAGGTGTAGGTAGTGGTAGTATTCATAGGTGCGTGCGGACAAAACAGAAGGGTCCGGGCAAAGCGAGCCGGTGAGGTGCAACCAACCCCTTGGCTATCATCGCCACCAGCTCAGACACCAATTCCTGTTTCTTGTTTTTCTTTTCCTCAACCCAAACTCCTCTCCGTCCGTGAGTGTGCATGTACGAAGCAAGGGTCGGACCCGGGAAGACAAACAATCTTGACTCCAAGCCCACGCGCCCCCGTCCTTCCTCTCCCTTGCGTCTCCAATCGACCTCTCCTCGGCCAGTCATCACCAGGTTATGGTGCTTGCTCCGCGCAGCCCTGTGGATATCGACTGCTGTTGTTAAACTTTCTTTTCATCTCCCCCATTCACTTCACCCTCGTTGCGTTTCTGCCTAGATCGACTCGGGCTCGAGATCCCTTCCATTCTGCTAGGCTGAGACACCAATTTGGTTCTGAGAACCACCCAAATTAGACGGCGTCTCTTCATCATTTCTATATCCCTTTTTTCTCTCGTTTTTCTTCCTTATTAGGTCACTCCCCGTGGATCCGGGACAAAAGCTCAGAGATACCCATTTCATTTTGGTTTAATTTGGCCGTCTGGCTCCTTGCATAGAACAGACACCATCAACTCGATTATTCGGTGTTCACACCTGCAACCACCCAACTTTCACAAATCGCGAGACGATTCGTCAACGCCGGCTGTCTTCGAGACACCACTTATTAGTGGCTTTCTCTCCTGTGGAGACATTGACTATTGAGGGACCCCCCCCGGAGGACCGCCTGTCCTCAATATCCCTAGATCGGAATTCGAAGTGGGGAGGACAGTATAATAGAAGCATGAAGAGCCCGACCCATCGATAACACCCACCTCTCTCGATTCGCCCAACATGAACCTACCGTTCAGCGTTCCCCGGCCCAACATGCAGGCCTTTCGAGTCGACCGAACGGCCTCGGCGCGCAACCCCAACGCAGAGCGTGACGAGTTCGATGACCGTCAGCCGCTATCCCCTCGGCCCGGCGACCTCGAAGCCCAGGCCCCCGAGATGGCAGAGCGGCCCCACCCGGCCTCCCGCTTCCTAGCCCGCCTCCCCCGGCCGACGATGCCCTCGTTCCTCAGCAGCAACAGCAGCAGCGACCACCGTCGCTGGCGTGGAGTATCCGGCTCGCCCCCGCGACCCCGCCCGAGCAGCAGCCACTACTCGGGCGAAGGGAACGGGGACGAGGACGAGGACGTCGAGTCGCCCAAGACCCCCCGCTTCACCCTCACGATCCCCAACATGCCGTCCACGCGCCTCCACCTCCCCAACCTCACGCGCACCTGGACCCAGGGCTCCAACGGCCCGCCCTCGAGGCCCGCCACCGCGCACGGCCGCCGCCCCTCCCGCTCCGACAGCAGCGGCGGGCGCTTCCCCGTCAGCGTGGCGGGGGTGGCGGAGCCGGCACCGGCGGTGACGACCACGAGGGGCGCCGCGGGACAGCAGCAGCACGCCCGGACGGACTCGCGGGCCCGGACGCGGTTCGACGGCGCCGACCCCGCGGAACTGCACCTCGCGGACCTGGCTGAGCAAGGGCGGCGGCGGCGGCGGAGGCGGGGCCACCACAGGCGGGATGGGAGCGATCGGTCGAGGGGGTCGCGGCGTAGTGATGAGGACGGTGGTGGCGGGGAGGAGGAAGACGGCGGGGCGGGGGAGCAGGGGAGCAGGAGGAGGCGGCGGCAGAGGCAGAGGGATCGGGCGCCGCCGCCTAAGCACTTCCTTTTCTGCTTCCCGTGGATCAAGTCCCGGAGGATCAGGTCGCAGATCCTGAGGTGTTTTGTCTCGGGCCTGTTCCTGGCCCTGCTGTTGACAGTTTGTGAGTGACGACCTCCTTCCTTTGCGGGTTTGGTTCTCCCCGAACCGGGAGTCATGGACAGATGCTGACAAGTATGTTCCAAATTAGACCTGTCCCTCACGATAACCAAGAACATCACCAACAACGAGTTCACGGTGCTGCTGATCCTCATCATCCTCTTCGTCACCATCTTCTTCTGCCACGGCCTGATCCGGCTGTGCATGTTCATCGTCAAGGGCCCACCGCCAGACGAAGGATCGGGATCGTCGTCTTCGCGCCGCCTGCGCGGGGCCATGCTCCCCGAGATGCTCGGCCCCGGCGGCTACGCGATCCCGCGGCAGCCGATCCGCGTCGTCCTCGCCCGCGACGAGGAGGCCGTCGGCATCGAGAGCGAGGCCACAAAGTCTAACCCCCCGGCTTACGGCCTGTGGCGCGGGAGCGTGGTATGTACCTTTTTTTTTTTTTTCGTCCCCCCTATTTTATCCTTCTGCGAGGCTGACACCCCTGCCAGAGAGTCGACCCGAATCGCATCTACTGGATGCGCAACGAGGAGTCGGCGACGGCGGAGACAATCCCCGAGGCAACGGACAGCAACAGTAGCGGCAGTGGCAGCGGCGGCAGCAGCAACAGCAGCAACGACGGCAGCGGCAGTAGCAGCAGCACAGGCAACAGCAGCCGCGATGACGAGCCACCGCGGCCGGCAACTGCGCGGCCGCCCTCGTACATGTCCGACGACGGCGTCGAGTACGTCGTCGAGGCCCAGCCGCGGTTGATCGTGCCCGCCGCGACGGAGGGTCCACCCGTGCCGCACCCGGCCGAGGTGGGGAGGGTGGGGCGGCCGTCGGCGTTTTGAGGACGTGGAAGTGGGGAAGGAGAGAGGGGGCGAAAGAGAGGAGAGGCTCTAGGAGTACGCCGGTTGCTACATATTTGCGTGTTGTGCTTTCCTTGATATCCATCTGGGCCAGGCGTTGGGAGCGACTGTACTGTGTTACCGAGTTAGGCATACTTAATAATCTGGCGTGGCATGTGTACGGCATCGAAGAACACGCCCTGCGTCGTTAGTAACAAATCATGCGCGGTCTTTCATCTTTGACGACGAGGCTAGACCCGCCATTTGTGCACATTTGAAGGAAGAGTGATGTTGGGCCATAACCCATACATTTACATCAACTACCTGACCTTCGGGAGCTTGGTTGTTGGAGGTTACAAGCGACGCGTAATTGAGTACCTGGTCACGTTGCAAGGAAGGCATAGGTAACTCCAAGCTAGCGGTTATTATAAGGAGCAAACGGATACCTCTCAGCTCCACGTTGTGGAGCCTTCCGACCCACGGCATTGGCGATGGTCGATGTTCCCGTTTCGCACCACCTAGACGCGGCCACAAGGTCCAAGCACATCCCTTTGCGGAGGGGCAGGTGCTTTCGCTGTCCCATTTTGGTCTTCGGAACCATGCCTTTTTGGCAGTGTTGGGCATGATTGGGCAAAGAAAAGCGTCGTTGGGAGGAAGAGGAAAGAGGGATGCGGCAGGAGAGCAGGGGCCACTTGCCCAGTTGTTTGCGGGTGCCTGTGCAAGGGCTGATGCAACCCCGCTTAGCAGCCAATGGCAGTACAACGCCCCAGCTGGTTCTGAGGTTCTGGATTTCGGGTGGTGCAGTACCAGCGCTGAGGGCGGCTCATTTGCTGCTGGACCCTGAACTGCCGGTATCACGACAATACATTGTCTGGTCCCATTGTTCCCCTCAGCACTCTCAGTAAACCCTAACCCTTTTCTCTCTCTGGTTACAATTCCCCAACACCCATCCGATCGAGTCAAGGAAACCCCACTCTGCACTACATACACTAGGGCGGATGCCAGGTACCTCCCAGTTAGTGACCTGCGTGTGGGAAACACATGCGATGCGGTCCCTTCACATAGTCCTTCCCTTCGCTTGACCTGTTTGGGGGGGGCAGCAAACACAATTTCCGTCTCCCTTTCATTCTTATTTTATTTCTCACCTTTCCACTTTGATTTACCCTCCAGCGAGCCGAGGGCCAGCCGGTTTGCACGAGATGTTCCGGGTCCAGGTTCTCGTTCACGTTCATTGTGATGGAGGGGGGCTGGCCCACTGACACGGCGGTCCAGCCGTTCCCATCCAGTGCCATTCTAGCCAAAAGAATGGGTTAGCTTCCTTAGTCGGTACTTTGAGATACTTTGCCCCACACCAAACGGACCAATTGCCGCGGGCTCCGACGTCTATTTGTCCTCGAGTAAGGAGCAGCGGAGGACGAGGAAAGGGCAAGGGACGGTAGGGCCAGGTAGCAAAAAGTAGCTGCACTTTCCCAATCCGCCCGTGCGGTGAGGATTTTGTGTGGTTCCCATTTTCAATAGATAACTCCCTGCTCGCTCTCTCGCCTTCCTCTCCCTTTCCTCTACCTTGTTCCACATCGCTACTAAAACCACCTTGCCGGGTATCTGTTATTTCGGGTCGCAGTCGGGCTGAAGTCGGAAGACGCTGAAGGTTGTCGCTGTTGTTGACGGAAGAAGTTTCGGTTGGAAAAGAAAGTTTGAATTTTTCGAAGGTTAGTTTTTGCGTTTTCCACGTTCCTTGTCGCCCTTGGGTCCCATTCGACGCCCGTTTGCAATCGAAGCCAGGGGTATATGGAAAATCGCGGCCGGCCTTCCTGAGGATGACGACAATACTCGAGCGCGACGACTCCAACCCTGTCAGCCCCATCCGGCGAAACAGAGACGAACCTGGCTTCACCTAGCTGCGATGCACCAATCATGCCGCTCTTCTTCTACCCCCGTCGCGGCGGCTCATCATGACTTCGATTCGGCCATGATGACCTAAAGTTGTGCAATGAATCGATCCTGCGCAAACGTCACCTCTTCGTGCAAATGGACAGGCCGGGAAACAACGGGGCCCGTTGCCTGCCTGGCGGCAGCAATCAACCCTTGACCGACTCTTTATTTTGACCTTAACCGCCCCCTCGGTATTCCTGTGGATCGCGGGAGCCGACGGAAGCCAGCTCGTTTGGGTGGAAGGACGGCGCGCATAGGCGACAGACGTGGAATGCTACACATCATTCTCCAACATGGACCGGGTTACCGCAAATGTTGGTCCTAAGGGGGGCGGTCGCACAAAGCTCATGCATACACCTGCAGGTCATGTTGTACATACCTGGTCTGGGCCGTTGGCACGCCGGCCGGGCAATGCGAGCTGCGCCGCCATACGCAGCCACTCCAACTTAAAGATTAAACTCGGCATCATCCAAACCACCACCTCGCTCGCACAGGATCTGCCGCAAAACTGTGGTGCTACTGGAAACTGGAAACATATCAACGCAGCCTTCTTTCTGCCCGATTCCAGCGCATGGCCACCTACGACATGCCCGCTACCTCAATCGAGGATTGGCTGCGGGCTGGACAGACCGATGTTTCTCACCGCTGCAAACGGGTCGTCAGCGAATTGGCCCATGGGAACGTGGCATGTGTGACTTGTCTTGCTGACGAAGTCTCTCTACAGACACATAACCTTGTTGCAATGTCGTCTCTCTCGCGCCGCGCATGCTACAAGTGTGGCAATGTCGGCCACTACGCCGAGGTCTGCTCGTCTGCTGAGCGCCTTTGCTACAACTGTATGTGCTTCCCTCTGACTGGTTGGCAACCCGCTCGCGCTAACACACCCATACAGGCAAGCAACCAGGCCACGAGTCCAATGGGTGCCCCCTCCCACGCACCACTGAGGCCAAGCAGTGCTATCATTGCCAGGGTCTCGGCCATGTCCAGGCGGACTGCCCTACCCTCCGCCTGAGTGGCGCGACCACCAGCGGTCGCTGCTACAACTGCGGCCAGCCGGGCCATCTCGCTGTAGGTTTTCCTTGAGCTGCCCCGCAATGTTGTTGAAATCCCATCCTAACAGGAGGTCAGCGTGCTTGCCCTAACCCTGCCGGCGTCGGCATGGGCCGTGGCGGCGCTCCCGTCGGGCGCGGCGGCTTTGGCTTCGGCCGTGGTGGATTTGCCGGCGGCCCTCGCCCGGCGACTTGCTACAAGTGCGGTGGACCAAACCACTTTGCTCGCGACTGCCAGGCACAGGCGATGAAGTGCTACGCCTGCGGCAAGCTTGGTCACATCTCGCGCGACTGCACTGCTCCCAACGGCGGTCCCCTCAACACCGCCGGCAAGACGTGCTACCAGTGCGGCGAAGCCGGTCACATTTCCCGCGATTGCCCCCAGAAGGCCCTGAACGGCGAGATCAACCAGGAAGTCGACATCAATGCCGGTCAGGCTATCGCGCCTCCCGCCACCGTGGTCGCCCCCATTGCGCCTCTTGCTCCCGTTGCATAGGTGGCATAGTAGCTGAGCTATGCCTCCCATGTCATGCCTGACGTCTATCTATTTCCGGCGCATTTTCGGGCATTGGGCATAACTCGGTGCCACAAGGGTGTTTCCTCGAGGCACCGCCGTTGTTTTTCACCTTCTTATTTTCTTTGCTGTCCTGCTGGGCACACACACACACCTTGACTCCGTGCGGACCTTATTTCCACCTCATTATTTCGACCTCAAACTCTTATGTCATTCTTTGCTTTATGCATTATCATCATCCATACGCACCTCCGTTATGATCATCATCGTCATCATCACTGTTGGCACGGCACGACTTTGCGTTTGAACGGCGTCCTCGGTCTCTTATCAAATCGGATCAACTTTACTTTTCCTGGGGCAATCAAGACGATCGAGTGGGAGAGATTCGTGTGTCTCCCTAGAAACCAATCAGTGCTCTCTTCTCACGACACGCAATCTCGACTCTCCTTGAAAAGCACAACGACAACGGTTGTCTTGATTCGAAGCCTTGTTCTTTTCGGTTTGCTTTCCCCTTCATCCTGCAACGTTATAGACACCTCATTGGACACGAGGAACTTCAGAGATACCCCCGATTGTGGAAGTATTCGGAATGGTTGTTGAGGACTGGCAGGACCGTGACGGAAACGGACTGCAGTCCACCTCTGGTCGGGCTGCGGAATTGCTCTCGGCCGTCAGACCAAATCAAGGACCTGTCAGGGGGATTAGATCGGAAGGGAGCCGGGAATCATAATGCATGGTGTGGATTAGGGATGGATAGGCATCGATTCCCGCTTCAGTGGGAGATGGATTGGATTGCCAGCGGGGAGGAAAAAAGACAAAAATAAGAGAGGGTTCTCTGAGCAAGGGATGCGGTAGCTCAGAGGCGTGTGGAAGTCGACAGAAATGGACACCTTCCTTCTTGTGGAGGCGTGTGGTATGCAGTGGGAAAAGAGAAAGAAGAGAGAAAAAAATACCAAAAAAAGAAGAGTGTTAGTCTGGGTTGACAGTTGATCATACGTGGAACAATTCGAGTCGATTTCGAGATGCGCTGAGGCAAGGCAAAGCAAGGGCAAACAAGGCATCGCCAACGGATGAACCATGAAATGGAATGAATCGGGCTGGAGTTCTCTCTCCTCCCATGTCTGCCCTACTGTGCCGTGTTGCAGGCTTCCAGAGTCCAGTGAAGAGGACACCATGCCCTCGTGATGAGCCCTGTAGAAGTTGTTGGCCGTGGATCGGTGAGGGAACCAGTGGCATTTTCAGTAGCTGCAACACGCGATGTTGGCAAATGTTTGACACCGGTGGCACGACGTAGCCCGCGTTGCTACTTTTGCACCCTTCGAAGTGCATCTCTACGGACCGTTGACCCTATTTCCCTAACCAGAGCCTGCTGCTCGGCGCGTATGCTCTTGGCCATAGGGCACGCCGTCATGTCTGTGGTGCCTGTCGTCGATCGACTACAGGAACGCTGTCATGGACTTGTTTCCTGCTCATATGCATGGCCAGGTGGTATGCGATGACCGCGCTCTCTCGACTCCGAGTCTTGAATGGGACACAAATCTTCATGAAGGCATCCGATAAGGGGCCGGGAGACATGAAGTCAGGAAGCATCGGGAAACGGTCCCTTTCCGCTCAAGATCTAAACGCCAAGGAGAGATAACAACCAAGATCCCCTCCCTTCCCAGATATTCCCAAACACCTGTGCCAGGAGAAGCAAGTTTAACAAACGAGTTAACCGACTGCGCACCACCGCACCACATCATCCCCACCCCCCTCCCCTCCGGGCCCATCTGGGAACAACCAAACGCAAATCCCCCTTCCCCCCCCCAGGAGCATCCCTCACTCGGCCAACCGATAGCTCACGAGGGTGTCGACGCGGTGGCTGGCGGTGCTGAAGCCGCGCAGCTGGACGCGCTCGCCGCCAGCGATCTCCTTGGCGTCGCTGTCGCCCCACTCGACGGGCACGTCGCTGTCGGCGTCGGCGTAGACGAGCACGTTGAAGGTGCAATCGCCGCTCAGCTGCGGCAGGAACGTCACGCTCGCCGTGATCTGCCGGAAGATGGCCGCGATCTCCGCCTGGATCTCGGCCTCGGTCTTGGACTCTGTCGAGCCTGGTGGGGGGGCGCTGCTGCTGCTGGTGCTGTTGTTGTTGCTGTTGGTGTGGGGTTCTTTTGGGGGAAGGAGTTCATCGGGGAGGGACGGGGGTGGACTCACCCAGGAGAGACGTTTTCCTGGTCTGCTGATTTGGAGGCGCTCTTGCTCTTGGAGGGTTTGCTGAAGATTTGAACCTGTTTATGGGGGGCGGGAGAAAGAGCCACTTGTCAGTCATAAGGTCTTGAAGGGGCTATGAAGGATGCCCGGGGGGAGGACCAACATCAAACTGCCATCGTTCGACGTGCTCGCCGGTATCCTTGTTTGTGATGACGATGACTAGCTTCGAGATCTTGCCACCGACCATCCACCTGTCAAGCTGTGACATGATCTTCTTGATGTATGCCTTGACTTGGTCATCCGACGACACTGTCTCCGGCCGTCAGCATCAGCCCGTTCTGAAGAAACCCACTGCATATCCGTATTCGAGGCTGGGAAAGGGGGAGTTGGGTCGTGCATAGTCGCCGAGAGACACATCTCGGGCTCGTTGGGGAGGACTGACCTAACATGTTGAGGCCATATTTCTTGACGGCGGTGAAGTCCTCGGCGGGGTAGACACCTCGTTGGAACCTGGCGACACACGTGTCAGTCCCATATCACGGTCATCTCATCGATGTTGAGGTAATGGAGGCTCTAGGGGCCTTACAATATGGTATGTATGGAGTATTGGAACTAACGGCAAGGCGGCCAGGCTGGGTCAGCATATTGCCTTTTTGACAGACGAAATGGCGGATCCGGCACTCACGAATTCGGCGACAAGCTTCGCGCTGCCCTTCAGCGACAGCTTGTGGACCTTGGACTTGTCCTTTTCCCTCTCGCGTGATGCCATTTCGGGCGCTGGGGTCGGGCTGCTAGCGATGCGATCGACTCTGCCGTCGTGGGTGGTTGAAGTACGGCGGCTTTGTTTACTTGAGAGAAAGTTGGTTGCTATGGCGGGGTCGGAAAATTGCGCGGCTCGCGCTTCTGCGCTTACCCCACGTGCTCAAAGCAATTGTGCTTCAAGTGGATAAACTTTCTGTCAGACTTCGCATTTATTTGAAAGCCTAGTGGGGCCTGACTTAATTTGTATTTGTATTGGCCTTGTATTGGGCGGTTAGAAAGACATTTCAATAAAAAATTTGCGTTCTCACGGTGGTAATTGTGCTGGGAGTCTCATATTCGCCAAGCCCCAGTATGCATTTGTCGAGGTAGATATACAGTTATCTGGGTTTCTCGGCGCCCCGCTTGTACCATAATCTTACTCCGCTACATGAATATGGATGTCCACTCATCGTTATAGCTGCACTTTAGTTGGGAGTCGAAACTGAAGTGCATAGGCAGGGCCAGCTGGCAGCAATTCCTCAATACAAACATTTTTGCCACATCGACACGTCGCCGTGTTAACTTGGTCCTCGCCGTAAGCATTTCGGAAGCCACCGAGTCCGCAGAAACCTAGCCCGCCTGGCACGATCCCCTTGGTGAGGTCGTCGCATCCTGGGCTTGGACTGCGAGTCATGCTGGCGAATCAGAATTCACCCATGCGAACCCACCCGACTACGGGGGGGTTTATTATTAGTCTCATCAGGTGCTCCATAGCGCCGGGATCGCCGCTAATCTCAACCCCAGCCGGTCCCCCATCTCTCGGGTTCTAGGTAGCATACGGAGTGAAAATATTGGACCGACACCGACCAATGACATATTCAGCCGCGGAACAAAGCCCCTGAAATAGCGGAGGGTGTCTTGCAGGGGTCATGTGGATGATGGATGGCTACGAGTTGGGTATAACTTGAAGCCCGAGTTTCTTTTCGAAGGGTTCCTCACGAGTGTCTGGATATCCGCAATCCATTTTTATCTTGACCATACCATACCAACGCTACATCAAAGCCAGTCCTGTGACATCGCAGGAGAGTGAAAGCATCCCAACCCTCGTTAGCCTCTCCCCTCCCTTCTCCGCGCCAACGCCAGCTCTAACCCCTTTAGCAGGCCAAAAAAGAAAATGGCAGCGCAAAATGCCCCATCTAGAGAATGGTGGAAGGAGGCCGTGGTCTACCAGATCTACCCCGCCAGTTTCCTGGACTCTAACGGGGACGGGCTCGGCGACCTCCGCGGCATCATTTCCAAGCTGGACTACATCAAGTCCGTCGGCGCCGACACCATCTGGCTGTCGCCCATCTTCAAGTCCCCACAGAAGGACATGGGCTACGACGTGGCCGACTACCGCGACATCCACGAGCCGTATGGCACATTGCAAGACGCAGAGGCGCTCATCACGGCCTGCCACGCGCGCGGGCTGAGGGTGCTGTTCGACCTGGTCGTCAACCACACCAGCGACCAGCACGCCTGGTTCCGGGAGTCTCGCTCGGCCCGCACCTCCCCCAAGCGCGACTGGTACCTCTGGCGCGACCCCAAGACCGGCCCGGACGGCGCCCGCCGCCCGCCCAACAACTGGGCCTCCATCTTCGGCGGCAGCGCGTGGACCTGGGACGAGCCCACGGGCCAGTACTACCTGTCGCTGTTCCTGCCGTCGCAGCCGGACCTGAACTGGGCGTGCGCAGACATGCGCGCCGCGGCGCACGCCGACATGGCCTTCTGGCTCGACAGGGGCGTCGACGGGTTCAGGATCGACTCCATGAACCTCATGTCCAAGCACCCGGATCTGCCCGACGCGCCCGTCACGGACCCCGGCAGGGAGTTCCAGTCCGGGGATTTGTACTTCGCCAGCGGGCCCCGCATGCACGAGTACATCCGCGAGATGCGGCGCGAGGTGTTCGACAAGTACAGCAGCGGCGGCCGGCGCGTCATGACGGTCGGCGAGCTGGGGTTCACCAAGGACGAGGGCAGCGTGGCCGAGTACGTGGGGCGGGCGCGGGGCGAGCTGGACATGGTGTTCACGGGGGACGTGGTGGACATGGACTTTGGGGCCGGGCACAAGTACGAGCGCGACGACTTCAGGGTGGCGAAGCTGAGGGACATTACGGCCAGGTGGCAGGCCGCCATCCCCGCGTGCGACGGCTGGAATGCCGTGTACATGGATAACCACGACTCGGGCCGGTCGCTGTCGCGGTACGCGTCCGACGACCCGAGGTATCGCGCGGCGGCGGCGAAGATGCTGGCTACGTACCTGGGGAGCGTTTCTGGGACGCTGTTCCTGCTGCAGGGGCAGGAGATCGGCATGGCTAATGTGCCGGCGTCGTGGGGGATGGAGGAGTATGTCGATGTCGAGGCGAAGAATTACTATGACGCCGTGCGGAAGGTGAGGGGTGAGGGGGCTGATATGGGGGACGTGCTGAGGGAGATGAGGTTGAAGGCTCGAGATAACGGGCGGCTGCCGATGCAGTGGAGTGCCGAGGAGAACGCGGGTTTCTCCAGGGGTGGGAGGCCGTGGATGAGGGTGAATGATGACTTTAGGGAGTGGAATGTCGAGAAACAGGAGGTGGACCCCGACAGCGTGTTGGCTTACTGGAGAGAGGTGCTGGAATTGAGGAAGAGGGAGTTCGATGTCTTTACCTACGGCCGGTTCAAGATGCTGGATGTCGAGGGGACCTCGGAAGATGTGTTTGCGTACACGATGACCAGCCCCGACGGACGGAAGAAGGCCCTTATCCTCTTGAACTTTTCGGACACTGAGCAGCCGTTTAGTGGCCGTGGCTTTGAGGGCTGGAGGAGGCTGCTGGGATCGAATGTGGCGGTAGAGGTGGGGAAGGACGGAGTCAGGTTGGGGGCATATGAAGGTGTTATCTTCTGTAACTGGTTATTAAACTAAGAAGTAGGCATCGAACATGGAATATTTGCATCTAGTATGATCTAGATTTTGCAGATTTGTTTCCATCTAACAAAGATTGGACCCTAATTATCAATCAACCATAGCAACAAAGAAAGGTCTCACCCAATTGCGCATCTCGTTGGAATCATTTTAAAGAGTATGTACTGTACATAGTCAGAGGGCTGCAAAAAGACTTGAAGCTATGGAACCAAACGTGGGTAATTACTCTACAGAGTCCACCGTATGCATAGTCAGCGTCTTCACATGGATTCTCTCGCCCTGACTCTTCAAGTCGGCGATTGAGCGCGGCTCTTCGAGAACACCACGACCGGATCTCCGAGCCGGCCAGGCCACCTTCAGATCTTCCCAGCACTCGAACTGCACATTCCTCTCATCAAAAGCCCCCAAGTCATACGAGGCGAACCTAGACGTGTCCAAGCTGGGATAGACACGTGAAGTGAGGGCGAACCGGTCGTTTGCGTATATCTCCACGAGGGACACGTCGAGGAAGAACTTGACACTGAGGTCCTCGCCGGGCAGTAGCCGGAAGCACCCAGAGTCGGGAGTGTCGGCCCCGAGTTTCGAGAGCGATGACTGGCTTCGGTCGACGGTGATGCGGCCGTTTCCAAGGTCGAATACAAGCTTTGTGACTTCGACTGAACCGGGCGATTCGAAGACGTTGAAGACGAACTTCTCCGTGCCGGAGAGATTGAAGAATGTCGCTTCGACTTCGCAGGTTGTCGCGCGAATCCCGACGAAGGCCTTCAGTGATGAGAGGCTAGACTGGCGTCTGAGGTGTGCGACCTGGGGAGCGGGTCGGATCCCGAGGGTTGTCATTCTGCCCGAGGACTTGTGAAGAGTCCACTCAGGGGCGTCCATAGCCGTGCCAGGGACGATGGGCTTCGACACCTCAAATAGTTCTCTTGGGTGTGCCAGACATCCAGCCCATCCCTGGCCCTTGACCACGTGCTTTTTTGCAGCTTCGTCGGCCCATCCCAGTTGGATCAGTCGGTCTTTCGAGTCTCGGAAGATGTGTGGGGCGTACGAAATTCCATGGTCTGCCAACCCGTGACCTGAGATATCGAATCGAGGCTTCCCGTCCTCGAGACGCAGAGTCCCCGAGAGCCAGAGGGTGTAGTGGTAGTTATGCCTCAAGCTGTCCTCGTCTTCCTCGACCCCGAGCAAGATGTAGTTCATCTGGCCGGCGGAGAAGAAGCTGGCGCACTCGAAATTGTTTCCGAAGCGGAGACGACTGTTTTTCGAGATCTTTGACCCGCGCTTAACGTCCAGCAGGACTGAAAGATAATCCCAGTTGCAAAGGTCATGGGACTTGTAGAGGTGTAACTGGGGCCCGCGCCCTCGCTCCCCGGAGGCTATCATCATGTAGCTGGTTTCTTGCCCGACCCCCAGCAGCGTGGAGAGGGATGACCACTGCGAGACAAATGGATCGCGCCATCCGGTGGTGGCCTCCCCCTTCGGGGGCATACTGAGGAGAGGATTGTCGTGGGACCGGTGCCACGACCTCCCAAAGTCTGTCGAGACGGCGACTGACTGAGACTCGCATCCCCAGATGTAGGGCTTGGACCAGTGGATGGGAAGAGCCGAGACGCTGGTGTAGAAGAGAAACAGGACTCTTTCCCCATCGATCAGTCTCGAGACGATGGATCCTGAGAAGACGCCTAGGGAATCGTACGATGGCCCGTTCCGGATGGCTGGTGCACAGTCCTCCCAAATGACCAAGTCTTTGCTTCTCGCCATGCCCCAAGCGCAGTTACCCCCGTCTGAGGTCCCTGGGTTCCATTGGTAACAGACTAGGTATTCTTTCGTCTCGGGAACGTAGACGGCACCGCACGGGTCGTTGGACCACGAGTGCGGCGCGATGAAGTGGCCGGTCGGGCGGAAGCGGTTGAAAGCCATTACGGAGCTGTGAAGAGAGACAACGAGATGGAGGAAGTGATGATGAGAGGAATGGACGAAACCCGAAAGATGCCCCAGATGTGGTAATAGGAGTGAGGGATTATCCTGATCAGTTGGAGCAGTTGCAATGCACCAAGGGCGGCCGGACTCGATGATTCAGTCCGGAGTAAGCGATAATTAATTAATACCCCTGGATCATGGGATCATGGGATCATGGGATCATTGGATGAGTGCAAAAACTGCGAACGAGACGGACTAAGACGACATATGCCTTGGAAGTCTCGACCTCTGTAATAGCTGAATCGACACGCGCTCGGTTCCGACGAGGACATGCATCCCTCCCACACTCCGACCCCTATTAGTTGCGATGTGGGCTGCATGGGACGTGATGTGACGTTTGCGGTGCTTTTGCTCGGGTGAATTTCATCACCACCCCAATAGAAATTCACCCATCAATTCGCCCCAACTTGTCACCCAGATTCGGCAAGGGGGCAATGGGAAATAGTGCGCGGCACTTGAATCGATAATTCGCTTGGTGCAGCTGCTAAAAGCACCGAGCCGACCAGAGTCCAACGACGGTCGGGATATGTGGAGCTGGGGGGTGTGAGTCCCACAAATCCGGATGCGCAAATTCACCCTACTGGTCAGCGAAGTTCTCAAGCTTCTCAGGGAGGGCAAACTTCTTCTCCCCATGGGGCGGCGTCTCCATGGGCCTCGACCCGACGACCTGGTCAAACTACGTTGCAGAGAAGAATAGGTTGGGCAATTAGTTCCGGCCGGGGAAGCCAAATAAATGTCAGAATGGCGGGGTGACCGTGAAGCCCCTGGAGCAGACACACTTCCCCAGATATATAATTCTCACCAGTCGCCCACTTGAAAACCCGGGCTTCTAGATCGACTCTCCATCCTCACCTCGACTCTTCCGGTCTCGATCCAGGTTTCTTCTGCTTCATTGCTAAAAAGCTACCTCTTTCTTTCCATTCCCTCTCTCAGCATGGAGTCCGAGAAAGCTCCCCACAACGCCACAAAGTCGGTCGTCAGCAGTGACCATCTTGAGAAGGTGGCTGTCGTGGACCAGGTTGACGAAGATGTGACCCCTTCCAAGGTCCCCGTCTCTCAAGACCTCACACCCAAAGAGCAGTACCAGAAGCTATGGGCCAATCTCAAGAAAGATAAGCATTTTGTCTTCTGGGCTCTATATGTCATGTCCCTTGTCTTTGGATGGGGATACGATGCTGGACTGTCCGGTGTTGCCATTGCGTTCCCCGAGTTCAGGAAGGTGTACGGAGAGTACTACTCCGTTGGAGATCAATATGTGATCCCGGCTCTCTGGCAGTCTCTCTGGAACGCAGCCAGCACAATCGGACAGGTCTTCGGAGCTTTCCTCACGGGCCAGTTTGCCGATTATACGGGTCGACGAGCCATACTCTGGCTCGCCGTTGCGCTGTCGCTCTCTTCATCCTTCGCCCTCGTCTTCGCCCCCAACCTCCCAGTGCTCTTCGTCTCCAAGCTGCTGCTGGGGCTCTCGATCGGATTCTCCACCGCGACTCCCCCCCTCTACGTCACCGAGAACGCACCGGCGGCCCTTCGGAGCTCGGCCAGCTCGTTGACCAACGTCATCATCGTCCTCGGCTTCTTCCTCTCCTCGCTCACCGGATACGGGGCGTCGCACATCTCCGGGCAGTGGAGCTACAGACTCGCGTTCGTCATGACATTCGTCGTGCCCGGCTTGTTTGCCATTGGTCTCCCCTTCCTCCCTGAATCGCCGGTCTGGTACATCAAGAAGGGCAGAGAGGAAGATGCTCGCAAGGCAATCATCCGGCTGTTCGGCAAGGACACCGATGTGGAGGAAAGGCTGGCCTTCATCAGGTCCGAACTAGAGGTCGTGGCCGGAGAGGCCAGCATGGCGAGCCAGACGAGTTGGAGGGCCATCTTCTCCAAGGAACATCGTTCGCGGACCCTGGTTGCTGTCCTTGGCCTGCAGTCTCAGAACTTCTCTGGCGGTTATTTCGCAAGTAAGTTGTCACTATTAACTCGTCCTTAGACTCACAAACACGTCGAAACTAACATTGCAATCGTGTTGTAAGACACTTACCAAACTTACTACTTCGAACTCATCGGTCAGACAAATCCCTTTGGTCTCACAGCCATCTCCTCGACGCTTCAATTCTTCTCCAACTGCTTCGCCGTAACTCTCTCGGACGTCCTGCCCCGGCGAAAGGCCCTCATCGGCGGCGGCTCTCTGCTCTGTGCCTGGTCGGTGATCATCGCCGGCACCTCGATGGCCAGCACGTCCAACCGGGCGGCCAACACGGCGCTGCTCGCCTTCATGATCACCTGGTCGATGCTCTACACCGGCACGGTGGGCTGCTTTGGGTGGGCCATCGCCCAGGAGACGGCCTCGCAGACGACGCGGCCCAAGACCATCGCCTTCACGCTCATGTGCCAGCAGCTGACGGCGCTCATGCTGTCGTCCGTGTTCCCCTTCTTCATCAACCCGGACCAGCTGAACTGGGGGGGCAAGGTCATGTTCCTGTTCGTCGCTGCCGAGGTGGTCATCTTGCTCCTGCTCTTCTTCGTCCAGCCCGAGACCAAGAACAGGACGTACAACGATATCGATACGCTGTACGCCAACCGCATCCCGCCAAGGAAGTTCAACCGCTATGTCGTCGATAATGGGGTGGTGATCAAGAAGCAGGCGTGAGGGATGTCCCTAGGAATCCCGTGGCCGTATATAAGGGGCGCTAGCTAGCTCGTTCCAATGCACTCTCAACTTGCTGTAATTGACAAATATAACTTTCTCTGTCTGCAAACGTGTATGTCGCTCTTGCTGCTTTGACATGGATTATGTGCCTGGTGGTGTTGTAGTTGTTCCCTTGCCCATCTCGTAGAAGACCTCACTTGAAGTAGGATTCCTTCACAAATGCTCAAATTGCTTTGTACGGTACAGTGCCCATGGAACGATTGCTCAACGTAACACGTTTCCTAAGACCCGGCCAGTTACATTAATAGATGCAGAGCCGTGGCTTCAGTGTATGTTCCGCGGACTCAACATCGTAGCTCCGGTATATGCGATGGAATCCGAGCTCGTACTACACGCATTCGTCCGCGCTACCCGTCGCCATGCCTAGAGCTGGTATGGGGCTGGTTCGGTCTTAAAGGTGTGCGGAAAAATATTTGCTCCCTCTGTTGTTTCGTCGAGACTGGCGGCTGCGTAAGCCCACCACGCAAGGTTTGGGCCTGCGTCGCTCCATCGACGGGCCCGCTGTCGTTGTGTGGGGGTCGGGCAGGAATGACTGCGCTTGTCGGCTTGAGGTGTTAATTCTCGGGCGTATATGACCAAGCCTAGCTGACAGCTCGATGACACGGTGAAGTAGAGGGAAGCATGGAGGAATGCATGGAGGACCGAAGCTTCAACACCTCAAGGATAGGGTAGAAAAAACTCCGTGCCTTCATCACTCACCCCTTCCCCCTCTTCCCCCCAGTCCCCTTGATATTCGCTCAGCAAATAATGATCATCCAGGCCGTCATTCCCGCTCATTTCACACATGGCCTCTGCATCTCCTTCCGCAGTGTCATCCCCGTCCCCATCGCCACAAAGCTCGTAAACCTCACGACCCCCCTCACGCGAACCCCACCCCGCACCAGCACCTACCACCGCCACCCCCCTGTCCACGCCCACTCGCAGACACTCGCTCGCCTTGGCGACCAGGACGCGCAGGTGCCTGGACTCGCCGCCCCCCCGGACCGTGTTGCCGACGATGCGGACGATCTCGACGAGGCAGTCGCGGGGCCCGACGGCGAGGGCCTCGGGGGGCGCGGCGCGGGGCGCCAGCGCGAGCACGTCGGCCAGCGAGCAGCCGATGTCGAAGACCTTCTCGACGATGCCCACGCCGTTGGCCTCGAGGGCGCCCCGGGGCAGGTCCCGCGCCGCGGCGACGACCTCGCGCGCGATCGTCACGGGGTAGTGGAGGGTCATGCTGTCGTCGGCGGTGCGGGAGCGGGAGCGGGAGGAGCTTGGTAGTGGGGTCTTGGATACGCAGAGCTGCCATACCATGGTCTTGAGCCATTGCCGCGACACGACGAGGTCGGCCTGCTGGCTCTCGGCGCAGTGGCCTGGTGGGGGCCCGCGGCGGGCTAGGACGCTCTGTAGTCGGGTCAGGGGTTCCGGAGGGGGGGTGCCGGCGGGCGGGGGCGTCGCGAGGGGGAGGTTCCACAGGGCGAGGAAGTCGTTGTCGAAGTGCTGGAAGAGGGAGATGAGGTCCAGGAAGCCCGAGAGGATGTGGGCCTCGGGCCCGGCCGGGTCGACGGCGGGGAGGGCGAGGGTCCTCTGCAGGGTCAGCAGCCTGTGCCGCTGGAGGGCGTAGGCTCGCTCGGTGATGAAGAGGACCCAGAACAGGCGGCGCGAGAAGGCGGCCTGGTCGGGGGCGATGGAGGCGTAGGTGTCCTCCTCGTGCAGGCGGAGTAGCTGGAGCATGGTTATGGCCTCACGGATGTAGAACCACGCCGAGTTGTCCCTGCCGAGGCAGAAGAAGGCGGAGAAGAGGAAGAAGGACGTTTGAACGGTTGTCAGTGATGGGCTCTCGATGTAGTTGCAGAACCGCCTGGCCCGGGTGGTTTCGGATATGAGGAACTCGGCAGAGGGAAGTGCAGGTGGGGCTGGTGATGTTGATGTTGATGTTGATGTTGATGTTGATATTGATGCTGCTGAAGGTGATGATGGAGATGGGGATGGTGAGGACGGTGAGGATGACTCGAGGATCTCAGGGGAGAGCACCATGACAGCGCAGCATGCCGTTAAAAGGGCGTACAGCTCTGGTAAAGCCGCAAGGTGCGGCAGGGCAGCTTCCATCTGGCGGCGATCGAGAATCGGTGTGATGGGATATTTATGGGTGAAAAAGGCATCCAAGCATAAGGCTACCAACTCAGTGGACACAAGGGGCGAAGGCTGAAACCCGAATGGGTCCCTGAGGTTGGTGCAGATTCCATGATGGCCTCCCAGAAGCCGAGCGTCGACCGGTGTGCCTGCAGTGTGTGGCCCAAGTTGCGCATATCGGTGTCCGGCCTGGTCTTCAAGTAGCTGCTCAGGTTCAGGCGAAGCTGACGCCACGCTATCAGGCTCCGAGTCGGGACGGCTGGCAGCTGGAAGCTCGGGCGGCAGGTTGATGACAGGAACTGCTGGTCTCACAGCATAACGAGGCTGTGTTGACACTCGCCGTCGACCCTTGGGGCCTGTTTTCTTGTGCACCGCGAGGTAGGTGCACTCAAAGGTAGCGCTTGTGCAATTTGCGCAAGGGCTAGCGCCGTCGCAGCGGACCTTGCGGGCACGACAGCAGTCGCATGCCTGCCTGACTTTTACGCTCTTCCTAAATGGCGGCCGAAGGGTGCCTGATGACATGGTAGACCATTGCACAGGGATAGAGAGACTATAGGAGAGAAGTTGAGCGCCCTGTGTGGGGTTCTTGAGGCTACTGCGTAGAACCCCTCAAGCTAAGAAGTAAGAACCCAACAAGTTGTCTAACCCCTTATGGCAAGACTTGGTTCTATGTTCTTGTAGATTCATTTCTTCCTCTAGGCGAATATCAGCAAGTCGCGCGAGTCTATTCTGCCTTGCATAAAACTGCACCCCTTACATCCGTATGTTTTATAACTAACTCCTCATTTGACCTCGCCTTGATCGTCGCTACGCTATCATCACTCTTCTCTCCCGCATCGTCCTCGCTCGCAGGATACTTTCTCCAAAGTTTCACATCAGCAGAGTCTCTAGAAGCGATTAATTCATTGCCGTTTGGAACTTAATCCTGGCCTCAAATGGCTGCGGTTCTTGGTGCTGTACACAGTACCTAGCGTCTAATGTTGATGGCCACGCGACTTGGCATTTCGCTGTCGGAATAAGGAAATACTCGCTCTGAGCAAAACCGGAGCAACAAGCCTCCCCGTCCCTAGACTTCCTTCTCGATTCCCTCGCTTAATCTTGGTCGCTCTTTTTCTCCCATATCATTTCAACATTCTGAACTGACCCAAGCCTTCCTCAAACACATCTCTCGTGATGCCTCTGTGGTCGTGTGAATGGGAGACTTGTAGGAAACCGGCTGTGCAAAGAGCAGGAGACTGCTTGCTGTGTGACAGACACCTCTGTCGCACTCATCTTCGAGAGCCGTGGCACGAATGCCCGAAGCCAGAGGTTCGTGATATACCCGCTCAAGAATCAGCCATGGCAGCACTACTCATGCCCATCACTTCAGGAAAACTGGGAATCCTATTCCGCTCAATATGCAGCCACAGAGGCCCGCCATATAGACGAGCTATGCCGCCCAGTAGATGGTTCCAGATTATGCTCCCGCGCATCGATGCTTAGGGGTGGTATCCCTTGTACCGTTGAATTGTCCCGCAGGAGCCTGTCAGCTATGATGGGAAACCAGAACTGCCACACCGAGATCACCTTCCAAGACGATGTCAAGTGGCTCGCACGTTTCCGCCTTGCGAGGACCTCATCAACGCCACGGGAAGTCCGTGACTGCATCCTTCGAAGCGAAGCTACCACCATGGCCTACCTTCAACAACACACTCGCATTCCCGCACCCAACATCTTTGACTGGGCATGCGAATCTGATCCGGAGAACCCAGTTGGAGTCGGCTACATCCTGATGGAAAAACTGGACGGAAAGCCCCTGGACTGGCAGGAGGCGACTCCGACGCAGAAGGAGAAGGTCATGCAACAGCTGGCTGACATATTCCTCGAGATCGAGAAGCATCCCTTCGAAGCAATGGGGTCACTCGTCTCCTCGGCTGAGGATACCACCGAGTTTGAGGTTCAAGGTCTCGCACATCCCGCAACCTTCCGCATGGGAGGTGGAGGTCCGCTAGGTCCCTTCTCTTCCTCGCTTAGGGGGTCACGCGCCATGCTCGAATCATACCTCGCAATGATAGCCAGCAGCGAGATTGACGCCTGCCATCCGGTAGACGCCTACCTCGCACACCACTTCCGCTTGGAGGTTGTTGGCGGCCTTTGGGAAGACGTCTCATCAGGGGGCCAATCCTTCCTCAAGCACCCGGACGACAAGGGTGACCATATCCTGGTCAACAGCTCTTTCGACGTCGTCGGAATCATAGACTGGGAATGGACCCAGACGGTTTCCAGGGCGGAGGCCTTCTGCTCCCCGTGCATGCTGTGGCCGGTGACTGAGTTCTACAACGGCTCCAATGAGCTAGCCGCGGATGAACTACGGCTAGCTAGCATCTTCCGAGAAAGGGCCGTGAAGATCTTGCTAACTATGTTATCGAGGGCAGGAAGGTCCAGAGATTCTTCTTCGCTCTTGGCCCCGACAGCGCCTGACCGAAAGACGTTCACAAATCTCTTCACGGGGCTCAAGCGGGCCCTTGGCTCCGGAGACGAGGGGTGGGAACAATGGAAGGGCGATGGATTGCTTCAGGGCTTGACGACTTAAGGCCCCAGAGGGTTAGGAAATACCTCAGAATCCCGCGCCGGCGGCTAACAGCAGCCCGATAAGGTTATCAACGAGCCCAGGCTGCCTCTTCAGAAACTTCGATTCGGCCGCCGTTCTTGCAGGGGAGATCCCGTCCACATCCATTGACGAAACATCGACGCCATGAGCTAGTAGCGTTCTGATGACGCCGACGGCGCCACGCTCGGCTGCCCAGTACAACGGCGTCAGGCCAGGCCGAATGACCATTCTCTGGGTTGACGGATCTGCCATCGCGTCTCGCAAACGGTAGCCCCAGGGCAGGCCAAGCGAAGGTACAACTTCCTTGGCGTCTGGGCTCAACAGAGGAGCGCGGGCTTCCGGGTCGGCACCGTGAGATATCAAGACCTTGGTGAGGTCCGCTGCCTTGCCATTTACGTCGGGATCGCAGTGAAGCGCGAGGCCATGTAGCGGCGTCCAGCCCTCATCTGTCGTGATACCAGCATCGGCGCCATGAGAGAGAAGATACTGAGCTGCTTGCATTGCCTTGGCGGGTGACTTGATCGCTATGCATGGATTCCGATCGATGGGGATCAGAGCGCACATCAAGGGTGTCCAGCCGTTGGAGTTCTTCGCGTTGATATCCAAACCTTGAACAATCAGGAACTCCATTACCTCAATGCGGCATCCAGCGGCGGCAAAATGCAGTAACGTCTCCCCATCATGGTTTGTTAACTGCAGTAGGGCATCCTGGTCTTGCTCTGAACAAGAGGATAGGTACAGGCGGAAAAGACGCAAGTCTAATCCATAAGCAGCCCAGTGTAAGGGACACTCGCCTGCGTCGTCTGGCTGAGACACGGAAGCTTTATGTTGCAGCAGCAGGCGGATTGCAGTCTCGTTCAGAAGATCATGTTTGGCTTGACCTATTCCGATCGGCTCGGCGAGGACATGTAGAGCAGATTTGCCAGACCCGTTGGTCTTGTTAGGGTCTGCGCCCTTTTCAAGCAGCGTCTTAAGCGCGCCTGTGAGATTTGCGTTGTAGGCGACGCTGTATATAAGAGGCGTGTTGTTTGGACAAGAATTTGGGTCCGCCCCAGCATCGATTAACAACGCAATCAGCAGTTGCTGGTTGAGGTAGTCAATGCCCTCGTACTTGACTTTGAACTCACCAGACAGCATAAACTTCTTGCCTGTAGCAGCGTGCAGCGCCTCTTGAAGGGTCGATTGCTCGAATAATGCCCTGCTCAAGAGCAAAGTAGCCACTCCAAGGTGCCATCGCCGTGCAGCCCACAGCAGCGCCTCGATCTTCGAATCCTGTGACCAACCGTTCCACCAGCCCAACAGATCTTCGACAACAGCGACATGTCCATGTGTCGCCGCCACAACGAGACATGCCTGATAAGGCTTGACCCCGTGCACATGGCCTTCCGGAGGACAACACATCCAGAGGCGCTTGACGACATCTCGATGCCCCTTGAGGGCGGCAAATCCGATGGCCGTGAGCCTCTGCTCGCCGTAGCTAACGAGAAGAGGATCTGCACCAGCCGCTAGCAGCAGCTCTACGGCATCTAAGTTGCCGCACCATGCAGCGAAATGAACCGGCGGACCGAATCCAGGGTGAGAATAGTTGATGTTCGGGGCGGGCGAGGCACGGAGCTGTTGCTGTAGCTGCTGAATATCACCATCGCGGATGCATGCGTGCAACACCTCATCTGCAGAGTCGAAGTAGTCACGAAGCCGGTGCTTAATACCCTCGCGCATCGTAAGTGTTGATCCAAGGAGATGGGAGATGACTGCGTTGGAGCGAAGATGGAGAAATGAAGTGGGGGAGAATTGGTTTATTTTTTTCTCTATTTTCTCTCTTTCCCCCCAAACCCCTCCCTCCACACACGGATTTTAGCCGCTCTTCTTCGGCAGCCGACGCGCCCCGGACAGGACCAGCTGTCCCCAAATTTCCTCTTTTCTTTCCTCAACCTCTTATCTACGGGTGCCGGCCGGAAGTTAGCAGAATGGTCTAATCTTCCACACATCGCGCGTGTGTGTGTGTGTGTGTGTGTCACAAACAGGTTCCTTCGCGTTCTCTAAGTTATGTATAGCCAAGGTCACCAATTAGCAGGTTTAAGCCCTTCCAAATCAGTCGTCCCGTGACATGAGGTTGCCCAAGAGATCATTGTCCACACGCCTGGGACGTAGAGTGTCTCGGGGGCGGTATCTAGGGAGGAATTGCCTTGGACATTGTGTATCATGAATTCCACCACAGCCTATTCAGGAGACGAAGTTAATAGGCGCCAAGTCTGAGCAACCCAACCGCTCCACCCAAGAGCCGACCGGCTAAGAGTCAATTATTGCTGCCCAAGAGGTTTGCCAAGTCCTCTCTATTAGAGCACACCACGCCTCTTAATACAACTGCCGGCATCTAACCTAATACTCACAAGTTTGCCAAGTAGTTGCTCCTTGCCAATTTGCTGACCGAAAACCACGAGAAATACTTGTATCAATAAGTAATTTAGGTGGCTAGAAGACTAAAACCATAGGAGATATTCCCCAATCGGCAGTTTGGGATATGGGCCGATGGACAATTAGTCGACATGCACCCCAGATTTCGTAACCTTTTCCAAGCCATGATCTATGAGGATGGCGGGCGGGGGAGGATCCTCACCCAATAGTCGTTACACACGGAGGTGGATAACCTAAAAGCCAAGAATAACTCTTAGGGGACCCGGTCAATATGCCGTCAGAGAGACTGGATAAATGCCCGGTCACCTCTATTTAAACCCCGTAGGCCTCCTCAGCTTCTCGCCAGCAGATACTTGGCTCTCTACTAGTCTCAACCTCGTCTGGGACCGCCTCCATCTACTCTGCCGGCCATGAAGTCCGTTCTTCTCGTCGCCGCCCTGTCGGCCCTGGCCGAGGCCCATTACATCTTCAACATCCTCATCGTCAACGGCAAGACCATCGGCGGCGAGTACGACTACGTCCGCCGCAACAGCAACTCGTACAACCCGGCCTTCCCCGACATCGTGCAGAGCAACGAGCTACGGTGCAACAGGGGCGCCAAGGCGGGCAACACGCCGACCTACGACGTCAAGGCCGGCGACAAGGTCGCGCTCAAGGTGTTCAACCGCGAGACCATCGAGCACCCCGGGCCGGGGTTCGTGTACATGTCCAAGGCACCCGACCTGGCCAAGGACTACGACGGGTCGGGCGACTGGTTCAAGGTCTACGAGACGGGCCTGTGCGGCGCCAACCCGGGCAACGACTTCGCCTGGTGCTCGTACCAGAAGGACCGCATCGAGTTCACCATCCCCGAGAAGACGCCCCCCGGCGAGTACCTGGTCCGCTTCGAGCACATCGCCCTGCACGAGGCGTTCAAGGACAGGGCCCAGTTCTACATGGAGTGCACACAGCTCAGGGTCGAGGGTCCCGGCGGCGGCACCCCGGCGCCCCTGGTCAAGATCCCCGGCATCTACAAGGCTGATGATCCGGGAATCAAGTACGACAAGTGGGCGAGCAGCCCGAAGGCTTATGTTATGCCTGGACCCAAGATGTGGGACGGACAATAGATTATCGGATGTGTCGGTATCTTTGCGTGTATTTGACTTGCCCGGTCTACTAAATGGGAACCCATGTGGTTCGCTTTTAGAGAGACGTTTCAGTTCTTGGGATTGGAAGTTTGTAAGCTTTTAGGAAATAGTACGACCTTCATCTCGATTTAATTCTGATTAGTTACCCGTTAGTCAAGCCAGGTCGGTCAGTTTCCCTCGCGAGAAGTTGTCGCACGGTGAGTTGCAAGGTGATGGATGTAGGACAAAGGTCTCTCGAGTCAGAGCTCGAACAGATTTCGTTGGATCTAGCAGTCATAGTCGATTTCTTTGGCGCCGAAGCATGGCGATAAGGAATCCAGCACCTCAAAATGATTTGTTCCACCACACTCTACCGAGACTTCTCACTTTGTAACCTACGATATCAGGCAGGTGCATTCCAAGTTTACGTCTATCAATCCAAGACTTGCAGATCAACTAGGAAGGGTGATATCCAGGAGGAAACAGTACTTCAGATAGTACCGAGAAGCCCACCTGGGATGAGAGAGGCTAGAAGCTTCTTAACACGCACTTACCAGGGAATCTAGGGTGAGAACGTGGACAGCAAAAGGGGTTACCGAACTTTGGATAACTAGAGCGAGTCGATCGGGCACTGAGGCATCTCAACTGTGCCGAGTATGATCCTCATTACTACTTCGAGTTGATACATATTGACCATGAATCTAGGCTGCTGGTTAAGCCGAAGAGATATGCAGGTATCCTGACATGGATAGGGAACAACCTAAATATTACGAATGAGTTATTCTGACGGCGTACATCAAACAATGCCCACGACTGGGGCGAAGATGCATTCCCGACTCGAAGCGCGGGAGCGCAAGATGCCATCGAACGACACTCCCACCCTCCGGCTCCGCAGGACCAGCTACCGAACGGGTGACGAACTACCGGAAGTCATCCGCCATGGAGGGGCATAGGCATTGAAGAACGCCGGGGAGGGGCATCTCAGGGGGGCCATTGGGGGATGCGGCTGTCATCATGCCATGTCATCCATCGAGAGGGGAGATAATACCTGGGGACGAGAATTGGTTCCCCAAAGTAGCAATGAACTTCCCGACTATGTGGGCAAACCCGGTCGATCGCATTACAATTGCTAATTAAGTACACAGGCTAGCCAGCCGGAATCATCCCGAGCCTTCAATCCGAACCTCCGCGTCTCCGAATCTCCACATCTCCGCACTCCGCATCGTACCTCTGGGGTGCATTGTTTTGGCTAAATATGGCCGTGGAATTGACGAATGAAACACAATCACTCATAGCCGCTCTTATATCGTACCGGAATATGAAAAGCCAGTCAAGCTCACTACTGATCGTGAGAGCCATCCTACCATATGTCGTGTCGTAGCAGATCTTGAAAAAAAAAGACTGGGAAAATGGCTCCCCATACAGGCTTCGGGATGGGCAACCGTAACAGTTTGACCAAGCTCTTGGGAGGGATCGCCCTTTTCTTCTCGGTTTTTGCAACTGCTGTTCCCACTCCAATCGCAGATGTTGCCCTTGCGGACGACGACTATCACTGGGTTCCAACATGGACGTCTATGCCCCAGGAGGTTGAGCCGGACAACCTACCGCCATCACCATTCGTACGTTGAACATATCTATCCCAGCATAGGGCTTTGGAGGCCTTAGGGACTGACGAGAACGATCAAAACAGAATGGAGGGGGTTCGATATTCAAGAACGCCACCCTACGCCAGACCCTGCACATGTCTATCGGCGCAGACAGACTCCGCGTGCAGATCTCCAACACCTTTGGCGGGAGCGATCTACCCATCACGGCCGCGTCCCTTGCCCTGCCCACGGGAACAAAGATTGGCGTCAACGGCATTGACACGGCGACCTTGATGGGACTCACGTTCGCGGGTGCGAGCTCGGTCACCATCCCGCGCGGCAAAGTCATCTACTCGGACCCCATCGACTTCAAGATCCAGCCGCAGTCGATGCTTACGGTGACGCTGTACAGCCAGGGCGGACAGTCCGGAAACAAGATCACCGGACACCCCGGGAGTCGCACCACTTCTTGGATGCAGCAAGGCAACAGGGTCAACGACTCGGCCGTAACGGGATCCAACACCAAGCATTGGTAATTGCACTCTTGGCCGCCCTCAGCCCGTTAGGCAGGCCATCGTGGTGGCTAACAAAAAAATCTAGGTACTTCGTGAGCGGAGTCGAAGCCTGGGCGCCCCAGAACACGTCTGCTCTCATCATCCTAGGAGACAGCATCACCGACGGCCGCGGCAGCGACGACGACAAGAACAACCGGTAGGTCCCCCACCCCCGGCCTCTCAAACCCCCGCAAGACACATGTCGTCTAACGAGACCACCCCCCGGCAGCTGGACGGACCTCCTCCTCGTGAAGATGCAGGCCGCCGGAATCACCAACGTGGCGGTGGCCAACCAGGCGGCCGGCGGCAACGCAGTCCTGTCGGGCGGGCTCGGCCCCTTCCTGCTGTCGCGGTACAGGCGCGACGCGATTGGCCAGCCGGGCGTCAAGTACGTCATGATCTTCGAGGGCGTCAACGACATCGGCGGCAGCGGCGGCGGCAACGTGGCGACGCAGCTCATCAGCGCATTCAAGCAGATCGTGGCAGACGCTAGGGAGGCCGGGTGCGTGACCGTCGGCGCCACCATCACGCCGTTTGGTGGGAATGGCTACGCTAGCGGGTCGCATGAGCAGGCGAGGCAGACGGTTAACCGGTGGATCATGGCGCCTGGGAACTTTGACTATGCTGTCGACTTTGCCTCTATCATTGGCCAGGGTGATAGGCTGAAGGCGAACTTTGATAGCGGTGATCACCTGCACCCCAATGTTGCCGGGTACCAGGAGATTGCTAACAAGTTTCCGCTGGACATCTTCAAGGAGGCAGCAGTGTGAGGTTTTAAAGACGGGCGGCGGTTACGTGTATACTGTAAGTGTCCTCTGCACTTGTATATATATAACTGCGAGCAGATTGGGCACTCCAAGGGGCATACCAAGTGACACCAACACAAGCTTGAAATTGGCAGTGGTTATTTTCTCGGATAATACTGGGTGGGACCTTGTTGCATTGGATCTGGCATGAGGAGGATGTTGCATGCACATGATCTGAGATCGTACCTGGATACATGAAAGCCCGTTAACGGTTTAAACCGATTATTTCCAACGGTGGGACCGTCAGGCAGACGCGTCAGGGGCAGGAGCGGGGGAAGGGGAAGTGGAAGGGGAAGGGACGACTGGGCTGGCCGACGGCGGTGTTTGTGCTCGTCGTGCGGTTCGCGCTGTGGCCGGTCTGCATCATGGACCTGTCATGGAAGCCACAGGACGAGTGGGAAAGGGGCGTACACAAGCGTTTTTCCATTAATCCAACTTGCTTAGGATACCTCCTGCCAAAATTTGGACGACAAGTCCGTGGCAATCATCCTGCGTCACGACCATGGTTCCGATAAAGAATACCCAGTTATGTGGCTCACGACCTTCCTTTGGGCGGAGTGCTACTGTACGAGTGAGCCGGCTGCCTGGCCTTCTTGACCTACTCCGCTCCCATAATCCTGAAGGTCTACGTTTGGTGTAACGATGACAGCCACCATAACAATATTAAGAACTAACCGACATGGCTCCATCACCACGCACCACCACCCCCCGATTCACACCCCCGAATCCAACCCCCCTTCTCCGCCTCAGCCGCGACCTCCCCCATCAACGCGGAAAACCCTCAGTGCCTCAACCGTATCCACAAACTGCACCACCCTCGTGATCCTCGTTTTATCCTCGCCAAACTCGACAAACCAGCCAAACTCAACGTCCCCCCCGCCCCGCAGCTTCAGGTCCCGCGCCGTCCTCGCTCCGCCGCGACGCGTCGACGCTCAGATGCGAGCGTCTCGATCCGCACCGACCGACTCGAGCAGCCCGAGCTCGGGCGCCAGGCGCTGCTCGTAGGATTCGTTGTCCATCGTAGCTGAGGGGATCCCGAGGATGCGGAGAAGCGACGCCGAGGCTAGCTGACGCGTGTAGTCGTCTGCTGTGAGGGTGCGTGAGAGAAAGTCGGCTAGCGTGGCTTCTATGGTGGAGTGGATTGAGGTGTTTGCCATGGTGGGCGGGTATCGGGAAGGCGTGGCTAAGAGTGGGTTTCTGATACTTGGTAGGTAGCGTAGTTGGGGCGAAGGGGTGAGGAAAGGCGAACCGATCTACAACTGGGGGAGCGAGGCGGGCTGAGGGGCCATGGACTGTACATATATGTGCAAGAATGCAGCGGAAAGAGAACACGAACACATACACTTGGCAACTTAAGCACTAATGTCGATGGGGAAGTTGAATGCGCCGCAATCACGTTCGAACAACAGAGGGAGGGTCGCAACCAGGCCAAGTATGTATGTATGTAGATCGTTGTTGGCACCTCCCGATCCTGCCGTGTCTTCCGTCTTGGGTCCTGTCAGTCTGGAAACCCGGAAGCGTGGATTATGTTTATTCAGGGGCGGCCCGTAAGAGTGCCAAATGTGTATCGACCGATGGCTCATCCCCAGAACAACTCCCCAGAACACCTCCCCCCAAACTTGCGCCTCTGCCAATGCAATCCGTTGCGCCTCCTCCTCCCCTCAAGGTCCCTTTTCCCCTTCCTTCTTTATATCATCATCGGTCAACCTCAGTTCGCAAAGATCCTCAACTTCCGATCCACCCCCCCGGTGGCGATGATGCAGCGGATCTGCACGTCGGGGCCCGGCCTTTCGGCGCCGTTGCGTTTCGGCGTCCCGCCGCCGGCCTCGCCGTTCTGCACCTCGGCGGCCACGACGCTCTCCTTGATGATTCCCGGGGCCCACCTCAGGCAGGTGACGAAGGCCTCGTGCACGTTCCCAAGGACCTTGACGCACTTGCCCCCCTGGCTCAAATCCCAGCATCTCAACGTCCTGTCGTCCGACGCCGAGAGCAGGTACTTGCCGCTGGGGTGGAAGATCACGGCGCGCACCCAGTTGTCGTGGCCCACCAGCGTCGCAAGGCACGTCCCGCGAGCGTCCCAGAGCCTTATCGTCTTGTCCCGCGACCCGGTGGCCATGAACTCGGCCGTGCTACTCGCAGGCGGGGGTTTCTTCAGCCCGGCGAGGGGCGCCAGATATTGGTACGAGGAAGGTGGTGCGAGCGCGCAGCATTCGTTGAAATGCTCATGACCATACATTATCAGCTTTGTTTCCGGCTCCAGCACCGAGATGTCCCACAGTCGGACGGTCATGTCGTCGCCGGTCGAGACGAGGAAGCGGCCGTCGGGCGAGGGACATACGTCGCGGACCCAGCTGCTATGGCCGTGGAGGGTCCTCACGCAGTATCCCGTGGTGATGTCCCATATTCTGAGGGTCTTGTCCCTGCTCGCGCTGACGAGCAGATTCCCGGATAGTGGCGCGCCGGCGGCCCCCGAAGGTATGAAGCGGATGGCGCTCACGCTGTGGTCGTGGCCTGGTAGGGTTCGGATGTTCTTGTAATCGTCTGCAGGGTCCCACAGCTTGATGGTCAGGTCGGAGCTACAGGATGCCAGAAGACAGCCGCCACGAGGGCCGCCGTAGTCGACATCCAGTACTGCTCTTGTGTGGCCTTTGATTGTCTTCTCCAGCTCTCCCAGTTCCCAATCCCATATTTTGATGGTGTAATCGTCGGACCCCGAGGCAATGGAGGAGAATATTGGATGGAAAGCGACACAGTTTATGGTTTCTCGGTGCGATTCTAGGGTGTGTCGGGGCGGGGATTTGGGGAGCCATGATGCTGGGTCGTTGCGCTTCGAGAGTGAGCTTGGGGTCGCATTATCGAGCTCGGATTGCAATGTTTCGTTTCGGGTCTCGAGGTCCATAATCTGTGAAGATTGGTTAGATGTCGTTGTGCGAGTGGGCGGTAGGCGATGGGCGGTGGGTTCAGGTGTGGTAAACAGAGCCAAGGGCAGGGCCTGTCGGGCAAACGTGCCTTTTTCTGTAACCGGACTATGCTCGTCCATTTCCTCTCCAGCAATGTCTCGTACTTCTTAGCTGTGGCTGCATCGAAAACATCTTCCCCGAGGTTCAGCTCTGTCCTGAGCGCGGCGGCAGCATTCGGCAACTGGTTCGCTGACAGGTATGCTATGATGGACTTGTGTCTGTGGACATGATGTTAACTTGGATCCGCAGCACATCCAGGTCCCCTATCTACCATGCCCTGTACGCACAGCTCTTCTGCTTGCCTACTCGTCAGCGTAGGAGCCATTCTTGCGACGTTTGGCGGCAGGGCACCATCCAAGTCAACACTGGAGCGCCTTCCGCTCGTCGTAATATTCCGCTGTGGAGGTCGAGATATCGATTGAGAGCGCGGGATAGGAGCAGCTAGGCAGGATTTCGAGGGATAAACCAGACAGCTTTTAATTGTCCGAAGTTTGTACGATCGAGATAGACAAGAAAGAGAGGATCGGGCCGCCTGAGAACGATTGACCAACTCAAAACCAGAGCCCGGCCGGCTCGTGAGACCCGGCAGAAGGTCTTCCCGGATCCGTGTTGGAGGGGTCCATAGGTGGGTCCCCCTGTACCTGAGAAAGCCCTGCCCCTGAGAGAGTCACGTGACGTTGGGCATTTCATTTGAAACAACACATTCGTCACGCATCGGCTGCACAACCCGATGAGTACATGGCCAAAGAGGGTTTATATCATCTGACAACCGTTGAGGACGTATACGCTTCCCAGTGCCAGATAGATTCTTTTCGTCACAAACCCAGCGCTACCTCACCAGGGTGCTGTACAGTTCGACACTCGCATACCAATCGACAAGCTCCTGAAGGAACCCCTTACGTAGAAGAGGGTAGTCTGCTCAGTCACAATAACTGCTCAGTATGCAAGTTGGTAAGGCCTCAGGGTTATTCCCATGAAAAAGGAAGAACAGGACCATGCTATCAGATGCGCATGCCCCCCCCCCCCCCCCTTTTCACTTGACGCACGCTGCAGAGGTGAGATATGTGGACTTCTCCAAGATAACAGCCCAAGCTTGCATTCCTGCAAGTAGGGGATATGCTCAAATAAACCCAATCGAGCTACCTAAATCTGCCGTTCTGTCTCTCGGCCTCTGCGTCTAAAATCCCATACTTCTCCCGCCCTCCCTCTCCCTAATCCACCGGGTGCATCGCCCTACTCCCGCTCCTTGACGGTGACGAAAAGCGGGTTGCTCATTCTCGCGAAGAAATACGACTGTGACGAGGGTATCTCGACATGATCTACCCCATCCAGCCCATTGTCCGAGCCCCGGGCCTCGACGTCGAAATAGAGGAGCAGGGTGCCGACGAGCTTGATCAGCTGTTTTTTTTAAAAAAAAAAATTCACCATGTTAGTACAAACTCTAAAGGGGGGATGAGATGGAAGTGGAAAAAAAAACCGAATTGCAATAATTGAAAAGTCGCATACCTCCAACATGGCGACGTTCTTCCCAATGCACTGCCTGCTTCCCTGGCCGAAGGGGATCCAGTAGCGCTGCATCTCCTCGGGGCTCAGAAGCGAGCCGTCGGGGGCGGCGGTGCCGTCGATCCAGCGCGAGGGGTTGTACTGCGCTGCGTCGGCGCCGAAGGCGGTGCGGTCGAGGTGGACTGGGACGGCGGATATGCCGACCGTGGTCTGGTTTTCTCATTTTCGTTAGAGGGAACTGTGCAGTTTGGTTGGAGTTAGTTGGATGGGATGGAAAGGACTGCATACCCTGCCTGGGAGGTATGTCCCTGCGATGACGCGGCCGCCTTCGGGCACGTATCGGGGCAGGTTGATCGTTGCTGGCGGGGTGAGGCGGAGGGACTCCTTGATGCACGCCTGGAGGTACGGGAGACGGCCTAGTTCGGCATACGTAGGCGGTTCCGCGTCGGTGGAATAGCAGCGGTTCGGGAAGGCGTCGCGGATTTCTTTGGTGAGTTTCTGGTATACGGATGGGTGGCCTAGGACGTGGTAAAATGTGTAGCCCAGAGCGGACGAGGTCGAGTCTGATCCCGCGACGCTGTGGCTCGATTAGCTCGGCCTGAACGGCGTCGGTCTGGGATATAGGGATGCTGATGGCTTCGGGAGCGTTCTATTTTTGGGCACTTACATGCTTGAGAAGGCTTCCGTACGTAGGTCGATTGGATCCAGCATCTGCCCTGTCACCGGGTCTTTGGCTTCAATGAGGCGGCCAAGCAGGTCCTTCCGGTCACTGACCTTCTCCCTGCGGCGCTCAACGCGGGACCTGGTGAGCTAGAATTGACGTTAGTTGCTAAACATGTATCGGTGCTTCGCGACACTAACTTCTTTGAGCCTCTCGCGGCCGGCCTGCAGATTTCGCAGCCAGGGAAGCGGAAGGAAGGTCCATTTGGTAAAAGGAATAAGCGACGGCAGCATGCCAATTGTCGAGCCAAACTCCATCTGGTTGTTGATAAGGCGGATATGCTCGTCCTCGACACCGCTTTCCAGCATGCCGAAACCCTCGCTAAAGGCCTAAAATTTGAGACATGACGACAACATCAGTGGAGGTCCTCGACTGACGATTATAAAGCCAAGTAGTCAGGTCGCAGGCAATAAGAGGGGGCCAGGCTTACCAGCTCCCCAATGACATCGAATGCGAAGAAATGGCACCATTTCCCCAGGTTGAGCCGCTCCCCCGTGGACGAGAACGTGGCCATCTTGCCCATGAATAGCCGCACACGCTCCTGGACAAACTTCTCCATGGACTGCAGCGCGTTCATGGAGTATCCATGGGAGACGATTCGCTTCCTCTGGGCATGGAGGTGGGGATCTCTTTGGCCGAAGATGGTTGGCCGGAAAGCAGTAAAGGCACTGCGAGAAGAAGGACTGTCAACGGATTGCAAGACAAACCTGGGGTTCAGAGAGGGTATTTACTCATAGTAATCTGTCTAGACGGTAATTATTAGCATACCATACATATATAGATGGAGCACCAAGAGACCAACCTTCAAATAATCCCTCCCATGGGTGGTACTGTAGACCTCCCTAATGGCTGTCTTGTCCGAGACGATGACTTCTGTCGGAGCGATGCGCACTATCGGTCCATATTTCTGGTGCAAGGCGACGATGGTCTCGTGGAAATCGCCCTTGCTGAAACTTTGTAATTTCCAGATGGAGGTCAGGGATGCCCAGAAGGGCCCATCGACCTTTGCCAAGGGCGAAAAGAACCTCTGGTAGAGGACATAACCTAGGAGCCACACGGGGGTCGCCACGAGGCTGACTACCAGGATGTGGTGGGCCGCAACCTCCACCAAACGAATGGATGCCATGCTGGCCTTGCTGTCAAACATTCTGATTGTCTTGTAGCACGCAGATGGGCCTTTGCTTATTTGTCGACTTTTGTTGACTCGTTAAGTTTATACAGGGGGACTTGTGGTGGGAGGATGGGGGAGGCCTTGGCATGGGTCGGCTCGCATCCGCGGCTCACATCCGCAGCATCGGAGCAACTCCGCAAGGTGGCGGCGTTACCCCGCGGCCTAGCCCAAGCCTGCTATTTACTAGGGCCGGCAGATCAGAATTGCTACTCGGGCAACAAGCCAAAGGCAGACCAATCGGCAGAGAGCAGGTCGCGAGGGAGGCCTGTGCCGAAGAGCAGGTCGTTGAAGTCCATGAGGCCAGAGTCGCCAAAGATTTGAAAGTCATCAGCAGGTCTCGGGAGCCATATGCCACCGTCTGCGGGGTACGGCGATGCGCTGATGCCGTCAATGGTTCCGTGATGGGGAGTTCCCTGTCCCTGCCCCTGACCTGCAGCAGGCGTCGTCGTTGCCGCTGTCGCCACCGTTGTTGCTGTCAGGGCATCAGTTGGCCCTGTTCGGATGCGCCGTAACATGGCGACGTATCGGGCGGCCAGCGTGCTGGTGGCACTGGCCGCCCTTAGGAATTCCATGCCCAGCTCCAACGTGTCGTCGTGGCACGTCTCACTAAAGGCTTCGAGCTTCGCCTTTTCCATGGTCTGAAGGGAGAGAAGGACGCCCATGGCCGTGAATACATCTGATTAATTAATTATACCTGTCAGTAACCACAGCCACCACGGAAAATGGGCTGATTAGGCACAAGGGGAGGGCGCTTACAATGCAGATTATACCACAGAGAGTTGAGCAAGCGACGACGATACTGAGAATGTATGACTCGGATGGTCTCGCGAGCCGCGGTTATGCACGTCTGGCATGAAGCGATGGCGACGGCGCGTTGGAACGGATCGTCTATTTCACGCTTACTGAAAATGAGGAAAGATTGTCGATGAATTAATAGACGAAGATTCAAGAACCTGGGCCACCGTTAGCTGATTAGCGACTGGGATGAATTCAGCAGCGCATTGCTTGGGATACCTTATGAAGAGAACATTGCGCTGAAGTTTAAAGTCGGGGCCGTCCGGAACCTCTGGTTCGTTCTTTAGATGAGGAGGCACCGCGTTCCACCAGGAGAGCAATTCTCCATCAAGCAGGACCGAGTGGCCAATGATGTAGGAGTGAACAGTGCCCTGCCTTGGCGACTTATCACCCGCCCTCTTATTCTGGCTCGGTTGGTAGAGGTCGAGGAGCACCCTCTCAATGACATCTGCAAGTTTGATCGTCTGAGTGAAGAACGTCGTCAGGGAAGGGCGACCCTCGGGCTGTCTGGGGACCACCGAGTCCTGGCTGATGTACTGATCATCGACGTTGAGCGGCGCATCGATGTCGAAAGTATTCGCCCCTTGTATCGACGGGGGCCTTCCAAACTTCATGCTCAGTGTCCGATCGATGATATAGCAGCCCCACCATATCCGCTTCCTCATTTCCCACTGCACAGATGTCAGACTCTCGGAAGAAGGGGGGTTGAAGTGCAGGCCGAGGCTGATGGAAGTGCGAATCATCAGACCGACAAGGCTCCAGCACTCGTTCAGCTCGAGCGTGCTCTGGAGGTAGTGGCACATCAGGAGCAATGCCTGGACCAATTCCAGGCTGCCTTCCGTGAAGACATGGGCGAACACGATGCGTCTCGCGTTGTTGACGAAGCGGGACGCCATCGAGACAGACTCTCTCTTCCGCACCGAGTCGCAGAACTCGCAACCGTGGGCAAAAACTAGGTTGAGAAGCCCAAACCATATAGGACGCGAGTCTGCAAGGACTCGTGGATCGAGAGTCCACATGCGTTCATATTCCAGTCGGAAGGAAGGCTCGTGCACGAAGGGGTACAGACGATGGACACGAGCAAAATACGCATCCACGAGGCCATCTGCGATCTGCTTTTGCGGGAGATCATAGCACTCGCCGCCTTCCCCTGGCGTCAGGCCGGCGTCGAGGCTGGCGGTATGCACGCTTCTTGTGCTCGATAGGCGGCGTCGTTTGTCACGGTGACCAGGCACTGCGTCGTGGGTTGTCGCACTAGTCGAGACCTTGGATACGAAGGCAAATGTCGATGACTCGCCAAAATATCCATCAGGTTCTTGAGAACCAGATGGGGAGGATGCGGAAGAGGGTTGATCTCTGATGTCACTGGTAGCCCTCGCTGTGGTGGTCGTCGTCGAGTCCCCTCCCATAATGGCCGTAGAGACTGCAGTAGTCAAAGGAGAGATGCCGCCGGGAGAGCCGGACATATCTGCCGGGGTTCTCAATAGGACACCCAGGTCTGAAGACCCCTCAACATCTATGGACGCAGCGTGTATGCCTGGTTGCTGTGGGGAGTTGGACGCTGCCGTGTCGGCGTCGACGTCCGATCCTTGGACATCGTCACCAAGTTTGGCCCTCATTAGGGCCTTGAGTCTGCGGGGTTATCAGTAACGGAGCCTTTTCGGAGCTGAAACGACAGATAATTACTCTTCGACGGTGAATCTGTCGGCAGGAACAACTGGGTAATCGCAGGGAATCCCTCGACTCTGGCAGGTGCTGCATCGGGGACGAGACCCGTCGCAGCGGTTCTTCCTCTTCCGACAGCTCGTACAGGCCTTCCCAGAGGGCAGCCTCTGCTTCATGATAGGTGATACTTCCATACTTTGATCCGGCTGACCTATCTTTCATGGGTTGATTGAAAATGCGCGTATTCGCGTCTGCAAGCGATGTGGGTCGCGGACCGACGATCATGCTTTGGCCCCTGGAGGGGGATCGAGTCTGCCTCCAGAAAAGAAGTGGAGGAAATAACAATGGGATGAACGCGACCTTACGCAGGACAGGAGAATACAGTGATAAATCGAGTCCTGGCAGCATGGGGCAAGTTGGGTTTGACTGTGGTATGTCTACCACCTCCTACCTAACTACATAGAGGCTTAGTGCCATGCATACCCCGCACACCCAAGGCGCTGGGAAAGTGGAGATAGCTGCGGGGAACCCCTGCCAATACATTTCGGGATATCTCGCCTCCAACCTCCAACCTCGGTATTACTTCCTGTTCTGACAACAAGCACCGCAATGAATTGAACCACCCCTGAACGCAATCAAATGTCCTTGTGAAACTGTGGCTGCCCAAGCATCTTCCTCCACTGCTCTCCCTTGAACATCAAGACAATAATTCCGAGAGATGTGAAAGCAGTGATCAGCGCAAGTGTGATATAAGCCCAGTCGATCCCGATACGGTTCGCGAAAGGTATCCTGGCGGATCTCGGTCAGCAAATGAAGAATGTTTAAGGAAGAGGAAGCCGGCCACAGAAAACAGAAAATGGGATCGACTCACGCATAGAATCCCAGCGGGAACGCGAACGTCTGCCGCCCGAAATTGTAGATACTCCCAATCTCCCCCGACTGCGGCTTGTAGCAGTCGCTGCAGTAGGTGTAGCTCACGGTGGTGACCAGCTGCAGGCCGAAGCTCGCGATCGCCATGCCCATGACGGGGCCCATCCAGTGCGTCTGGCGCTCGAGGCAGACGCCGTAGATGATGATGCCCGCAGGACAGAGCAGCATGCTCCCCAGCGAGGCCGGCAGGCGCGCCTCCGGCTTGCGCTCGCCGCCGTGCCGTTTCGCGTATCTGTACATGACCCAGTCCGAGAAGGGCCCCGAGAGGAGCTCGCCGAGCATGGACCCGATGAGGAGCGGGATGCCGAGCATGAGGCCGATGGCCCCGGTCTGGAAGTGGTAGATCTTGGTGAACATGATGGCGACGGTGACAGCTGGGAGGATGGACGAGAATGCAAACGAGACGATGTAGTAGATGAAGGTGAGGCTGATGGACGGATATTTGAGCATTTGGAACGGTCGGACAACGTCCATGACGTGGACCTTCCTGTCGAGCAATGCGTTCCGGCGGAAGCTGAAGAGCATCTCCATATATGTGCGCTCCTTGTGTCGTGCGAGGCTCTGCTCGGATCGCGAGAACAGCGTCTCGGGCAGCGCAAACACCATGACGATAAACGAAGCCGAGTTGACGAGGGCCGGAAGGTAGTAGCACCACCTGACCCCGGCCTTCTGCGCCAGGTAGCCGCCAATGACCGGGGCGAGATGGGCGCCGTTTGTGAGGAAGACGGTCCAGATGCCCATTTTGGTTCCTCGCTGGGATTTCACGTTAGCTGTGGTAATTGTTGACGCGGGGAAGGAATCATCACCGACCTCGTGCAAGAAAAACATGTCCGTGACAGTCGCCGCGCCAAGAGCCATCGCGGCTCCGACTCCGATGCCGCTAAAGACGCGGCCGACGATCAAGCCTGCCCATGATGTCGCGACGCCCGACCCTACGGTCGCCACAATCCCGATCAGGGTCGATACGAGGTAGATGGGACGTCGTCCGTAGACGTTCGCCAGCGGAGTCCAGACCAGGGGAGCGATGCCCACGGCGATGATCACGGTGGTGGTCTGTAACGGCGCCTTGTCGACGGGGATATCGAAGAGTTTGGCTAGCGGCACTAGAGCCGGGTTGACGACCGCCGAGTTGAAGGGGCCGAGAAAGGCCAGGAACGAGACTTGGAGGAGCACCAGCCATTTGAGCCAAACCGGCCAATTCTGGAGTACCACCGTCAGCTTGTGATCAACCGCAGGTCAGATGGCACTTACCAAGGGGTCATCTTTAAAACCAGTCGGCTGGGGGATCAGGGCGAACCCATGTCGATCCCGATAGACTGCATCTTCCTTATCCGAAGGCACCGTCTCCGAAGCTCCGGTATCCTCGCCACGCGAGATCTCCACGTGGTCGCCGCTCTTCTCTTCTGAGGTCCTTGAAGTCTGCATTTCCGGTACGTGGGAAATATGGAAGAAGAAAAAAGATTTGAGGAAGTCTGGGTGCCCGCGACTGGCTCCTATATCGATCCTGTTTGTCTAGATTGTGTGGGGTACATAAGCGTAGATATGTCTTTCCTGGGGTCGGCTGCCAGCGGATTCGCCCGCGGAATTGTGCCGCGGGTCGATGCCGACGGAGACGCCCCACGGAGCTAATTAGGATGGCGATTTTATTAAGAGAAACAGTTCAGTGCTAGTCTATGCGGGGAAGCTCTGGAGAATATCGTCCAAGCTGTTCCTGTTTTTGTGACTGAATTGGGAAAAAGAAAACGCAAAAAACGGACAAGAAAACATCATGGTTCTACGGCTATCTTTCGCTTGTTGGGACTATGATCGAATGAAGGCCATCGAGGATGGGCGCGTGCGCCCCGAAGGCATAGAGCTGACCTTTTTGAATTACAGGGTGGAAGAAACGTGAGTACAACAACAGGATCACCTGCCCTAAACAATGTCCATGTTATTAAGAGACGTGAGCTCATTCTTGTCAATCAACACAGGTTCTTTCGTCAACTGCGGTTCCAGGAATTCGACCTGTCCGAGCTCTCCTTGTCCTCGTACGTCCTTACACTAAACCAGGAAAACCCGCCTTTCATAGCGATACCTGTCTTCCCATCGAGGTTTTTCCGCCATCAGTCCATGTACATCAATTCCAAAGCTGGCATCTCCAGGCCGCAAGACCTCAGGGGGAAGAAGATTGGAATCCCGGAATATCAAAGTAAGTGATGTTTTCTCACCACCGAGACCCTGTATCCTGGCTAACCATCCATGTTTCCTACCCGATCAGTGACGGCGGCAGTATGGCAACGCGGAATAATGGAAGAAGAGTTCGGCGTCCCCATCAGCAGCGTGCACTTCTTCACCGGCGCAATCGAGCCGTCGGACAGACCCCGCCACAGCAAGGTCGCGCACACGTACCCACCGGGCGTGACCGTCACGGCCATCGAGCAGGGCCAGAACCTGTCGCAGATGCTCGCCGACGGCACCATCGACGCCATCTTCAGCGCCACCAAGCCGTCGTCCTTCGACACGTCGCCCGGCACCGTCGCGCGCCTCTTCCCGGACTTCAAGCGCGTCGAGGCAGAGTACCACGCCCGCACCGGCATCTTCCCCATCATGCACGTCGTCGCGCTGCGGCGCGCCGTCTACGAGGCCAACCCGTGGATCGCAAAGACGCTGACCAAGGCCTTCGCCGAGGCCCTGGACATGGCGTACGAGCCGCTGCGCGAGCGTGCGGCGCTGCGGTACATGCTTCCGTGGCTGGAGGAGCATGTCGAGGAGACCAGGGCGCTGATGGGAGGGGCCGACCGGTGGTGGCAGGATGGGTTCGAGGCGAACAAGCATGTGCTCGAGAAGTTCCTCGAGTACTCGTTCAATCAGGGGCTGGCGAAGCGGAGATTCAAGCCTGAGGAGCTTTTTGCTCCAAGTTCTCTGGAAAGTTATGTTCTGTAATTAGGTTCAACTGTGTCAAGATTCTGGTTAGCTACCTATTGAGTGGGGGATGGTGAAGGATTCTGATTGACCTTGAAATCCTGCTGGGGAAGGCCTGAAGCTGAATCCTACGTATGTGCTGGTGTCGTTTCTTGCCTCATCATCATATTAATTAATGGCTGATTGGTTTGTAAAAATAAACATGAAGATTGGGGTGGAAAAGATGAGATCAAAAAGAAGAGAGGTACGTGTACATGGAGAGGGAGTAGTAAAAACCAGTCAAAAGAAAAGGGGTTGTCCCCGAGCAGCGTCGCTGGCCCTCCGTCAATCCTGTTTAATTGCAATAAATTCTCTCACACCGGACCCCTGACTTCCAGCGTCCCCAATATCCCATGATGTCGTAGAACTTACGGACATTTATGCGACTACGCAAACTCTCGCTGGTCTTTGTACGCGTAGGTAAAGTAGGTACGATGTAGAATCACCTAGACCACTGACTCAACCCTGTTTGTCAATTCTGCCACTAGAAAGCTTTTGGTCCAACCTAGGTATGTCGTCTAGCTAGAGTGATATAAATTATATCCGCTCTCTCAGTCGCCCTTGCGAGCCTCAGATACATCGGCTACCCTCGGCCCCGAAGATAGGCCCAAGGATAGGGGAATGCTGCGGCCTTTGTATTTACGATCGCTCCATGCTATCGGCGACGGAGAGCGACTCGGCTCAAACTACCAAACGCGGCCCTCCGCCGCACTAGGGACTAGAAGAAGGAGAGTAATTAGATGCAGGCTTGCCTCCAAATCTGTCACCAACTGCGGACCTTCTGGTTTACCATGACCTTGGAATTGTTGGCAGTGAGGGAGGCACCTCTTCAGGAAGCATGCACGCGTCTAGAAATATCGGAGTAATACTCTGTGTTCTAAGAGGCGTGGTAGATATATCCACGCCTCCACTAACTTGTATCAAAATGAAGCAACCGTGACGCCGGCAAACCTACCTCCAAGAAAAGGCAAAGTTTAAGCCTCAACTTCACCACTACTCTTCTCCATCATACCTTCGCCATGTTCAGCGTGCCCATTCTGATGGGAAAGCCCGGCGTCAAGCCCATTCTTATCCTTCGCTCCAACCACCCCCGACTCCGCCCCTCCCTGGCCGGCGACGCCCTCCCGCTCGAGGAAAGTGACGCGGGACTGCCACTTGGAGCTCTTGCGCGCGGAGCAGCCCTCGTCGGTGTAGAGCTCGTCGACTTGCTCCAGGCTGAGTCCCTTGGTCTCATAGATGAAGAAGTAGACGAAGGCGATGCAGAAGAAGCAGGCGCCGAACCAGACAAAGAAGATCTTGCTTTGCAGGTTGGCGTAGCCCTTGCCGTAGTTGACGAGGTAGGGGGTGGAGTAGGCGATTGCCCAGTTGAGGAGCCACTAGCGAGGTCAGTTAGCAATGAGGAAATGCACCAACGAGGCCGAGAGGATAAAAAAGATGTGGGTAAACTCACGTTTGTTGCAGTCGTGATCGACAGGGCCTTTGCGCGATGCTTGAGCGGGAAGATCTCGCTGGTCACGACCCAGGCCAGAGGGCCCCAGGTGGAGGCAAAGAAGAAGATGTAGATGCAGACGAAGGCGATCGAGGCCTTCTGGGCCGTGACATTGAAGACCAGAATGGTACCCGCGCTGTCCTGGCCCGTTGTCAGGGTACCCAGCATGGCGACGATGAACTGGCTGATGCACATGCCGATGGCGCCCCAGAAGAGGAGTGGCCGGCGGCCCCATTTGTCGATGGCGTACAGGCCGGGGACGGTGGAGCAGACGTTGATGGACGAGGTGATCATGGTGATGACGAATGGGTTGGAGATGCCCGAGTTCTTGAAGAACTGTGTGCCGTAGTAGAAGATGAAGTTGATTCCTATCGAGGCGTGTGTCAGTTCAGATGGGTTCATGGGGCCGAAGACTTGAAAAGAAGGTCGGGGGCTGCGACTTACCAGTCAACTGCTGAAGGGCCTGAATTCCCATTCCCGTGAGCTGCCTCTTCAGCATGTTGCCGCGGAAGCAGTCCAAGTAACTGGTCTTGCCGATGCTCATCTCGAATTCGTGGTTGGCCTTGACCTCGGCCAGCTCGTCCTGAACGGCCGGGTGGTCTGCGGGGAGGCGCCTGATCCTGCCCAAGGCTGTACTGGCCTTGTCCATTCTACCGCGCATGATGAGATAGCGTGGGGTCTCGGGCAGGATTAGCATGCCGACGATGAGGACAATAGACCATGCGAACTGGATGGCAACGGGAATGCGGTAAGACCCCGTATCTTGCCGAGTGTGGGTCGAGTTGTCGACAACGGCGGCGAGGAGCAAGCCGATGGTGATGGCGAACTGATAAGATCCGACAATGGCTCCTCGGATCCACTTGGGGGCAGTCTCAGATTGATAGAGAGGGACTGGCAGGACACGTTAGCAAAATCAAGAATTATTGGCGGGCGCGATGAAGACTGACTCAAGGCCGAGACGAGACCAACGCCGAAGCCAGCGAAGAAACGACCTGCCAGGAATAGTGGCAGCGACGTGGATGCAACCTGGAGGATGACGCCGAGGTTGAACACCCAACAGGAAGCGATCAATGCCAGCCGACGGCCGATGTGGTCGGCCATCATCGGGGATGACAGAGCGCCGAAGAAGGTGCCGGCAGAAAGGATGGATACGATGGCCGAGGACTGTGAGGGTGAGACATCCAGGTGGCCCGTGGGGTCGCGATAACCGGTCGAAAAGAGTGTCCTCCAGTAGTCCATGGCGAGGATGCCGCTGATGGTGCCGGTGTCATAGCCAAAGAGGACTCCTCCAAAGGCGACAAACGCGCCGATGGCGATGGCTGGCCATGATGCGCCGGCCTCGGTGGGTGCCTTCGTCAACGAGAGCTTCCTAACAACTGTCATGGTGCAGGTGAGAGAGACGCAGGGGTGGGAGTTTGTTGGAATAACTGGAAGAGACGATGAACTCCAAGTCAAGGTTGGTTGGCGGGGAAGCGGGGTGTTTTAATACGATGGCCACGAGTGAGATTGGCAGGGGCGGAAGGCCCGAATGACGGGGTGGCAGCTAGAATGGCCTGTTGGGGGTCGAGACCAAGCTTCGATCAGAAGGTTCGATCCAGCCACGATCCTACCACGAAGCTTCCTGTTTTCATGGGTCGTTCGTGCGTCACTGCCATACATGGGAGACCCTGAGCGTTCGGCTGGGCCCAAGGGCAGAGGGGAAAAAATCTTGGGGTTCAATGCCAAACTTGGAGATGCCTGGACACTGATTGGCCGAACCCAACTCGTTTTGGTATTTTAGTTGAAGGAACGGGAAGGAGCACCGTGACCAAGGCGAGAGAGCTAGTGGGAGCCTCGATTCATACGCAGGAGGCGCTACTAGATACCTAGGTACTTACCTAAGGTCCATATTTTGGAGTGGAAGGTAGGTAGGTATTGGCCACTGACGCAGCTAGGTAGGTGACTTCCATTCCGGGTGGTCCCTTCCTCCTCGGGATTACCGAACAGTACCTAGTCGGGTGCCATTGACCGTTGAAGGGGCACGTTTCGTCCGTCCGTCTAAGGAGTATCGTCGCAGAAACCTTTCCTATTCAATTGTTCTCCATGCTGATTGTCATGACTGGGGCCCTCTCGGTGAATCTCGCGGCGGTTTCGATTGTCACTTCCATGGAGGTTATGGGGCCTGCTCGTGTACCCGTGTACCTTGGTACCTCTACCAGGTACCTTAGGTAGGTAGTGCGCCTCAGTCCGGGTTAGCGTGGTATAGATCCACCCGAAAATAAACAGTGGAATTGCCTGTCAAGCTACTGCGTAGTAAATACCTGAAAACCCAAAACAATGAAAACATAAACCAGGCAGACCAAGAAAGCACTGCAGTCAAGGTCTAGGCCAGGCAGCCACTCTGAGTCCCAACCTTGCCTGTCTGTCAACCTACGTAGGTTCGCTTCAAAACAGCGATTGAGCACAATTCCCAGAAACTCGCGCTCTCGCTAAGCTTTTTCTCTACCGGCACTAGCAGGGATCGGTATCTATCAGTCAGCCCGCCCCCATCGGTTCAGTGGGGCCCCAACACCAGATCCGCAATCGCACCGAATTGAGGCCTTCTCGAAGTTGAGTGGAAATTGACGCATTTATTTTTTGCTCGTGTGAGCATCGTGCCGAGGAGCTGCCGATCCTCCCATGGTCCTCCGCATCTTCCCTATCTTAGCACGTTTGCTACGTGTAGAACTGGCGGGGAGCCCGAGATTGGTGCAGTGCGCCCAAGCCCGAGATCCGTGCAGGGTCCACACACAGACCGGTGATGTCATCGGCAAGGGGAGCAAGCGAGGATGGGACGATACAGGGTATCCCAAATGCGCCACGTCGTCAGGCGAGGGGCTAGGCCCAGGCAAGTTCTAGGCTGTTCCATATTCCCTCTTTCAGGTTCAGCTTCACACGCCCTCCCCGCCTCTTTCCCCGCTCCCTCGCCCGCTCCCTCGCCCGCTCTGGTACAAGACCACCCACTCACTACCTTAATAAGGAATTCGACTGGGGAGATTGGCTCCCTGAATCCACGCCAAGCTCACGTGGGACCTAGGTCCGGAGTGAGGGAAAACAACACACAAAACAAACGGGGGAAGTAGTTGTCCCGGCGCGATGAGATACAGCTACTTAGGACGTTCATACGTGCTCCAAGCACTATGCAAAGTTCCTGGTCCCATCTCTTTGCCAACCTATCTAATATATCACGCATGCCTTCCACAGACTGCACCACGCTACTATGCTAGCCTCATCCAAGCTGGCAACCCTCTTACTGTAGTTGAGGTAGGTGGATTTGCCTAATACAGGCATGGTGGTATAGGCAGCGTCTTCATAGCTGTTGACGATGCTGATCAGGCTTTTGACCAGATTGTCAGGCTGTTCTGGACCTGGAGGCTGGTACCTGGGGCCCTCTGTAGCGGCCAATTTTCAGAGGATAGCATATTGGTCCTCTTGGGGGAACTTCTCTTCAAGCCTGCAGACTACTGGGCTGTCATTCTCCTTGAACTAGGAGACTTTGAAGCCCATGACCTTCATGACCCCTTTGCAAGCAGAGCTCCAGTATCCATTTCGAAGATTCAAGGGGGTATTTCGCCCCAGATCGTAGAAATCTTGAAACAAGGCACGCTGCCCAGTGTAAATATTCGGAAGAGGGAGGTGCGAAGACTGGGAGTTTATCGACCCCGGAGGCATGCATAAACCCTCTCTATCCATTCTTATAAGAGCACAGAAACGAAACTAGGGAGCAGCGAGGTGTGCACAGTGTCACAGTCAAATGAGAGGTTACTCTCAGAGTACTTTATCGAGATCGTGTGCAATATGTTCTTTTTGGCAGTGGCAAGACATTGAGATGGTCTTGTCGGTACGATAACCATCATATGATTATTGCCAGCGTAGACCCTGAAACTCTCGCTACGGCAAATAATAACTAAGCTATATACATGAAGCATTTCTCCCCGACCTGGCATCCTAATTGAACGCCCCAAATCGAGATAACGATTAGGATTACGCAAACGCATGCACACAGACATACGCACTTGCCCACATGGTCGAGCAATCGGTTCCTGCCCCCGTGTTCCACTTGTAGAAGTTATCCAGGGAGATGTTGTTCTTCTTTGCAATATCGGCGCACCCATCGCCCGGATTGACGAAGTAGAACTTGTCACAGTTCGGCGTCATGCCCGGCTGGGTCGGCGTCGGCGTGGCGATGCCGTTGCCTGTCTTGGTGGTTGTGGTTGTGGTCTTAGTGGTGGTGGTGGTTGTGCCCCCGATTATCCCGACGCAGTAGTTGGTGTTGGCCCACAGCGTCTCACAGTTGGACCCGACCCCGGTATTCCACTTGTAAAAGTCGGCCAGGGAGATGCCGTTCTTCGATGCTATGTCGGCGCAGCCTTCGCCGGTCTTCACGAGGTAGAATTTGTTGCAGTTACTCGTCAAACCGGGCTGGGTGGGTGTCGGCGTAGCGATACCGTTGCCGGTAGTGGTAGGCTTTGCGGGTGTGGTGGTTGTTCCGCCGATGATGCCAACACAGTAGTTGGTGTTCGCCCAGAGAGCCTCACAGTTTTTGCCAACCCCGGTATTCCAGGCGTAGAAGTCGTCCAAAGAGATTCCATTCTTGGACGCTATATCAGCGCACCCCTCGCCAGACTTTACGAGGTAGAACTTGTTGCAGCTGCTTATCAATCCGGGCTGGGTGGGTGTCGGCGTGGTGATGCCGTTGCCTGTAGTCGTAGGCGTTGTGGTTGGGGGGGTGGTGGTTCCACCGATGATACCAACGCAGTAGTTGGTGTTTGCCCAGAGGGTCTCGCAGTTGGCTCCAACCCCAGTGTTCCAGGCATAGAAATCCTCCAGGGAGATGCCATTTTTGGACGCTATGTCGGCGCACCCCTCGCCGGTTTTTACTAGGTAGAACTTGTTGCACTTGTCTGTCAACCCCGGTTGAGTGGGTGTTGGCGTGGTGATGCCGTTGCCGGTTGACGTTGGACTAGCACTGGTGGTGGTTGTAGTGGTCGTCTCCGTAGGAACGCCAGAGTTCCGCTCCACGCAGTATGACTGACCCTCTGTGAGCTTGCAAGCCGAGCCGACAGACGGGTTCTGGGAAGGATGTTAAGTACGTTGGTCCACTGCGAGGCTTCTGTGGTCGCGGCACGCTTACATAGACGACTTCGAAGTCATTAACACTAATGCCCCAGTCCGCGGCAATGGCAGAGCAGGTGTCCGAGGACGCTGCCACGGTCCACCACGAACAGTCCGAGACTGTGTCGGAAGCAGCCGTTGTCGGCGGATCCGTAAGATACGCGGCTCCGGGCGAGGCATACAGGCTCAGGCCCACTAGGGCAGCGATCTGCGGAGTGATCTTCATTGTGCAAGTTTTCCTGGGACCCGAGAGCTGGGGCTTGACAGAGGAGCGAGGAAGTGAAAAGTGACATTCTATTTACCAACCCCGTCGACACTCTCCCTTTATGTGGCAAATTGGAGGCACATAGCTGCCTGGATATTCCGTGGAAGACGGGCCTGGCCCGGTCAGCCTAGTCAGCCTAGTCAGCCCGCAATATCGAAAGGAACCGATAGTAGGATTTGGAGTTACACCAGCACAATCCTAATGTGACAAGGAATCGATACCGGGTAAGATTTCAACCGTACTGCGTCTTGAGTTGCGTGCCTCACCGGTGCATCTCGTAGAATCCTTTGATACCACCTACCTAAAGTGATGTCCGTTCCAGGTTGCCGCCCATCGGTACTGCTTCGGTATTATAGGGTTGCAAGGGAATGGCACCTCGGTACGGCACGGTCATCCTTCAGTCCCTCAAGACCCCCACAGTTTAAACGATCACATACCAGGAGACAGGGGCGTAATTGCATGAGCCTCGATACGCGCATCAGCGACACTCGCAATATCGAGGCTGGATTGGACTCCCTGTTTGGGGTCGCCAGGAACCCGAATTTCCAATGCCAGTATGGCAAGTACTCTATCTGGGTGAGCCGACAAGACTACTCCTTTAGAAACAACAATTGGATCTACGAGAACTAATGGGGTCAGCAGCATCTCTGGCCAAACCGGGCCAACGAGGCGGCCTCGAATGGGCAGTTTCTCAACTACTACGGCATATTCGACACCACCAACAGGCTGTACAAGATCTCGCAACTCGGTAACGTCCCAGGGACAAGTAAACCCGCGCGTATCCAGTATTTCGAGAACATGAGTAGAGCCATGGCCAATAAGTGCACTGGAAATATCTATCTCTACTCGCAAACCCCCTACAGCCTGATGCAATACGGCGCTCCCCCCCCTCGCCCCCAACATCTGGCACAGCGTTGAGCTGACGGCCCTGAGAAACCATGTCGTGGAACTTGCGTCGTCACTCGTGGTCATCAATGCCTCTGATCCGAACTTTGGCGCCTGGAGGGTCAACTGCCGAACCCTCCAGGTCCAGGGCCCGGGGCAGGTCGCCCGGAGAGACGAGTGGGAGCCGTATGACATGGCCGCCGACATCAAGTTTGGGCCACACAGGAGAGAAAATCTTTGTCTTGACTCGGGCGTTGGCGAGGAGCCGGATGGGATGGACGGGATGGACTTCTTTGGGTGAATGGTTTGTGTAGTCTTGACGGACAGCCCTTGTAATTACATAACGTGAGAGCGGCGATCAACGAATTTCCTGCAATTAACATCAAGTTTTGTTTCGCGAGATATCATGGCTACCTAGTTACTATCGTAATGCATCATAGGTACCTAGGTACAGAACTGTAGAAACAACCTGGAAGTTTTAGCAGGAGTACTCCGCAGTCTGTGCTTCGTTTCCGTCTGCAAGGTCCCCGTGCAGGATAAGCTTTTGGGCTGACTGACGCCTTACTGGGCATTGCCGTTCCACGCCTCTGCAGATCGACGACTACAACCGGTAAATATGCATGTAAGCGGCAGACATCCTGCCCCTATACGCAGGCATGCGCAGGCAGTATTCAGATCGTTGCATTTTGCAGGGCCACTTTCGATCCTCCCCAGTTCCCCAATCTCCCATCGTCAGCCCTAAACCCGAAACGGTGCCAGGTACCCTGTCTGTGGAGTCCATCGGCCCGCGTGCTGTGAATCGGGGCTATATTAAGACAGTGAATGCCTGGTTCCCACCCTTCTCATAAGCAGCCCAGCTACGGTTCCATATTAGTGTTCCATCCGATCATCCACACAGTTCAATATCCGAAATCCTTCGGAATTCCCTCGACCATGTTTGTTGCCCCGAGGCCCGATGGTGGCGTCCCGGCAGATTTCGACCCCCGTACCCCGCCCGTCGAGGTCCTACCAAGCCTCAAGGAGATCCAAGAGGAGCTCGACCAGGACGACGAGGTGCGTTTTGCCTGAACAGTGGCCAAGTATGCTCTGGGCCAGTTCTCCCTAGAAGAATACTTCGATCGACTAGTCGACCATCTTCGACGCGATGCCATCCGCCATAGCTTCGACAAGGCGAAATCGAAAATCGAGGATCTACTCCGCGTCGACTTAATTGGCGGTGCCATCAAATCCCTCATGCTCAACCGATTATTTCCCCGACTTTCTGACCAAGGTGGGTTACACAGCCGCAAAGTCACAGCGCTTAGCCCAGGTTTTCTAATGCTGGCTGTCACAGTAAAGATGCTGCAAGGATGAAGACCCTCTGCCTCCTGGCATACCACATTAATGATCCGGCGGAACTGGTGCGGAGGGCTGAAGATGCCAGCTCGCCTCTCAAATCCCTGCCGCCAAGGACACTGGATATCCTAGGCAACGGTCGCTTATGCGCGAAGGCATGTCTCCGTGCTGCAGCACCTCATCACGCACCCGGGCCCTCGGAAGTCGACGTTCGACCTCATGTGGACCGGGATCTTGGCCAAGAGACGGGAGCCAAACCAAGCCTTCCAGCACTCCTCGGATGGCCCAGATAATCGACTCCTAGAATGGAAGATGTGGACTGCGCTTCTCAAGTCTGGTTGGGTCCATCATCCCATGGCCGGGAATCCGGGGGGGATCTATTGGGGGCTGCATTGGCTGGTCGATTACTTCCAGCCAGACCCCGAAGCGCGTGCGTCGCCTTTTCTTGAGTACTTCTTGAAGGCCCTCAGCGAGAATGGCATCATACTAGGCGTATCTACGATATCGAGGTTCCTCTCCATCAAGGAGGGCCAGAACTTCGAGTTCCCGCTCGGCATCAAGCCCTGAACGGCAGAGCAGGCGAGGATGGTCCTCTCCCACTTCCCCATCTCTGCCGCCACGGGCGGCGATCTGAAAAAGGGCGACTCGGCCGAGCTATTGCTACCCATCACGCAGTGGGGGAGGGACAACCAGGATAGACTACAAGTCGCGAGGCTGCTTCTCGAGCAAGGGGTCGACCCGGACGGGAAAGTGGATGGGTTCGAGTACGGACTACCGGTCAAGCTCATGGACCCGCAGTTGCACAAAGCCGCCGAGCTGGGGGACATGCCCATGGTCGAGCTGCTGCTGGGGTTTGGCGCGAGGAACGACGTCCTCGGGGGCAGAGACGACACTGCGGTGCAGCGGGCGCGGGCGAGTGGTTACGAGAAGGTCGCGGCGCGGATAGAGCGGCAGTGATGAACTGTGTGAGGACCGGCCGGGCTTCTAACTTCACACAACAGGACGCCACAGATTACGTTTGGCATCGTCTTCGATTCTAGGCTCAACGTCGCCAATTCCGCGGCAAGTCCCCGTCACGCTTCCCCCGATCCATTACTCGCGTCTCGGTAGAAATCCACCACTACCACATCACTACTCATGACAGATATTCTTTGGTTGCTAACAAGCTCAGATCGATTTCGGCGTGGACACGTATTCTCGCCTCTACGCAAACGCGGGGGCCAGCTCGGATGGGGGGCTCTCCGTACTGCTACGGCATGGACGTGGGATATGTGATGTACGCGAGGGTTAGCGCACCGTATGTGCCTCCTTGAACCTTCCCTTCTATATGTGCTCCATCAATCAACCTCTTCGTTCACCTTCCTAGGATTCTGTTTGGATCAACCTCAGCAGGTATTGGCAGCTACATAAGAACGAGGTAGGTGGCTCCGAAGGAACCAAAAGGGGGGATGTCGACGAGACAATGGTCCCTAATGACAGTCTACTGCAGGTCCCGTTGATTCAATCGAATAGCAACTGCAAAGCTGGCGGGGCGTCGAAGAGAGACTTGGGTCTGGATGACATGTTTGCTTCGGGCGCAGCGTACTCACGTTTTGCTATGCCCGAACCTCATCCGCATCATGACATGGAGAGCTGATTTGTTCCCAGTGTGTGGGAATGTGCTGCATGTTCACAGTTACTTATATATAATTTATTTCCGCCCTTGAATGTTGTGTGCTCTTATGTCCTCCATATGCCTTTCAACTTGGAAAAGGGGTAAAGGGGCCGACCAGTGTCACGTGTCACCTAGAACTGCTCCCAATCATCACCCTCGGCATATTCTATCATTGCTTCTCTTGCCTTTGTTTGTGTTGCCTTGTCTCATTGGGCAAAATCTCATGTGTTCTTGCTAAAGCTTCCCTGGCGCTCAATGTCGGCCCGGTGCCAGGAATCGTCAGGCTAGCGTCAGAAGTTGGTTCAGCATTGGTGATTTTTCGCTGACTCGGCGCTGGGGATCTTTGAAGCCGTGTCAGGAGCCAGATACAGCTCCTTCCTGCACTCCTTTTGTGACGTTTCTCCGGGTGGACATTACGAGAAGCAGTGATGCGTCACAGGAGCCCCATTGATTGACCAGGTTATATTGACCTACTTCACAAGATTGGCAACAAGAATACAAAACCTCACCAATTTCCAAAAACAAATAAACAGCCCGAAAAATTTAGACATAGATATAGCAGAACTGCCCGCCGTTCCCGCCGAGCTGGTCATTCAGCTCGGACAGCTTGACGGGCGGCGCGGTCCAGCCGAGGTCGACGACCGAGTCGCCCGGGTTGCCGGCGCGGCGGTTCTTCATGGGGCCCATGGGCATGGCCGCCGTCCCCGGGATGAGGCCCACCCGGTTGTCCGGGTCCTGCATCTGCCAGATCCACCAGATCCGGTCGAGCATGCCGTGGTGGAACCAGAACATGGGGTCGCCGGGGGAGCAGTAGAAGTCCTGGGGGAGAGGGGAGGGGTTAGCTTGTTTGCGGATGTGGGAGGGGAAGGTGGTGGGGGGAGGGAGCGGGTGGGTGGGAACTTACGCCGCCGGGGTCGCCGCCGCCGATGGTGAAGTGCCCTGCGTTGTGGAGCTAGAGCACGGGGAGTTAGCCTCGGGTCGACGGTCTTGTGGGGGATCAAACTTACCCCCCATGGGTGGTTGTCGTTTTGGAGAGGTGGTTGCCCCAAGTAGCGGTTGTAGAAGCTGTCGATGTCGGTGTTGTCGGTGATGGCGGAATAGGTGTAGTTGGCCGTTGCGCCGAGGATCGAATTCCTATTCACATCACGGCGGAGGCAGCGAGGGTTCGACCCGAGGCCATCAGACCTGGGGTTCTTGGGTATGTCTTTGAGGATCGTGGACCTGGGGCCAAGGCTGATAACCATGCTGTTGTGTAGAGTGTCAGCATACATTCTTCACTGTGTGGCAGGTAGTTAGCTGAAGATCGGGAGGAGGAATAGTACTCTTTGAAGGGACCCTCCGTGACACATCCTCCTCCGCCCGCTGATGGGATGATGTTGTACGGCTTCTTGAACGGCTGGGATATTCCTGGATAGTCGCTAGGTCCGCCGTTTCCACCCAAGCTTGAAGAATTGCCGTTGAAGAGAGGCGAGTTGATGGGATCTTGAGCGTATCGATCATAGTTCATGTACTGGCAGAGCGTTAACCGTATTCAACAAAGTCTGTGGTTGCGGGCCAGATAAGTTGGTGTGGGAGAGAGGAGTTCGACTTACAGGCTGGTAGCCGGTATATCCACACTCGTCACGAAGGGCTTTCTCAAAGGCCCAGATGTAATACTTGTGACTCGCAAACAAGTGTGTCTGAACAGGCATCAGCTTTGACAATCTCGCCTAGAAGCACGTGGATCGAGCCTCACCGTGTCATGGAGGATCATGGCTTGCATCATGTGAGTAGCGACAAAATCGTCGTATCGACTGACTGCTCCGGGCACATCGGCCTTCGGGGCCTTGGCTGGCAGCTTCTGCAGGCAAAGAACAGCCTTGATGTACTCCTCCCTCTCTGGGACAGACAGATCGCTCCTGTCTGGGGTATGAGTACGAAGAAAAGAAACGACAGGCGACTTGGGTGTGGGGATCTTGGAGAACATACCACTCCCGTCTCACCGCTGCGTTCTCGAGGGTGCAGGTTTGGTTTGTTTTGGCCACCTTCTTCGCCATCCAGGCCTCGACCTTAGGCATCGTCGCCTCTTCCAGCTGATCGACGATGTCGAGAGGGTAGAGGCCATTGCGGATTCTGCACCATTAGATTCATTCGATTGTCCCCTTTTTTCTGTGGCTTGAGACTCACGGCTGGCCGTTGGATCGAGTCTTCAGAGGACTTGACCAGGCTCCCTCAAGGAGGAGGGCTAGCACCACACCGGAGAATAATCCGTGCATCTTGTCTGGATGGCTTCAGTCCGAGTGACTGGTGGGTGTGTCCGTGTAGGGAAACGATGCCAAGTCTCCCCCAATGGATCATTTCCTGCGAGCGAGGTGGTTTTCAAGACCGAGTTCGCCTCGCTTGCTGCCCAGGAAAATAACACAAAGTGCTACCCCAGCATGTGTGGGTCTCAACTGCCGCTGCAAGTGTAAATAAAGTGAGGAAGCCCATTGGGTCTTGGATTAATTGCCCTACAAGCTGTGGCCCAAAAGCAAATGAGCATCGGCAGAATCATTACTCTGATCTTGGCCGAAAAATTTACAGTTGGAGGGGAGGATTAATGAAGTGATATCTGGTTGAGCCAGTCAGCGAGAAGAGAATTACCCCAGAAGATTGTTCTTGCGGTCTAGTCTGCCATTTCACCCGTAACAACAGCCTCAACTCAAACCCCGCTCGGCATATTTGCAGGCACGGCCTAGGGTTGGCGGCTATCTTGGCGATATTGTCATTTACAGAACCGCCGGCTAAGGGATCTTGATATACGACGCCGATCCGTCTGGCTTCCCGAGAAAACCATGTTTCTTAGCTTACTGTAACCCTCATTTTGTGGGTTCCGGGAAACGGCACCGAAAAACAATTGCCAAGACGGGAATCACGGGCCTTGCCGGGGAGATCCACTTCTATTCAAAATCGGCTCCGGTCCGGTACGGAGTACATACATCTAAATGTTCGCTGGAAGTCGGGCTCGTGCGGTGGGGCCGTGCGCCTCGACCTCTGTCCAATACTAACAGTCCCCGGCTGGTGCAGATGTGCTAGCCACCGACCGTGCCCACATCCCACTTTATCAAGGCCCTTTCGCCATCCGGCCGTCCTCCAACCTCTTCCGAGTTCGTGTTTCGCACCACCGCCGACTCCTGGTCCCTCTTGTCCGTGAAGATGTTCCGAACCGCCTGCTCCAGGACGTTCCCGATGATTGTCTTGTTGCCGCTATCGACCTTCAGCATGTCCTCGATCGCGGCTTTCTCCATCCTGTCCAGCTCCTCGCGCTGCCGCTGGATCTCCTGGAGCAGGCGGGTCGTCTTGTCCTCGAGGAACTTTTTGGAAAGCTCCATGGCATTGATCTTGGCATTGACCTCGGACGTGAGCTTTTGAAGCTGGAGTGCGCGCCGACGGTCCTGGAGGAGCTGTGCAAATTTGACTGCGGACTCGACCAGCTGCCTCAATTCCTCGGCGAATATCGGTGCCCTGTGCACGGCGGTGTGTCTGAGCCGTGCTATTGAGGCGAAGACTCCTTGTATTGACGAGCTTCCCGGGTCCAAGGCGTAAAGTGCGAGCTTGTCGTGGTGTGCATCGAGGATCTTCGTCCATTGGTTCAGTTCCACGGCTGCCGCGCAGTCCCAGCCATTCTCCTTGACCATGGCCGGCAGACAATCCTTGGCAAAGTCGAAGCAGCATTCCTCCAGAACTTGCTGGGCCGTTGTCAAGATGAGGTGCTGTGCCTTAAATGGCACGTGCCATGGGAACAGCGAGGGAAAACCCGGCTTCTGTGCCCGCTGGGTAGCGCCTGACGGGACTGAGAATGTTAATTCGCGTTTTGTATCCCCACGAGTTAGGTTCCTGCTTACCGAGTGTAGTCCCTGGCTCTGCAGGAAGCTCCAGACTATCATCTCCTGCGCCTGTCAGTGTAGTCTTTTCTGACGCCTCGGGGACACCCTTGAAGGCGCTGTGGCTGATTGGAGACGAGGGATGTGACTCGGGAAACTCGAGCTTGCGACGTGATTCCGAGGCGAATACGCCGCCCTCCAGCAGATCCCGCAGGATCTCGAAGAACTTTTCATCACCACCCAGCTTGTTTATCAACGGTTGGAGGGAGCGCTGGTGAGTGGAGACACGCTGCTTGATCTTGGCTAGTTTCCGCACATTCGCAGAATCGCCATGGAATATGCCTTGGCAAGCAAGGTAGACCTGGAGTTTATGATTCTGGGAAGCCATAATTCTTGTCAAGGAGGGAAGTGCTATGTCAAGCCAGTGTGATTGTAGAAAGAAATGTCGTGCATCGAAAACACGCGTGCAGCTTTTGTAGTGTTTGTCGTGATAGACTTCACCTTCCATCCAAGTGCTGGGAAAGCTTCATTCACTTTCTACACCGACCTGTCATCTCTTCACTCTCCATCCGCAGGTGAATAAATTTGCTAGTCTCTAAATCATGTCTATTTGGCAGACAGAGCAGTGTTGCAGACAGTATCAAGCTTAAGGGACTCTTACCATCTGATTTTCACTATCTATACATGTCAAAGGAACAATTGAAGGCTATGGCGTAGTTTGATTTGGGAAATCTGGATCTTGCCCCAACTGCAGCTTATTGTCTCCGGGAGGCCATGGCGGGACATGATACGACTACATATATATGCGTCTCCAGATAGCTGGCTTGACGCCCAGGTCAGACTCCTGCCAGGGGAAAGGCTTCTCTCAGTATATCTTTGTAGTGACGTGTTTCCCATCCCTGACTATCGTGTTTGCAGGGCTCAAATCCACATGACAAAGCCTGACTCACTACTTCTTCTGCCTAGAGCAAACCTGCGCCACGTTAGACTTGAATTGCCAGTGCTGTACAAGTGGTCCGCGCTGGACCTAATTATGTGCGGAAATCCATGATGCTCTGGAATGGCCCGAAATGTGTATTGTGTACTATACTGAGGCAATGTGCGAGGCTGGAGCCTAGAGGGAGCAAGTCAATGAATCCGGCAGACTTCGAAGCTGTCTACGATAACCCACGGGTGCCATCAAAAGAGGCCCAATTTGTGGTCTTGACCTGTGCGGGACTACCTGATTGTAGCAGGCCTTAATGTTGCTACCTGCGCTCTCCGCTACGACAATTGTTGGTGGCCATCAAACTTATACATACCAAACACGTGCGGTACTGGGATAATGGTATACTTCCGCATGAATACCTGGCCTCTAGCTCCGTTAAGGACATGGCAGCCCTGCGATTCATAGAAGGGAAGCCGGAAGACCTGTTCTCTGCCGCCGCCAACGTTCTTTGCATGGTGGATAATCTTTCCTCCCCGGATGTGGAACTTGAGGTGGGGAGGCAGGTAAGGGGACTTTTGAGGAATGCACCTGGGTTTACCTGATGAAGTCGAAAGAGGATCAAGCATCCAATGCAGTATGTGCGTTTGTGGGGCAGGGGCCGCCCGCAGTATAAAATATGGGGCAAGGAGCCAAGCACAGGCCATATTGACCAATCAAATCACGCCTAGCCTCCCACCTGTCTTTTCAACACTTGAAGCTCCAACTCCCAAGGATTTTAAACTTCCCACGCCAAGGCCACTCGACACCAACTGCGCGACCCCAATCTCTCGGCACCATATCCCCGAACCCTCCGAACGCCTCTTCTGATCCTCGATGAGTAGCAGTGACGGCGGCGGCGGCGGCGTAGCTGTCCGCGGCGCGTCACTCCTCATCCTCCTCCAGGTGACCTCCCGCGCCATCACCTTTGTCGCAAACCAGGTTCTCCTACGGTATCTCACAGCCTCCCTGCTCGGCGTGTCGGCTCAGCTGGAGGCCTACCATCTCTCCGTACTCTTCTTCGCGCGCGAGAGCCTCCGCGTCGCCATCCAGCGGCAGCAAGGCGCCGATCCCACCGGCTCCGGCTCCGGCTCCGGCCCCGCGACCCAGGCCCTCGTCAACGCCGCGTACGTGCCCGTCCTCCTCGGCAGCATCGCCGCACCCCTGCTTGGCTGGCTGTACCTGTCCTCCTCCTCCTCATCCTCCTCGGCGACGACCCCGGGTCTAGCGTTGTCGACGTGCATCTTCGCCCTCGCCGCCGTCGCCGAGCTGCTGACCGAGCCGGCCTTCGCGGTCGCGCAGCGCCGGCAGCGGTTTGCTGTGCGGGCCCGCGCTGAGGCTGCCGGCGCGTTTGCCCGCTGCGCCGTCACCCTGGCGGCGGCCGTGGTCGCGTCGCGGCGCGGTCTTGATGTCGGGGTCCTGCCCTTCGCGCTGGGGCAGGCGGGGTACGCGGCCGCGCTGATGGCCGTGTACGGCTGGTACGGTGCCGGGCTGGCTAGGGAGGAGGGGAAAGGGGAGGAGGGGTTCTCGCTGCTGCCGGCGAGGATCGTCGGTGCTGCTGCTTCTGGGGAGGAGCTGAAGAGGCGAGACGGCAGTGGCGGCGGAGGCGGCGACTACGTGTTGTCGTATTTCTACCGTCCGACGCTGCAGCTAGCGTCCAGCATGATGTTGCAGAGCCTTGTCAAGCACGTTCTGACCCAGGGCGACACCTTTCTTGTCAGCGTCCTCTCCACGCCCACGGCACAGGGCGTCTACGCGCTGGCCAACAACTACGGCGGCCTCGTCGCCCGTCTCGTGCTCCAGCCCATCGAGGAGAGCAGCCGGACCTACTTCAGCCGGGTCCTCGCCAGCACCGCCGACAACACCTCCGACGAGACCCGTGTCGTCGTCGTCGTCGCCGCCGCCCCCGAGAGGAAAGCCGTGGTCCGCGCTCGGGCGGATCTGCAGTCGCTCCTCCGGGTCTACCTCCTCCTGTCGCTCGTCGTCACGGCGCTGGGACCGGCCGCAGCGCCGCGCCTGCTGTCGCTCGTGGCGGGATCCCACTGGGTCGGCTCGGGCGCCGGGTCGTGCCTCTCGACCTACGTCTGGTACATCCCGCTCCTAGCGGTCAACGGCGTCAGCGAGGCCTTCGTCGCGTCCGTGGCCACCGAGGCCGAGGTCCACAGGCAGTCGGCGTGGATGACGGCCTTCTCCCTCGTCTTCGCCGGCGCCGGATTCGTCTCCCTGCGCGTCCTGGATCTCGGCGCCGTCGGGCTCGTCTGGGCTAATGGCATCAACATGACGTGCAGGATCGTCTGGTGCGCTGCCTTCATCGCCCGGTACTTTGGCAGGCTCGGGGAACCTTTCGATATCCAAGGGATTCTACCAGGGCCGTGGGGGGTCTTGGCTAGCGTCGTCACATCCCAGGTCATCCGCACAGTCGTCGGGGCTGTCGGTCAAGAGCCAGTAGGCCCCAAGGAGACGCTGGTGAGCCTGGTTAAGATCGCGGGCATCGCAGTCCCATACTTGGGGGTATTGTACGTCTACATCCCCACACTCCCCGAGTTATCTACTTCTTGAGTCTAACAATTTTTTGCTTCCTTTTTCAACAGAGCTCTCTCCGAACGCAAATTCCTCCTCGACAGTTTCCAGACCATCCGAGGCCACCGACGAGCCAAGTCGTGAACAAAGCGCCACGATCTTCTTTCTACCCGTCAATGATGGCGGCTCCGTATGTCATAGCCACCTCAATCAAACGTGATCTTCGTGCCCTTCTTGCTCATGTCGATATCCTTGTAGAAGGCACCATAAGTGTCGTGGGCCTTCTTCCTCACCGTCGTGCCGAACTTGAGCAGCTCATCCGGCACATGCTGGTTTGCGGCCTTGAGGATGTTGATCAATCTAGCAGCGAAGGTGGTGCGTTAGCATGGTCTGGTGGCGGGAAAAGGCGGCTGGGATGGGCAAAAGGAAGAGAGGGGGTTCTCACGATCCGGAGTGGGCCTTGTCGTGCTCGGTAAAGAGCGTGTGGGCATTGCCCAGCTTCCCCGCTCGCCCGGTTCGGCCGATACGGTGGACATAATCCTCGATGGTCAAGGGGAACTGGACAGAAATATTAGCACTGGGAGATGGTTACAGGACTACCAGACAGGGACGGACATACCGTCACATTGATCACAAGTTTGACCTCGGGAATGTCCAGTCCTCGCGCGGCAACGTCAGTGGCAACCAGCACCGTCGTCGTGCCGGCCTTGAATGCCTCGAGACTCCGCGTCCGCTGCTCCTGCTTGAGGTCGCCGTGGATGCTGGCCACGCTGATTCCCTTCCACTGGAGCGACTGCTCGACGCGCACGGCCTCCTTCTTGTACAGGCAGAAGACCAGGACCCTGTCGTTCTTTGCCTTGCCCTGCTGGGCTTCCCGGACGAGCTGGTACACCCTCTGCTCCTTGCTGCGCGGGTCGATAACCTCGACCTTTTGGGTGATGCGGTTGTTGGCCTGCAGCTCGACCACGCCGTCGTCCTCACCGCCATCTCCATCGCCTTTCGGCTTGCCGCCGATGGTGATCTTGACGGGGTTGACCATGAACCCCTCGGCCAAGCCCCTCACGCTGGCCGGCCACGTGGCGGTGAACATCAGCGTCTGCCTCTGCTCGCGCGGCGGGCAGTCGCTGAGGATCATCTTGATGTCCTCCTCGAAGCCCTTGTCCAGCATCCTGTCGGCCTCGTCGAGCACGACGAACTTGGCCTTGGAAAGCGACACGCAGCCCTCGCTCATGAAGTCCTTGAGGCGGCCCGGCGTCGCGACGATGATGTCGGCGCCCTTGTTCCGCCGCAGCAGCGTCCGCTGGTCGTCCTTGCTGGCCCCGCCGTAGATGCACACGGCCGACAGGCCGACCAGGGCCGCCAGCGTCGAGATGGAGGCGTGAGTCTGCATGGCGAGCTCGCGCGTCGGCGAGACGATGACGGCGCGGGCGTGGGTGACCTTGTTGGAACCGTAGGGGCTTGAATCGGTTGACGATGCGAAGAGGGCTTCGACACAGGGAAGGGAAAACGCGAGGGTCTTGCCGGAGCCGGTCTCGGCGACGCCGATGACGTCTCTTCCGGATAGGGCGAATGGCCACGAGGCGGATTGAATCGGGGTCGGAGTGGTGAATGTGGCAAATGGCTTCTTCGAGATCAACGTTGAGCGGGGCAGGAAGTCGAACCGCAGGAGTGGTCGGAAAGTAGCAGCCGAGGACGAAGTGGCCGAAGGGTCTGACACGGATATCTCTGCCTTTGAGAGGAATGCCTGGATCTCCGTCTCTGGGACGGCATCGAGGGCGGCGGCTTGCTTATACGAGCCGGGGGTGTGTTTCTCGGTTGTATTATCCAGGGTGTGATCAGAGCCCTCTGAAGCGACCTTGATCTTCTGTTTCTTCTCCTTCTTGTCCTTCTTTTCCTTCTTCTCCTTCTTCTGCTTGGGCTCGGTGGTCTCGGTGGACTCGGGCTCAGCAGATTCGGGTTCAGCTTGTTCGGGCTCAGCGGATGCGTCGCTGGTCGAGGTCGGGGTCAAGATGGACTCCTTGGGCTGCTTCTTGTACTTTTTCTCCTTCTTTTCCTTCTTCTTTTCCTTCTTCGTCTTCTTCTTCTCCTCCTTGTCCTCCTGATTCTTGTCTTCTGGGACCTTGACTTCCGGGTCCTTGACTTCCTGGTCCTCGTCTTCGTGGTCCTTGCCCTCCGAATCTTTGTCTCTCTTCTCCTTGTTCGCCTTCTTTTCCTTCTTGTTCTTCTCCTTCTTGGTCTTCTTCGTCTTCACATCAGTGGCGGCCTCTGGGGAGTCGGTCTTGGCTTTTTTGGGCTGCCGGGCAGCCTGCTCCTCGCCATCATCCCGGGCGTGCTTTGTTCCTGCAGACATATTGTTGAAGCTTGCAATTGACTCGGAGCCAACTGTCGGATTCGGGGTAGCAACAATGGCGGAGTGCCTGGATTGAACTTTGTGCATCTTTTCGAGGGGCAGCTGGAAATTTTATTTTTTCCCTTGCGCCTCCCGACCCTCTCATTGGTGCTCATGATCCTTGCATGGACCCACGATTATGTGTGGCAGAACAAGTGGAGCAGTCGCACCTTTCCATTCTGGGGAAGGCGGCCAATTGCCCCCCAATACAGACACGTGCGGCTTTCCTCAATCAATCTTTTGGAGGAGTATGAACCATGCACGGCCAACTTATTTGACCTCGTAAGCTATAAACCAGAGAATAGAAGCCTCCCCTTCTCAGCATATCAAGCAACAGCCTTGATACACATATCTCTACATCATGAGCCAAATGGCCAGGAGCCATCTCCAATCTACCTACCCCAAACCCAGGTTGCCACGGGTCCCCAATTTCCCCACCTGGGAAACGAAGTCGCGGGACCCAGTCTATCGTCGAATGTGGAAAGACGGAACAAGACTCCGATAAGGACAACATGCCGTTTTTCATGCGCAACAGGTGTCAAATAGCAGCGCATGGAAGCGACCTTCTCTCTTTCTCCCTCTCGCCTCTTGCTCTCCTCACCTCCTCTCTTCCCTCATTCCACTTCCACTTCCACTTCCACTTCCACGCTCCATCCCAATTGTCCCCTCCCTGACAGTCCCCCTCATCCTCCCGAACAAAAATGAAGATCAACACCTTGGCGGCTGCGGCCTCGTGGTGCTGCATCATCTCCTCGGCATGGGCAGGCTCACACCCGGGCCCCAAAAGGCCGGACGGCGTGCCGGTAAAGATGGAGGACTTCAAGTGGGCGGACCCGGCCGCGTCGCGGCGGATGAAGAAGTTCTCGGCCAGCTGCACCGCGTCGCGGACCTTTGAGGCGAAGGAGTACCTCCTGGACGACCTGTCGGAGGAGCCGCCGATGGGCCTGAAGCCGTGGACCGAGGCGCTCAAGAAGATCTTCAGCGGGCGTGAGTACCCGGGCAGCTGGGATGGCATCGACCCGCACGGCTACGACCGGAACCTGCTGCTGATGGAGTACTCGGAGGTGCCCATCGCGGTGCGCGAGTGGATCGAGGCCGAGGAGCGGAGCGACGGCGAGGGCAAGGGCCTGTACGCCGTGTATGAGAAGCCCAAGGACAAGGACCAGGTGATCAGGAACGTCGTCAAGTTCGCCAGCGCAGAGATGGCCAAAGGCCTTCGCCCGCTCGACAAGAAGAAGGTTGTCATCTTTGCCCCCGGCGCCGTCTACGACATCCTGCCGCTGTGGGTTGCTGAGGGTAGCGACTGCAAGGGTAAGAACCCAAACTCTATCAGATCACTGTTCAAAACGTGACACAGACTAACACGAGTCCCGCAGACACACTGCTCGATATCTCGAAATACAGCCCCAAGCCGACCGACGGAGCCGTTGTCGCCTGGCCGACCTACACCAAGGCCAGGCGGGGCCACGGAGAGAGAAATATGACGTTCACGGTGAAGGCGGAGGTCCTCAAGACCAACGGAGAGGCGTCGGAAGGCGAGAAGGACGAGTTGTAAATGGTTCGAGGTCATGTATCAAATTTCCTAGAGGTCTGGGATATAACGAAACATATACCCAATTCATAGACCAGTATGTCGCGCAATATACGCATTACCCTGACCCCGATCCCGCCACCACCCCTAGAAATGGGTAGAAGCACTCGGTGGCAGGTCCTCCTCCTTTGTCTCCCAGTCGCTCTCGCTCCTACCCAGAGTCAGCTCCAACACCCCCTCCCCGGGCATAGAAGTCGTGCGTGATCCAGCTCCTCGTGTACGGCTCGCCATCCAGCGTGGCCGCTCTGCACGTAGACGTTCTCGTACGCACCACCATCACCGTCGTCGAAGCCGACGCTCCGCACCGTCGCCGTCCGGCGCGTCGCCGGGCTCGTGACGGTGACCTCGCGGAAGAAGGGCGGCACGATCAGGTACACGTCCTGCCCGCTGACCGGGTACAGCCCCACCATGGTCAGCGTGCTGAACGAGCTCCATGGCGCCCAAGTCGTCGTTGCCCGGGATCCCCGCGGCGGTGTCGTTGAACTGGCGAGGGATGTAGCGGTGGGCGAACCGCGAGGATAGGCCTGGCCGGCCGGCGTAGTGGAAGAGGTAGACTAGCAGGAAGTCCTGCTCGTCGCCGAGGTAGAGGAGGTTGGGCGTGGTGTGGAGGTACTCGAGGCGTCGCACGAACGAGTCGGGACCCCCGAGGGTGGCGAAAAGACGGGCCATGTCTTGCGGGACGTAGAAGGTGTACAGCCAGCTGCTGCCTTCGTAGGCTTCGTGCCCGTCTGTGTTCAGATAGCACGAGGTGAAGTTGTACAGCGGCGAGCAGAGGCTGGGGTTTTGGTGGCCGAAGGTGCCGTTGAGGTAGCGCGGCTGGAGGAAGCCCTCGAATCCGCTGTCGACAAAGTTGGGCTGGTCTTTGGGTGTCGAGAGGTTGAGGGTGGACCGCTGGTCGGCCTTGAACATGTTTGCCCAGTTGTCCGAACGGCGGATGTACTTCTCGGCGTCCGAGTGCTCGCCCATGGCTTTGGCCATCTCGGCGATGCAGAAGTCGTTGTAGGCATACTCTACCGTCCGTGAGATGAACCGCGTGAAGGGCCCTGTGCCTAAGACATCCCAATCATCGGTGGGAATGTATCCCAGTGCCTTCCAGCTGGCCAGGCCACCTCTTCCTTCAACGAACCAGATCGCGGGCTCGTCTTGGGGAAGTCAATTTCGACTCGTGTTCTCATCACGCGACTAGTTGCTCACCTTCCGCATCAGATACCACGGCTTCATAGCCGGTCTCCCAGTCAATACCGTTTTTCAGGCCCTTCAGGCCCTTCAGGTACGAGTCGGCGAGCACCACGTCGGCATTGCTCCCGCCCATCTGGTCCGATTTGGGCGGGCGGAACTGGACCCACGCGCCAGCAGGTATCGGAGGGGAGTCGGTGCCATCAGCGTATACCTTGAGACTCTTGGGCTCACTGCCTGCGCGGTTATTCATGAACACTCCCGTGTTCCGTATCGCTGCACCCTTAAAGTCTGCGCAGAAATGCCAGGTCGTAGGTGCTGACGCCGAGAGATGGGGCGAAGGTCCCATTGCCCACGATGCGGCCCGTCCTAGGATCCACCAAGACACTGCCGTTGGAGCGCGAGTTCGAGAAGTCCGTGAGATCGGCAAGTATCAGCGGACTGTACGGGAGCTTGGGCACCGCCGGGCCGCTCGAGTTCGACCAGCTCGAGTTTTGACTTGGGCGGGAACGTGAAGCGGTACAGGGCTGTGTGATTCGACACGGTCATTTCGGCTAGCACAGAGGTATTCAGGGAGAGCGAAAAGTAGCCCGGGCGGGCTTGGACTGTTTCGTTGATGCGTTGGGATGCGCGGAGGGTCTTGGTGAAGAAGCAATTTTGAACATCATCGCCTAAGCACCCGGTCTGGGGAAATATCGGGAAGTTGCCGAGTGACGCGCCGCCCCCAGTTCTGGAATCGTGCATGTGTGAAAACCCAGTGACTGTCGAGTGTCAGAACGTGTGTTGGTGTTATTGCCCGAGGCTGAGATGAGGTCTTACTATCACTGTTGTCAGAGGCATAACCGCCCTGAAGTTCTTCGATGTTCACATCAGGTGACTTTTCACCATCCCAAAGGGCAGCGACGCTCCAGGAACGACGTGACCTTGAGATATGTCAATGACCCTGAATAGCGCGAGGGACGAAAGGACGAAGTTAGGACCAACCCCCATTGACGGTCCCGATCAGGGGATCAACATAGCAGAGAGGATCAAACTGATTGGCAGCCGGTTGGGCTAAACCGGGTGTCGAAAGGCAGATTGCCGCCGTGATATAAAGCCTGTTAATTGAGGACATTGTTGATCGTCCAGGGGATGACATGGGGCGCAGAATGCCAACCAGGAACTGGGGAAACACAGGTCTATCAGGGCTCTTCTAAATCCGTCCTCCTGTTGTCGATTTAGGCAGGTGCCATTTCCGCACTATGCATCGATCATCACTGCATTGTGCCTTGTATTACTGTTCCACGCCGAACAATAGTCGCTGCGTGACGACGATCATCATGAACGGGTCGAATTGCCCCGCGGCGTGCAATGCATTTGGTAAGAATTGAGCGGACGAAGAGCTATATATAGACCGAAACCTTTTGATTTACCTTCTTAGACCTTTTCCAGTGCCATTGAGACTTCTGAAGGAGGGAAGTGGGAACGTGACGAAGCGCTCCGGGTCTTGAATCTCATTGGCAAGAAAAGACAACATCGAGCAAGAGAAGGGCCCCAAAGTATGGCACAGTGGCTCCTTCCGAGGCTCCTGAGAAGAATGCCGTCGCTCCGATGAGGTAAGACAGGGTTGCGAAGCATTAGCGATGTTATGCAACAAATCAAGTCTACTAAGTTTGTCAAAAAGATAAAAATAAGTATCTATTTTACATCCCGCTAGCTAATTTCAGTTTGATATCAAGGTTGTTCAGATAGCCATGCCGCCAGAATAGCGCCAATAATCCCGACCAGAAAGATTTTCCAAGTAGCGATACACTTGGTGAGATAAGTTTCACCACCACCGTAAAAGTCAAGCATGTCTGGAGGAGATATGTCGGTCATGATTGGTATTCTAGACGTTGTTGTCCGTGCCGGTTGCTTCCCGAGATGATCAGCAAACCCGGGTGGGGGGGGAGAGCGGCGCGTCCCGTGCGGCGTCGCAGTCTCCCTTGACGAGGGGGTGCTACGGTGCTGAAGTCAGTGGTCTTGCTCCTAGGGGTTCGATGAGAGGACAGTTCAACGCACAGCCTCGCAGTACTCAATATAGTCCTTTCCGGCGGTCCACTCGGTAATCTTACGAGAGCGAGAGCCATCGTGCATGCTGGTGAAGCTAGGCCATGCTAGGACGAGGGTGATGATGACACCGATGACGCCCAGCCCTGCGACGAAGCGGCGACCAAGGCGTCGCGTGAGCTGGTGGCGCCCATTGCTCTGAGTCTTCCCCACGGTGGTCCCTGAAGAGGCATGAGGCGCTGCAGAGGTGTGAGAAGTTGTCTGAGGACTCGTGGTGGCGGGAGCGGCTTGCTGGGCTGTTGGAGTATTAGAAGCCATCCCAGAGACGTTTGCAGACGCCCATATGAGGTAGGCAGACTGTTCTCTTATTAATATGTCCTTGACAGCTCAGCCACCCTCGATTGCAGGGGCGGTAAAGGTTGGCATTTCTGGTCTGTTTCAGTAAGCGCCCGTCACTCTTTTGAGCCCCAAGTGGCTTGGCGTTTACCGCTGTCCGAGACAGCTAATTGACGAAGGAGTGGCTCAAGGTTTGGGACCTGGAGAAGCTCTGATAGATGGAGCGGGAGTCGGGAGGAGAAATGATGCAATCCGAGGGGGCTACTGGGCTTCTCGTGGTGGGGGTGGGGGATGACAACACCGCCAACGGCTTTTCGGGCTCTTTTTCACTCTTTTTTGTTCCCGTCCTTCTATGGAAGGATTTGAAGGGAAATGTAGCGTTTATCAATGCTCATTCGGTCATCACTAATCGTGGTGTATTAATAACTCTCGCCCCCCGCCCTCCGCGATTCCCTGCCGTCAGAATCGAGATTTCTCATATCCACCAAGCTCGCCTCGTCGTGGTCGCTGTACTGCACGGTATACGACTTCTTATACACGATCACAGAGGGCCCCGCGGCATCGGCGGCGTGGCCGTCAGACGTCGCCGCGGCATGGCTCTGGGAACCCGGCGTCGAGCCGCTCGGCTGGTTGTTGTAGCCGTAGTAGCCGGACCTGCTGATGGTTGTCTCCCGGAATACGTCGAATGCCCTCATAAGCGCCAGGCGCGCCGTAGGCATGCAGGCGCACATGATGCCGACGTTGATCTCGACGATGGACCAGTTGCAGACGCTCCAGTTGTCCCACGTCGGGTTCTGCGAGTTGGCGAACGACACGAGCGACTGGAGACGGAGGATGCTGACGACGGTGACGCTGCAGGGATTCAGGGATCAGCATTGAGAGGCAGAGGGAAATTGCCGGGAACACTTACAAGGTGCCGACGCAGAACATCAGGGCCACGCCGACCTTCCTCTTCCAATGGAGGCGCAACTTGGGCAGCTGGCTAAGTGGGATGGCGAGCATCCACAGGTCCAGCACGATGCTGACGATGGCATTGGCCCACCCCAAGGCGTTGACATTGAGGCAGGCTCCCTTGTGTTCACCGTCCCACTTGTCCCAATAGTGGCTGATCGGGGAGCACTGGAAGATGCCGGCCAGGATGCATGCCACGCCAAACAATGCGTTGATGGTCACTGTGGTCCAGAGAACCCGGCGCGTTCCCTGGGTCGGGAAGATGCGGAGGTAGAAGAAGAGGATGGACATCTTGAGGAGGGTCACCTCGGCGAAGTAGAGGATTTCCATCACGTAGAAGAACAACCCGAACGCTGTGACCTTGTCGGCTTCCAGTGTCCAGACGTCCTTGCCGAGGCCGTTTGGGGTTATGCCGTGGACCGCGATGATGGTGTTGGGAATGCCGCACAGGGTGGTGATGAGTATGAACCAGTCGTCCAAGGACAGGCCCGTCTTGGCCACAAAAAGCTTGAAACCCAACCGTCCCGCGACCATGACGCCGGTGATAGTGCCGAGGGAGGTGGCAACATCGGTAAGGAGCTTAGACTTGTCACGGATGGGCGCATTGCAGTTCGTTTGCGTGACATTCTTGGTAACTGTTCAGGGACTGTCAGGGATTGGATCTACGGTAGAAGCGTAGAATAATAGAAGGCTTACAGAGAGCCTCCCTGATTGTGCAGCCGGAAGTGACGCATTTCGTCACGTCATCTTGGAGGTCGGCGTTGGTGCAGAGGCACGTCTGATTTGTGAAGGAGCATGGGGAGTTGGACACTGCCGAGGCAAGGCATGAAATCTGGGGGTTCACCGTCAGTAACCAGCAACCAGAAACCAGCAGCCATGGCTAGCAGAGCACAGAAAACGAACGTACCGCGCACGCGGGAAGCGAGGCAAGCGCATTGGACAATGCGTCTTGGGCCCAGGCGGTTGGTAACGCGACCAGCGCAAGTAGTGCCAGCGAAGATGGCAATCGTAACCTCATCCTGGGCGACTCATCTCAACGTAAGTTTGAGCATCTTGAAAGAGAATGCATTCCGAGGTTCCACAACGAGGGGCGCATGCATTCGTGGTGGCATCCAAGCCCTTATCAAGTTTCCATATCAGATCCCGAGGTCGCCCCCAGACCCAGCATGCAAGTGAAGTGGTGGGACAGCTTGTGAGAGTATCCCCCTGCGCTAATCTGCCACTAACTCAGATAAGCGATCAATTTGCCCCTGTCTGGCCCACATGGACTCGTGGGGAGTGGACCATTAACCCTTGTACCCACTTCGGTCTGAGCTGCGGCACCATGTCGGCCAAGCATTTGCTTAGAAACTGGGTCGTCGGATGGAGACTGGCCGTATGTCGGCTCATCCAGGGCTCGACCGAGCCAATGGTCTCGGGAGTCCTTCCAGATACGGAGAGGTCCCATTCTCTGGCGCGCCATCATTCTTATTCCGTACACTATTCCCGACGACGTCCGCAATGCTTTTTGCATCAACGCCACAGCGTTTCACCAACTGCGCCAACTCGTTACGTGTACGGGGTACTGTGTTTATTGGCGTCTTTCGGCCTTAAATAGGTAGCCCATCGACTACAATTACGCAAAGTAGCTAGCCACCTCCTTTGCTTCGTCCACCGCTCTGGGGCAGTGCCTCTGTCCTTCCTATCAACTCCGCGGAACTTTCCGCATGAGCTACCTACTACCGCATCACTTAATTTCCACCGGTCTTCAAGTTGGACAGTCCCCGCTAGCCCCTGACGGCAGTTGCACTTTACAAACTACTACCCCCAATTCCTAACTGCTCCTGTCCACTAGACTCTGCCGCTACAGCAGCCGGTGTTAAGACGCCGTGCGATGCCGCCGCTAGAATCATTACTGACTTCGCGGCTACGGCGACTTGCTTAGGCCTGGGCAGCTTTGGGATGCAGACACCACGCTCTTCAACAGGATGGCTCAGGTTGGCAGAAAAGACCTGAGAGCGTATCCACTCGTCAATGGCAACTCGAAAGGTCAGTCTCACTAATTAGTCGTCACTCCAGGCCTCCTCTTGCGCATTTTGATTTATTAGTAGGGTCACAATCGTTAACGACATCGCATAAGCTTCGTTGCACTGACCGTCTCTAACCATATAACTGTCGGATCCAAGCTAAATTATCCAAATTTGCTCCCTTGGCGGGGGACCTAAACCCAAGTTCGCCAGATTAATGCTCACTTTCTCCATGACCACCTGTTCCCAATCCACCGGACGAGATATACCAGAGCAAGGAGCACCGGCACCTCGATGAGCGGCCCGACAGTCGATGCAAGGGCCTGGTCACTCTCTGGGCCAAAGGTCGCAACAGCCACAGCTATCGCGAGCTCGAAGTTGTTACTGGCCGCGGTGAAGCTCTGCGTCGTGGCGAGGGCGTAGCCGAAGCCGAGGTAATATGTAACCCAAAGCGTGATGGAGAAAATGGCCAGAAAGTAGCCGACGAGGGGCGCAGCGACGCGCACGACCGACACAATCTGATGCACGACCTGATGTCCTTGGGATGCAAACAAGACAAGGATCGTATACAACAAGCCGATGAGCGACCACGGTGCTGCAAACCGCAGGAACACATGTTCGTACCAGGCGGGTCCAGCCGTTGCACGTAGGGTGAACCGTGTCAGGATTGCTGCGCCGAGGGGAATGCCAAGGAACACGGCCACGCTGGTCGCGACCACCGCGTACGAGATATCTCCCACCCCGGACTCCTTGCTGATGACGCGGATGAAGAAGACCGACAGCGGCGCAAACAGCACCATCTGCAAGATGGAGTTCACGGCGACTAGAATTGCGCAGTACTCGTTGTCACCGCCGGCCAGCCCTGTCCATATCAGGACCTGCGATTCGGCAATGAGTCAGCTTTTGTCTACAAGTTCAAAGCGCAGGGACAGAGGTAGGGTGCAGTACATACCATTGCAATACATCTTCCAAGGCCAACAAGGATTAAACCGACACGGAGGTCGCTCTTGTCGGGGAGGAACGCCCATGCCAGGCCAAGCTACAGAGAGTAATATATCAGCGACAATTCGACAAATCCGTGCTATCAGATCAAGCAGGTTCTGCCTACCATTAGGAATGGGGCCACGACCCAGTTCATGAAGATACTGAAAGCAATCTGCTTCCATAACCCACGGTGCGATAAGATTTCGTGGAGAGATTCGTAGCGGACTTTGCACAGGATTGGGTACATCATGACCAGAAGTCCGACAGCTATGACCGATAATGGAGAGAAAATGGGGGTCTAATCAGCGCGAGAACATGATTTTGGCAAGGTAGAGAGCAAGGCTCCGAGGAGGACATACCGATGGGCACAGATACTCCCACAAATTTGCCCTTCTGCAGGGCCGGACCGGTCTCTGGCACGAAGTTGCCCAGGAGGACTCCGATGACCATGGCCAACAAGATCCAGACGGCCAAGAAGCGGTCCAGCCAGCCGAGTGACTTGAAGGCCGAAGTTTTGTTCGACGCAGGCGGCGTCTTCGTCGTATCTTGTTTTTCGGCGTCTTCTGAACCGGTTGCCAGAGCGTCGCCGGGCGATGCAATGCTCGGGTCTAACACAACGGGTTCTGCCGGAGCGGCGAGTCTTGGTGATCCGGTCGACATAGCTCGTGTTGTCTCGCGTCTCCTCTTGTTGATGACGAGTTTTGAGGTTGGGTAGGATTTGAACGAGGGATGAACAAGTTCAACCCCTTCAGTATAAATATTGAGAGTCCGAAAAGTCTGTGCTCTGCATGGCAAGAAGGGAATGTTGCCATCAAGCGTGAGTTCGAAAACATATAAGAGCGATAAGTCAAGGAGGCTCTAGCCAATCAGAATTTGGGAGTGACAGAATCCCAATTTGACCAATCAGGAGGGGCTTAGCGGACAGTAGTCCGGGTCAGGATAAGGGTACGTAGCCAATCATCGCTGGGGGTGACAGAACCCCGAGGGTGCTCGAATTTCGCATGATTAATTAGCCAATCACAACTTGGAGGTGACAGATCCTTGGCTGTGTTTAAGGGCAGGGTTACGAGCTTACACATCCCTTCGCTATTGTCTACAACGACGACGCTAGCAATGTTAAGTAAGGGCATAGGACGGACGTGGTCGACAGTGCATGTGTAGTTGAGCTCACAATGCGACCCGGGGAAACCCAAGGTGGAATTACGAGCTAATGCGCTTCATTGCCTAACATCTTCTCGCGGCCGCGGGATACGGGTGGGCCGGGTGGTTTAGCGACTATCTCCTCGACCGAGGGGACAGCGTCATGCAAAGCCTTGTTTTGGTTGGGGAGGGGGGATAAAGGGGTGGGCAACTGGCGGACGTGAGTTTGTAGATGGATGCACGAGTATGACGCCTCTGCCTGGGTTGCAAACGGGTAATCAGAGACTCGGAGGGGCATCGTGGCTAATGAGAGATTGAAAACTTTCTGTTTTCGGACAGGGAGCAAGCCGGGACAATGGTCCTCTCATATGACCGCTCTAGCCCCATCTATCCCAAGCAGACCTTCATGCTCACGAAGAGCCTATGGAATCCAACAGAGCAAACAACAACCTATTATCCACACGACAGCCGTCGCCGCTGACAATCGAACCCCGGAACCCGGGCTGCAAGTGCCTGCGGATCGCCGAGATATCTAAACCGCTGTAGTTGTGCGTTGCGATGATCGTGAATGCCTCCCGGCAGCGAGTTGTCGATTCGTCCGGGTTAGGAGGCGGTAGGTCAGAGCAGTCTTGTTCTCCTCCATCTGCCACCTCATCATGGCCGAGTGTGAATCCTTGCAATATGGTGTTGTTCATGGATGGAGCTGAGAGTACAGGAGAAGCAGGCTCGGCCAACTTCTCTGGCCATGGCATTTTCTCAGTGACAAGGTGGGGTTGTAAAGCTGCGTCATCCCTCTGCTTCTGGGCTGGGGGTAAAGCATTTCGATCGGCTAAAGATGCATCCAACTCCTGGATTGCACAAGGCACTTGTGTCAATGGTGCAGGATTGACTCTTCGGGCTACGCGGATGTCGTCGGGGGTGCCGCTGTGAATGAGCTCTGTTTGGCGGATGGTCTCTGCAGGAAGTGTTTTTGCGAGATGCAGCTCCTCCGTCAGCTCAGAAATGCGTGCTAACGCCTTGTCGAGCTGCAGCTGAGTCTCTGCCAGGCGGGCTTCCAACCCTGTAATATGGTGTTTGACTCGCTCGCGGTGGCGCCGTTGGTTGTTGCGAAGCCTCGTTGCCTGGTAATCGGCTGGCTTGGCGGACCATTTGCTCATCATATCCGCGCAGGATGATGGTCTGTCTGAGGAATGACGCATATTGGTGACCGGGGGGTGGGAAGGAGTCAACACTCGGGCAGAAGTGTTTCGTAGGTTCTTCTGAATTCCATATTTACCCAGGTATTGTACCTAGGTAATTATTGAATGAGAGGCGACTGATGTATTACGCCAGATGTGGAGTGACAAATCGAAAAATTGCCTTTTCAGGCCTAGTCTCCCCACATGATTGGCCACCCACAAATTAGAGTGGGCCTCTCTCTCAACTTTCCTCACCAGATGGTGGTCCACTAATTAATACTCCAGAAACATTGGCAAACCGAGAATACACTTGAATGACAGAAAGGAGCAACACGCGGCCAAGACTTTGTTTTGCAATGAGTCTAGAACCCCCACAATGCCCCGAAAGGTATGTTCCTCGCCACTGGCCGTTTTCGTGGACATGCTCAGTTTTCTCACCCGCCGTTGCGTGTTTAATAGTACCAGACTCCAGCCTCCAAGATTCAAAACCGGGAGAGCCAACGACGCTCCCGGGCGCGGCACCGAGAGTTGATGGAGGACTTGAGGAAGAGATTAGAAGCACACGAGCGCCGTGGTGTCGAAGCCTCCCTTGAGATGCAGATGGCAGCCAGAGCTATCCTTGTCGAGAACCAGCGTCTGCGATCTTTGCTCGCCCTGCATGGCATCTCTTCGGAGGAAATCGATTCGTATCTGGCATCAAGTCGGCTGCCTGACACCGGAGGGTCCGAAACACACTCTGGTGTTAGCTGCATCACAGGTGAAACCACACGCAGCCGTCAGCCCCCTGCGTCTTCGCAAGCGCGCAACACGTCATTGCACAGCCAGCGCCGTGGATTCTCCGTCGCTGAGCCGAGCATAGTCAGGCGTTTTCCCTCATCTTCGGCGACTTTGTCGCCGATTTTAGCCTCCTCTCCGGCCGCTGAGCGGTGCACTTCATCAGACACATCACTATATGCCCCGATCGATGTCATTGCCCCAGATTACTAGCCACAACCTCGCGGCAACTCGACCCCATGGTCGCCAGGACGAGCAAGATTACCAGTGGCCGGAAGACCGTCAGCATCGCACGGCGGACCACAGTGCTTCCTCCTCGACGAATATGCTTCCACCAGTGTCAGATTGCTTCTGTCCACCAGAGCAATCGACTTCTCGTGCCAACTCTTTGGAGGCTCACGAGACCTCTTGCGACGCAGCGGCCGAGATCCTCGCCGAGCTCCACAGCCATCGGGATACTGTAGAGGCTCGCCGTGCTCTTGGTTGTACTGGGACGAGCAACTGCTCCGTCAAGAATACTACAATATTCCAGCTAATGGACGAGCTCACCTGAATATTCACCCCGTTCAGGACACAAGACAGTGTCTTTGCGATCCCCCGTACCACATGTCGGAAAAGGCACACAAGGCGAATGAAATGATGAAGGTGACATACTCGGCGTGGATTGTTCTCACATAAAGATACCGTTTTATGAAACCGTACAAGATCGAAACCATCATTCAACCGCAGGAGGCCGGAGATGAAGGCAACCACCAGAGGAGGAGCATCAAGTCGAGCGCAGAAGTGTCGATGTACGTCGTTGACGACACTGTTAGCGGTTATGCCCGGCACTGCCCTGCAACCGGTGCTGAGACCCTCGTATGTGCCGATCTCAGCCTCTACGTCAAGCTCCTGTTTCTCTTCGGCGAAGCACACGCCATAGTACGAGCATAAACCCACTGGCTATGATGTAGGAGAGGCCGGCGAAGATTTGAGCATACAGATATGGCCGAGGGGCCGGTATTTCCCGCAGACGCAAGGTTATCACCTCGGCCGCTGGGCTCAGGGTCAGCGGAGGTGTTGGCATCATAGAAACGCAGTTGTTGTTCTTACAGGCAGTCGGGATCGCAATTGTGGCCCAGGACAGAGATAGCAAGGATTGAAGGTTTCTGAGACCAGCAACTTCCACACACAAAGGACCGATAGTCTGTGAGGTCTGTGAGTGTGCAAGTGCTAAAAGGACTGGAATAATAACGCACCATCCAGAAAATCCCGAGGATTGCGCCACATACAACGGAGAAGAATATCATCAGGCCGAAGGAGGTGGCCGGAATCCAGAGGGCAAAGCATATGACACCACATGCGAATGTGAGTGTACCTGCAGTCTTTACCCTGGACACACGATCGCTGACCAGACCAATAATCGGCCTGCCTACCGCCGTCCCGATATTTAAGAAGCCCACGATATCGGTCGCCTGGTCGCGCGAGAGCCCTACCTCTATCGCGAAGTCGGACAGAGAGAAGAGCAGGGCAATATACCCGAACATGCTAACGAACGCCCACAACAGGAGTAAGGCGACTGCCTCCTGGCGGAGAAGCTTGAAGTCAAGGGCAATCTGGGTCGGGTTGATGTGGTGGTTCCTGTCCCGGATGAGGAGCGCAGCAATGGCAGTAGCTGCAACAGTGACAAGCCCTGTCATACGAAGCGCCCAAGGCAGACCATAGCGTTGTATCATCGCTGCCGAACCCCACGCGAAGACGGCTCCTCCAATTCCAGAGCCGGCAGAACTAATGCCATTGACGACGCTGCGCTTCTTGACGAACCATTGGGAGAGGACAGCCGTGCTCGGTATCATGATGAAACCAATGCCGCAGCCAACAAGAAGACCTTGTGAGAGGTAAAGATGCCAGGCACGCGAGGCAAACGAGGCTGCCACGTAGCCGATGCTCTGCAATAGACTCCCTGAAAGCATGACAGCATGCACGCCGAATCTGCGAGCCAGCAAAGTCGCCAATGGGGCGAGGAGCACGGCCATGGTGAAGTTCAGGCCGCCGATGAATCCATATTCCAAGGGTCTCGCTTCTGGAAACATTCCTGAAGACATATATTCGGAAAGGTAGATCCCAAAAGACTGGTATGTTGTAATGTACAACCATTGTTAATTCCACCAGGGAGACACGAGGCTAAGATATGGCAAAACTCACCGCTGTCACTCCCCAAGAGAAACAGTTGAGGGTAAAACACGAGCCGACGACAACCCAACCGTAGCCCCCATCAGGTGGAGGCTCAACAGAGGTGTCGTCATATTCCAGCCTACTAGGAACAGGATCTCCCTGGTTGCTCATGATGTCTCAAGTTCCAAACCCGTGACAATGGGTGAGAGGGTAGGTAAGTAAGTGTAAGTAAGGGTTAGGAATTGGCCGAACGTGCCACCCAATTGTTTGTACATAAATACTTTGCAACTTTTTGATTCCCCGCAGATTGAGTGACATATCAAAATATTTCTACTTTCGGCATGGTATATGCATATCAAACCCGTTTTTAGTAATCCAGTGTTGCGATCCGCATCAAGGTGGAAATTGTTAGTCACCGTCTTGTGGCTCGATCATTCACTTTCTTGGATTCAACAAATGGAGCACTGATCAATGGTTCCAACTTCCCGAGTGAGATGTGTGGTGGTGCATCCAAAGAGTCGCGTTGCGCCTCCAACCACAAGCCAAGAGACGACCTACAACCCAAAAACGGCGTTATCATGGTCAAAATCTTTGAACGGGACAAGTGGACTGATTATGTTGCATTCTATTACCCCCGAAGGGGCTTCTCTCAGCCCGACAAAAAGCACACTACTTTTCCCGACCACATCTGCGCAATCCGCGCTACCAGGAAAGCAAAACACATTTTGGTTCCAAGACCCCCCTCTCACCTCTTCACCGCCGTCAGCGTGCACATAAGAGGCGGCTTATTCCACGTGTTGAACGCCCTAACATGCTTGAGGCTCCCCTGGGGATCCCAGACATCGAACCCCCCGCCATCGGCGTCGAGATCCGCGCGCCGCACGTCAAAGTGCCACAGCAAGTTCGCCAGGATGAGCCTCAGCTCCAGGTAGCTGAGGTGCTTCCCGATGCAGCCCCTCGGCCCCAGCGAGAACGCCTGGCTGGCGTCCCTGTTCTCGCCGGCGTACTTTCCGCCGTTCTCGTCGTCCAGCCACCGCTCCGGCACGTACTCGTCGGGCCGCGAGAAGTTGCGCGGCGAGTGCGCCGCCGACCACGCGTGCACGGACACCGTCGTCCCGCCGGGAAGGAACTCGCCCGCCACCGAGTCGCCGCCCGAGGGCACGGTGCGCGTCAGGCCCGTCGGCACGGGAGGGAACACGCGGAGCGCCTCGTCGATGCAGGCGTTCATGTAGCGGCACTCCTGGAGGTCGAGGAACTTCATGTCCGACGCGGCGGGGAAGCGGTCGCGTATCTCGGAGGTTAGGCGCTTGTAGGCGTGCGGGGTGCGCATCAGCCACATGAGCATGCCCGAGAGGAGAGAGGCGGTGGTTTCGGATCCGGCGACGCTGGTTGAGGTTAGCTCGGGTCAGAACTGGGGGGGGGGGGGGGGGGGGGGGCGCAAAACAGTTTGGGACCAATGTGATGATACGGAGGGGGATGGACAAACCCACCGGGTGATGGGGGGGAGTCAGTTGACTACAGAAA